TCGCGGAGGTTCCAAAGGTTTGGAGTTTCAGCCCTATAAAAATTCTTTTAAAAATCTAACATAACCAAAGACCTGCAATAAGTATACCTAAAGACCTCCAATAACATTTATGTTGAACCCCACCCCCCATTCCATTTAGCAAAATCCTAGCTAAGCATATTTAAATTTGTATTTTTTTTTAAATATCTAATAAAACGATATTATTTTTAATGAGTTTTTATAAGCACGTTAGTTATGATATGATATTTAAAGTGTTCCCAAATTATAGAATGAAACTTTTTAGTTTTTAAGTAGAATCTCAGTGTTTTTAGTATTTTTTAAATTTTAATTACTTTTTGATAAATTAAAAAAATATTTTTAATCTTCTTAAATTTATTTGAGATTTCGTGGAAAATAAAATTGATAAATGAAATAAAATATACCAAAACTACTAAGTAGGAAATAAAAAAAAATAAAGTATTTGAAACTTGTGTTTTACTTTTGATTTAAAAAAAAATAGCTTTTGCTTTGTTTTTAATCTTACACTATATTTTTTTAATTTTTAAGACTTTTTGGTGTTTACTATCAAAAATATTTAAAATTATATTTTTATGAATTTGGGCATTGATTTATTTAAATTATCATTAAATTAAAGTGCCATATAACTTATGGATATCACTTAGAGATCTCGGTTTGACATGTAAACATATCTCGAGTGTTCCTACTCTTAACTAACATTTAAAATATAAGGAGCAAGTGACAAATTTTTAAAAAAAATTACCCTCAAATTTTATATATCATCCCCTTTTTATTTCAAATGGATTTATATATTTAATCTGAAATTTAGTAGTGACATGTATTTTATTCTTTATTTTTTTTTATTAATGCACCTTTTATAAAAATACATTCTACATACAATAAAAACAACTATATCACAGCCTAAACGAGTTTGTATCCTAACAGAAATATAAAATTAATATCTTTTGGATCCCGAGCTCGGTTTATATATTCTATTAATAATGTTACCAGAATCCTCTTACCACTAGCCCAGCCCGTGGGCTGACAGGCCAATCCTACCGCTCTCCATTAAGAATTAAAAAATATTTATTAGACTAGTTTGCAAATATCAATCCTTTATTAATAGCTATATTTATAACATATGTAATTGAGAGAAACACACTTAAATATTTGCCACCCCCCCTCCACCCCCTCTCCTCTAACGAACATTTTTCCTTAGGCGCACAATTTTTGGTTTAATCATAGGAAAGACCATACATATATCGATATCAACATCGTAGTGCATCTTTGTGCAAAAATAAAGCAAAAAAATTGCCGTTTATCTAGAAGACAATATTATCTATCATAGAGAACAAAACAACGTCTTTACAAATGTCATAGGGTTTGTTACTATGCCAGATGCATGTGGATCATAGGGGCGCTGCAAAATCTAAGATCCATTGATTATTATAAGTTCCATCTCCATAATTTTTTAGCATACATTCTAGAAAGTAGCTAAAGTTGCCCACTCAAATAATTAAATCATTAAGATGCGTATATAGCAATTTTAGATCCTTCTATGGAATATTTTGCTAAAAGATGGTTACACATATGGTATAAAGTAAATCGAAAACAAAACAAATATGGGAATAAAATTTTCACTTGTTTGATTTTTAATTTTTCTTCTCATACTTTATTAAATACTTTTTGCCCTGTAAGGAAAAATAAAATAGGAAGCTATTCATACAAATGACATAATTGCACCAAATAAATTACAAATAATATATATTAGTAGATATGAAAATTTATTTAGAAAAAATATCAGCCACCCTTCGATCACATAGAATATTTTTCAGCAATCATATTTTAATAATAGAGAAATCCTTTACTCTCATTTGTTAAATTGAGTTACTAAATAATTCTTTATTATCTTTAATTTTGAGAAACTGCCCTCTGCAGTTGCAATAGCTATAAGCAGCGTCAAAAACAAAATGCACATGCTGTGCGAATATTATAGACTTGCAAATTATGAGTTATGGATTATAAATAAAATAAAATTTTGCTAAGTCAGAGATTAGTTTTAATTTTTTTTCAAAATATTTATGAGGATATCGATATGAAATATCATTTTTGGAAGCCCATTTGAAAAACTTGGGGCGAGATCCCTAAATATTTTGAAATTGGGGTCCATTTTGGTGCGAGTCTGCGGGAGTGTTTGATCACACCACAAGTGGGGATTATTTAAAACGAAAAATCTTATCCTAGCTATTTTTTTGTATTTATTATCATTATCAATTTAACTGATAAGACAAATACAATAGACAAAGAAAATAAAGCAAGAGGGATCTGCCATCCTGTATAAATGGTTTAAAAAGAATGGATATCGAAGATATAGTTTGGAGTTATAATTATTCTAAATATCTATGGCTACTTGCCTCCACCTGAAGGAACACCCCCATTAGAATACTTATGACCACATCAAAGTAGAATAGGGAGACTTTCTCCCAATGTTTTGAATTCTCAAATTTTGTTACCTTTGTAGAGTTCAAGAAATTGTTAGGAAAGCTCGAACATAGGGTGCTATATTTTAGCCGCCAAGCAGTTAGCGTGGTACTACTTTAACTGTGACCATTGTCCCCCGCTATCGTCACACTTAGTCAAATATCTACAATTTTTCTCCAAATGGGATAGGATCATAAATATTGATAACCCAGATTATATTTACGTTGGGTTTTAAAAATTACATATGAGAGCAACTTAATAATGCAGAACTGGTCAACATAATTTGAGGTTGATGATAATGCTTACACTTTCATATAAGCGATTGAAGGCAATAAAATCTCGATTCAACGGGAAGTTTTTGAATGGTACCTAAAATCCACGCTTAAGGTTATGGCGAGATAGAATGATACCGCTAAACATAGTTGCTATGATAAAGCGTTTTATGTGGTTATCTTCTAAAAAAAATTTGGAATAACAATCACAGCATATTCCAAATGTTAGTGACTACCACTCCTTTGCATTAATATCTTAATATATTTTATTTTAATATTATATACTCTTTAATACATATTTAAATCTATAATAAAATTACCATATTTTAAGTTTATTTTTTATTATCAATATATAATCGAATATTGAACCCATATCATTCTCTATTAAAAGTGATAGGAAAGATATTGGGCATGCAAATGAGATGTTAATAAATTATAAGGCTTTACAATCCAAAAACCTAAAATTAGATTTAATTGAAAACAAAAACCTTGTAAATGAATATATACAATCTTCAAAAGAAAAACTAGCATATAAAAAATTGAAAACATTACTGGAAAAATCTAAAAGAATTTGCAATAATCTAGAAGAAGATACTGTAATATTTTAAAGAATTAATATCATTATTCTTATATATGAATATAAGGAAGGATTCCCATTTTATCAGAGATGCACTGATACAGAATATTTATTTATTGAATGATATAATTTAATAATCTCATATTTTTTAGAATTAATTTATTAAATCAAAAGAGATATATGGATTAACAGCATCTTCTTTATTATTATTTTTTATCAGCTTGAAAAAATTTTATGGGCTTTTTTGCAAATTTAAAAATAAGCCAGACTTTTTATTAATTTTCTTCAGAGGTTCAGAAATTTATAAAACAATAGGGACGGATACTTCTGAAGTAAATTCTCAAGACCGTGTATAATAAATATCCTGTAGGGGCATTACAACGTTATTCGGTAACTAGATCCGAAATTTCTGAAACTAAATCTAATACACTCAAATATAAATTTTTTTTTTATAATTGACTCTCATTTTACTTATATCAGGAACGTCACAAGGGGGGGGGGGGGGCAGGGACTAAAATTTGATGGGCCCCCCCCCCTGAAAAAAAATTTACTTCTAAAAAAAGTCATTTGGAAAATGTTAGCCAAAAAGGTCATTTTAAAAATAATTTTTTTAAAAATTTTTTTAACCCGCTGAAATTGTAAAGGCTAATGACACCCCTGCCTTATATATATCTTATCAGGGCAACTTTATAAATTTGATATATTATTTGAAATTAACAAAGATGGTAATAGCAAACCAGAAGCTAAAATATATTTAAAAAAATAACAACTGAAAAAAAATTTGCGCCTTAAACAATAATATTAAATTTCCGGAGAAGTCAGTAAAATGGCAATGATTTTTAAAAACCAGGGCTGTAAACAGCTTGATCAGGATGAATCCTAATTAAGGTCAGACGTAGCCGTAATAAAAGTTTTAGCCCACCCCCTTTATTTTTAAAGGTTATTGGACGATTTTATAGAATCAATTATCAAACCAAATTAATTAATATAAATTAAAGTTAGCACATTCCAAGAACGACCAATACTTAAGATCGGGGAAGGCATCGGGTTTTAATTTAAAAGATTGAGGTTAGGAGGCAAAGGCTTGAGGCCATTGTTATAGATTTAAGAAATAAAACATCATAATATCTCAAAATTTGAAAAGTTTATTTTTTTTTAAATGTCAAAGTATTGGTCACATAATTGAATTCCATAAATTGGTGGAAAATTTCAATTTTAATCAGGTAAAAATAATTTTATATAAATCAAAGTTTTCTGAAGGCTATTAAATGTGTTCCTTTTATCGGCATTCAATTCAAAGTCAAGATTAAATTTTTTAAATTATAAATTTTAATAAAAAATAATAATTTACGGTTTAATTTGAAAAATAAAATAATTTATGGCTAATTAATACACTTGTAATTAATATTATAACAAATCTTAAAAGAAATTAATAACCTTGGCTTTAGACATTTTAATTATGTTGAAAGAAAAATGTTTAAAAGGGAGTTAGTATTTTATAGCAGTAAAATAACTAGTTTTTTTTTCTTCTAATTTTTCGATATTTTTTATTTTAGCAGATCCGGTATTTTCTTACTATTTATTTTTTATATTACACTCACAGAATTTTTTTTTAACATTTACAAATTTATTTAAATAAATTTTAAAATTTTTTTAAAAAGTAAAAAAGTAAACTTTTAAAATAATATAAAACTTTTACCTTCATCTAATAAATAATATTAACATTTCAATTTGCAATTTTAAAAAAAATAAAATAGATTTTTGCTTTTATTTATTATTTTTACAAAATATTTCCCTCTTGCCTTTTTTTTTACTTAATAAAAGGTAAATAATTTTTTTATTTCATCATGTTAGTTGCACTTAATTTTTTATATTTATATTGTAAATATATTATATTATTCATAACCAAAAATAATGACTTTGATATTAAAAAAAATTTAAAAAAATGAAAGGTAGCATGCCTATATTGAACAAAGAAATAGATCCGAACTTCGAAAATGCAAACGGGATCGTGTTTACCTCAATTGATTCTCACGAGAAAAGCTACGATTTAACAAAGCTAGACTCCATTACTAATAGCGACTCATGCCATTATAGCAATACGAATATTAGCATCCTCGACGTTCCAAATTTAGATAAACTCTCAAAAAATTATTCCCAAAATGGGGGTATACCAGAAGAAGACAGACTCAGATACAATAGCCCAGAAGATAGACAGGTCAAAAGAGAAATATTTGATAACCATGTTAGGATTAAGCGGAGAGAATCTTTGACCAAAGATGATTTATCCGACGTATTCAAGAAATTGTTGCTAACGCTCGGAGAAGATCCCAACAGAGACGGACTTTTAAAGACACCAGAAAGGGCGGCTAAAGCATACACCTATTTTACTCAAGGGTATGATCAAGAGTTGAAAGGTAACCAAATATATATATGAAAAGTTGAAATGACTAATATTAGAATTTCCGGTATTTTACAAAAAGTTATGAGACAGCCATTAATTTTTAATAATTTTTTTTTAAACTTTAGGCATCTTGAAATGGTTTTAAAAATTTCAAAAATTGACATAAAAAAAAGGAATTTCTCCAAAAATTTGCAAAAAGAAAGAAAAATCATGTTTAAAAAATTAGGGAGCTTGAGCCCCTCCACATACCCTACAATGCTACTGGTTTGACAAAATTATAAATAATAAGTTGAGCATATCCTTTGAATGACTCATTAATTAATATAATTAAGTTTTCAAGGTTTTACAATATTATATAATTATGTAATAACTAATAAATATTATGATTGATTGATGTAAATTAACGATATGGATGATGTTATGCAATAATCACATTATAAATAAATGATAATGAACTGAAACAGACTTTGACATTCTTTTTATTTTGGAATAATAACTAAGGTCTTTATTTAGGAATGACTTATTTTATCATTAATATATCTATTGATCGAATTATATCGTAATACTATTCAGGGCGGGGATGGAGGTGCCAAGAAACTCAAATATTTTTAGCCTCTTGAAAAATAAGAATTTTTTTGTATATTTTACATACAAACAAGGAATTATTATTAATTTTTTGTAAAAAATTCTTGTATTGGAAAAAAGGTTTGGCAAGTCATGTGTATTATAAAAAAAATTTGATTCATATTTAATTAGGAAAAAAAACTTCATTTATTTTTCAGTTATAAAATTCAATTCTTTTATCGAAATTAATAATATTAATCGACCACATTAATAATAGTGAAATTCATAATCAATACCTACGCAATATATTTTTCCGTATGTTAGGCTACATAAGCCACCTGGTACAATTGATCATAGTTAAATGATAAAGTAGTTCTTAACAAAAACTCCGTTGAAAATATATGAGCTATTTGTTAGCTTCCAAACCTCGATTTCAGTACTGGCCAGGTAAGTGTTAATATTATTTAGAAAAATCTGGGATTAGAGACAAAAATTGTCGTGGACAAGGTTATGATAATGGATCATGGAAAAGGCCAATACACTATGCTAGATTTTTTAGATGGGTTTAAGGAAAACGACTTTCAGAATTCCCTTGACTCAGTAAAAGAGCTTGCGTATATATCGGAATTGAGTTTAGAAGTGCAAGGGCTTTTCTTCAAAAACATTAATTTGTAGACCGAAAGTTCAAAAACAATTTCCTTACGAAGGAGATGACACGCCAATACATGATCCACAAAAAGAATATTAGATTGAATTATTCAATGCATTAGATCAAACCAAAAAATAGTTGGGGAACGTTTCCAGCAGTTAAAGCTCTTCAGAGATCATTTCTAATTCAATTTACCACAATTGATTAATGCGACTGTAAGAGAGCTAAAGAAAAAAAATGTTGTTAATTAAATATTTTATTCACAGAATTAGGATACGTTATAAAGCATTACTATTAATAGAATTAAAAGTGAATATGTTAAACAAGCATCCAATAAAAACTCCATCTGAAATTTTATGCTATATTAACACTAATAGGTTAAAAGAAGGCTTACCAAATATATCCACTGTATTAAGGATTACTTTAATGATTTCAACTAGTGTGGCATCCGGAGAACACTCTTGATCAAGTAAATAAAAACTTACCTACGATCCTGTTTAATTTCATTGTTAGATTGACTGACATAATATACTCTTTTGCATAAAAGACCAGGATATATAAAATTGAAATATTTTTGTTTATAGCGCATTATTCTTTTATGATTAAAATTTAATTAGTGTTTAGTTTTCATTTCGAAAAAATCAAAAAGCTTAAGTAAATAGTTTTTTTAGGTGCCGCCATTATATCGCCGTTAATAAGATTTCATTCATTCGAAGAAGAGGTTGTGTGCAGGATAGAAAAGTTGAGAAATGATTGTTGGCATTGTCATGTGCAGCATATTCCTAGAATTTAAAATCATTTCACATTCTTTTTTTTGAAATTTGGATTTAGAGTTAAGGCTTCCTCCTGTATTGTCTGCATAATAAATCTTTCCTTAAAAAGTGATATCATCTAGTTTTTTTTTGTAAGGTTATATTATTATATCTGTATAGACAAGATTTTATTAATCTTTGTTTCAATGAATAAACATCATTTATAGTTGGGATGAGAATTTGCGCTCTCAGATTATCTGATCATTCTTTGAATATTGACAGTAATGAAATTTTTATCAGGCTTTTGCCCTGAGTCGCCATAAGTTTCGGCACGGCTAATAAAATTTACTGTATGTGATTATTTGACACTACACACAAGATAATTTTATATAATATACCTAGATTTTTAACAGGAACCTTATGAAAATATTGTATTGAATTAAAAAGATCATGTTTTAATTAAAAATATATTTAACATTAGATTCAGTGTCATGTTTGGCAGACCGGGTCGAATATACCGGCTACCCCTTTAAATCCCCCACTTACTTATACCCTAAGAAAAATCCTAAAAATTAAAAATAGCTAGAAAAAATGAAATTAAAATCAATTCCCAGGAACCAATTGCACTTTGCCAGCCCAGGGTTAAATTTTTTTGTGATTGTCTGATAAGATTATATCAATTTGAAATATTTATAAAATCCTAGATTTAAAAGAATTGGCTAAAATATATAGGATTTCGATCGTATTGATAGATAATCTCATTAAAAAACCAGGGTTAGTAAACAGTAAAATACGGTCAATTGAAAGTTTGATTGACCTGTTAAACATGATCATATATTTTAAAATGCTATTTTGGTAACTAAATATATCACATAATGTTGTCATGCATTTTAATAGAAAGAAATGAGTTTATTAAACAGATGTATGATGTGTCTGGCCTTATTAGAAACATTTTTAAATCAGAGGCGCCGCCACAAGCCTTTATAATGTCAGGTCAAAAAATCTTCTTCTAATTATTTATAAAATGATTTTTTTTAGCTAACATTTTTAAATTGACCTTTTTCGCTATAAATAAAATTTCAAAACTTTCAGAGTACGCCACCCCCCCCCCCCACCCCAATCCAAAAATAAGCACAAATAATAGTATTTCAAATTCGGCATAATCAATTATAAAGAGAACCGTCTACTCGACCTAGAGGACAATATTTTTTCCATCAATCATAATTGTTCTTAATAATCCTATAAGAGTTGGGATATTATGAAGTTCAAATATCTTTTCAAAGGTTCGGTTCCGATTCTAACAAGGTTTTAACGGTTGATCTTCGGCTTAGACTTAATAGTAACCGTCAATGCATATTTAATAATTCGTTTCAGGTTTAGTTTAACTGATAGAAATATTAGAAGCTGAGTTAATAATAAAGCAAAACCTAGATATGAAACTAAAAAAATTTTAGAAAAAAAACAATATACAGCACAAATTTTTTAAACTAGATTAAATTATTCTCAGTGATCTATAAAATCATACTCTATAAATGACATTCTTTATAAAGGCATTCTTTATAAAGGCATTCTTTATAAAGGCATTCTTTATAAAGGCATTCTTTATAATTGTTATAAATGTTTCTCTATAAAGTCAAGGAAAAAAACTCTGCCAAAGAAGGCTAAACATTGTTTATAGGATGAAGAATTAATTAAAATATCATGGAAATCATATTTTGAACATTTACTTATTTATTATATCAGCTAAAGTTCATATTGTCATAAAAACATAGAATTTAATTTTACTGGTCAAATATCTATCCATTGACAAATTTATATGCGGGTCAAATATCTACCAATGTAAAAAAAATAAATTTATTATACAGTTTATATTATAACATTTAGATTCCTTAAAAATTTGAGATTGAGGAATTTATATGCATATTTATGTATCTTCTTCTCCATTTATATTAGAAATCTTGAATGGTGCAGTTTTCGAAGAAGATCACGATGAAATGGTGATTGTAAGAGATATCGAACTATTTTCATTATGTGAACATCATTTGGTACCATTCATTGGAAAAGTAGAAATTTATTTAAAAATTATTGAAAAAAGCCTTAGATACTTTTTTTTAAATATGAGTTTAATCTGATTGCAAAATATATTTCCTTCACATTTTTTTAAATCTGATAAGATTTGTAATATAAAAATTAGTCATTTTTTTAGCATAATTTCTTGTTACATTTCAAAGTATAATTTTTATCTATTTGAAAAAATTATTATCCATATTTTTTTCGTTTAAAATAAAAATATAATTAATTATCTTATTGTACGAATAGTAAAATATTCCAAGGATTTCTACTCTAGAAAAAAAGTGGGGGGAGGGGGGGGGGGGATGTGACACATAATCGCTATCAAAATTGGAGGGGTTATAACAACATTATCGTCATTTGAATAAAAATGATGGAGAGCTTTTAACTAATTTTAATTTGTTAGGAACGGGTAGGAGGTAAAATCTGAGAGTGAGGTAGGGGAAAAAATATTCGAATGATAAAAATTAACATTATATTGGGGGGGGGGGGGGGAGGTGAGTCCTTGCATGACTCGAATTTTCGTAGTTATAAATATTGTTAGTAATAATTATTTTTTTTTCATTTTTGGGGGGAAAATTAGAATGGGGGAAGGGCTATATTGATATAAATATATCTGCTTAATTTTGGACAAGCTTTTAATGGGAAAATTCCTCCTTTGTTGGTTAGACCAATTAAAATTTGTATTTTTTTTCTAACAAACACAGTATATAAAATAAATTATGTACCAATCGATATGCCTTTCAAGGGATAGAAAATAAGGATTAAATTGGCCTCGGCCTGACTTTGTTACATGGTATTTAAATTTAACTCATAAAGGAAAAGTATGTTTTACGTATTACGATATGTATCTGAAATAATTCCAAATTCCATGATCCCTTATTTATGCAAAATCTCTCTTAACTGATTATTTACCACAGTTTCTTTAATGATTATTAAATTCATAAGTTTTGTCATTTTTTAACCGCTCAACATTCAAACCCATAAAATCCACCTGTCATTATTTCAACCTAGCAGCTAATTTTTCAATGTAAATAATTAATTAAATGTGCGGGTAAATATAACTCGGGTTTTATTCTATTATATATGTTAACGGCAATATGTTTTTTCCGCCAATGTGATTTATCTTTTCAAATTTATATCATTTTTTGACGCCTTTTTTAAAATTTAAAATCTGATTTAACAAGAAATGTATTCCAACATGTTTAGAATACCTATCTTATGAATTGTAATTAATTTTACCGTTAACTTTTGAGTCAAAAATCTATGGAAAAATTAATATGATATTAAGTTCAAAAGTTCATGACAAAATTTTCTGAAATTCATAGGGTAGGTATTCCAAACATGATAGAATACATTTCCGGTAAAATAAGATTTTTAAATTTAAAAAACGCGCTCAAAAATGATTTAAAGTTAAAAAATTAACACACGGGAAAAAAACACGTTGCCGCTAAAAAATAGTATATGTAAATATTAATTTATTAATTACCTTTCAGCGTATTATTTGTTTATCATTTTTAATCACGAAAATATGTAAATTTTTAGTATAATTCGAGCCCTGAAAGGCTGGTACGAGCCCTATCATAACAAAGTTAATAAAATAGGCCCATACATAGCCCGAAAAATGTTACGATATATTTCATTCCTATTATTCCTTTTTTTATTCAGGATTGAAAATCATCACATTTTTTAAAAAATATCAAGAGATGGGGGTTGGGAAATATTTTATTTTCATATCATACTTTGTGTAATGTAATAAATAGAATAAAATAGATAAACATCATCGAATTATTTGAGATTTTAAAATGGAGAATAGAATAAAATTTTCAATTTGAGTTATATTTCCTATCCTCCATTTATTTTTAAAAAAATCGAGCCAGGGGTAGGCGCCGATTCTATACTTAAATTATTTACTACTGGATTTTTACGACATCGATTTTGCAGGGTCTCTAATAGTGCTTACAAAAATTAAGCGTTTGCGTGATTCAAAAAAATTGAAAAACTTACGCAGCCTTGTTTAAATAGATGCGATATTGAAAATTTAAAATAATAAATGAATCGCAGATTTATTTGCAATTTTTTAAAATATATTTGACCCAACAATAGAATCGCGCCAATCTAAACAATATCAATTGAAATAAATTACTTGCGATTCAACGCAACGTCAAAATCGTGCAATTGAAGGCACTATTTATATAAACATAGACATATACACATTAATTTAAAACTCTTATTGAATATTTTACAACTATATTAATATTATAAATAGAATAAATATGACATTAAATAAATATATATTTAAAAATAACAATAGGTATCAATTGGTTATTTGCCTAATAAGAAAATTCTGGGAATAAGCAAATTAGCGAGGTATTCTTAATAATATTACTCATTATTTAAATCATATGATTTAATATATTTTTTTTTATAGAATCGTTGAAATATTTAGTCGCAGACTTCAAAGTATGAATTTTTATTATATTAGATAGGAATATAATAAATATTAAATAACATGTAAATTATTTATAAAATAACTAAAAAGCAAAACTATATTAAAATAAATGAAATAATATCTAGTTCAAGAAAGATTGACAAAACAAATAGCATTAGCAGTTACAGAAGCGGTAAATCCCAATGGTGTAGGCGTCGTTATTGAAGCTAGGTATATTATAAAAATTTTAATTAAATTTGTGGACGAAAATAAATAAATAGATTTAGATTTATATGCTTATAAAAAAGCTATAGAGTAATTTCTGATTTTTTTCAATGTATGCCTGGCTCAAAATAAGTAAAAAAGAACATTCCTGTCAGCAACCAATTTATGTTAAGCCTAATAATTACATTATATTGACATCTATTTGAGTATTATCAATTCGCAAAAAAAGCAATCTTTCGCTTAGTATGAGTCTAACATTTTGGATGTCGGGTCATAATAACGATATTTTTTGAAATTCTCGTGACACTAAATTAAGGGGAAAAAATTTAGCAGTGTGGAAAAAATGTCTCAGATAACAATATAAAAGTGTGTGTGAAAAATATGAAAGCATGAAAGGTGATTATATTGATAAAATAAGAACTGTATTTACTACGATTGATTTTAAGTTTAGTTACATACTTTAAGGTTTTACTATTTTTAGTTTTAATCTCAACATCATTATTAAGTTTTAAAAATCAAATGGCACTTATTTAATATAAACATTAAAAATGTTGGGGTAAGCTTTAAAATTTTTTCATTTAATTCGATTCTCTATTTAGAATATATTTAAACCATAAATTTAATTTATATTAATAAAAAAACTAAAAATCACGATTTAATTAGCGATATAAGTCAAATTGATTTTTATATCCACACCCTGAATTTAACATTAATAATTATCAGAGATCTGCAGAGGCACCATTATTTTCAGGCCCAGCCTGGATTTTAAAAAAATATTATTATATTTATTTATAATTTTTATAGATAATGGCTATTTTAAATATTTAGTTTTAAAATATACGACCCAGCCTGGATCGGTTATTTAAAATAAATATTTTTAGGCCCAGCCTGGGCATTTTAAAAAAAAATTCTTAAGCCTAGTCTGGGTATATGTAAAAAAGTTAAAATACGGCCCGGCCCGTGTATGTGGGCCTGCAGATCTCTCGTAATTATGCTTTTAAATATACCTGAGCCATAAAATTTTTCTAAAAAAATACCCAGCCCGGTCCTTATATTTTAAATCGCCATTATTAGCTATAAAAATTAAAAATAAATGTAATATATATTTCTTAAAATCCGGGCCGAGCTTGAAAATATAAAACCCGGACGGGGCAGAAATTTTTTTATATAAAAAAATTTGAGCTGGGCCATACAAATGGCACCTCTGCAGGTCTCTAAAAGCTTTATAGTATAAAAAGTATATTTTTATCAGCTTTATCTAAAAATCATTTGTAAAAAGTTGAATAATATATTTTAATCAAGTGTCAAAAAAAAATAATAATCACTTTTATATTTTACTTGACTATATAAATATCAACTCAATGTGACACTAATAGCATTTCAAAAATAAAGGTTTTTGACCAGATAAAAAGTTTTAACAGATTTATATTTTTATGGGAGCAGTTTTAAATTAATAATGAATATTTTTTATTCCATATGGGAGAATCTAGTTTTGGGATAGCTTTGGATAAGTAGATGAGTATTACAAAACCGTAAAGGTAGCTTAAAATTGATAAAATTTTATTTATTTTACGAGTGAAAAATAAAAATTTTTTAACACCTTGGTTTTGGACAAATAATCAAAAAAACATCGGGAGTCGTTTAAAATAATTTTCTTCACTACACGAGGGAAATACTTTAAGCAAAAATTTTTTATCCCGTTCAAAACCAAGTTGTTTAAAAATTTTGACTATATATTTTAATAACTTACAAAAATGTATTTCGTATTTTCTTAGTCATATGTGTATGGTAATGAGGGGAGTTCAAAAATACAACAGTAAAACTATAACAACTGCAATATTGGGTGAATTTAGGAAAATACCAAAGAGGAGTGAATAATTTTTGAAGCTCATCCGAAACATACATATTCGAATTTCTAAATAGATAAAAAAAAAAATCACAACAAAGAAAAAACAATATGTTCATTTTTTTTGCAAAAATTTTGAATATATATTTTATAATTTACAAAAATTGTATTTGGTATTTTTTTAGTCACATGTGTATGGTAATGAGAGGAGTTCAAAAATACAATAGTAAAACCATAACAAGTGCAATGCTGGGTGAATTTAGAAAAGACCCAAAGACGAGAGAAGAATTTTTGCAACTCATCCGAAACTAATATATATTCGAAATTCTTAAATATATTAACAAAATTGCGATAACAAAAAAAACAATGTATCAATTTTTTGAATTATTTATTTTTGAAATACAAGTATTTATTCTTTGTACATTCGCAATAATATATTATCATTTTTTAACGTAAAAAATAATATTTATTGTATAAAGATTGTCTATAATTTAATAAATTGTGTAATAATAAATAAAATAACAGCAAATATATTTGAATCGATTTCCAAAAATTGGTTTCTGAATATTCATTTCTTCCATCTATTTTTTTTATCGAATATAAAAAAGAAAACAAACATTTTTATAAACATGTTTTGAAATATTTAAAAATGATAAATAATTATCGCATCCGGTATTTTTTGATCACTTGCCAGTATAAAAATTATAATTTGTCCAGTATTAAATATGAAATTGATGTATTTTTTTTCTAGCGATAGACCATTGAATGTCCTAAGAACAATGTTTTTTAGAAAATTTCTGGGTCGGCTGTACTATAATAAGTAAATTGCAAATTCTGCAGAAAAAAATTATTTATACTCTATTAATTAAGTTTTATTTATTTTTCTATAAAAAACAAACAAGTCATTAAAATTAAATTAATATATATGTTCATATAATAAGGTAACTATATTTCATTTAATTTCCTTATATTATTTATACTGGTAAAATTAATTAAAAAACTTAGGCCGTGTCCTAGATCGGCTTAATAAATAAACGGCTATTTAGTATCGGCTAAATAACCAAAATAAAAAATAATTTTTTTAAAAAGAAAGGAAAAAATACGAAAATAAAATAACAATGTCGCCAAATACTTAAAAAAAACAAAATAGGGTGTCTTCGTTCAAAATATTTTTAGCCTATACTAAAAAGCAATTAAGCATTTGAATTAAGCCGACCTAAGACACAGCCTGACAGTTTATTATCCAAAAAAAATGCTGGAAAAATATATAACAGCCTATTTAAAATGATTCAAAACAGTCCCGGCATTGCTAGAAAAGTACGTTCTCGAATTAACTTTAAGTAGGGGGATCGCAATGTTCTGACAAACGATGCCTCCTATTTCAATCTAGTTCGTGATTCAAAAAAAGTATGTTTTTCAAAAAAAAATTACATTTTTAAAATTTTGTCTTTTCCACCACTAGCAACGGTGGAACCGTCCGGGCTCCAATCGACAGCGTAAACCTGAATAAATTAATCATAAAGTTTTGTTTTATAAATGATTTTTTTTAAACAATTAGAATATCTTTTTGGTAGTGCGTTATATCCGAACAAAAGGTATTATAGTGTAATTAATTATGGTTATTACAAAAACATGCTATAGTTATTATTCATATTGTTTCAAAAATAAAAAAAACTGAGACCGTTTATCTTTTATATTATACTGCTAAAATAAATTCAAAAAGTATCTCTAGTAAAATGTCAAATGATTTGTATTATGTTTAATTAAAATTTTTAAAAATTGATTTATATCAAGTGATTTTTTAGACAGCTAAAATAAGTTTAATTCAAAAAATTTCTCTAGAAAAATGTCAAGTGATATGTAAGTGATAAAATTTGTAAATTATTTTATAAAACAAAAATAAATGATTTTAATTTCCATACCTTGTTTTATAGCAAAAAGAATGAAATAGATACCTAACGATAATATATTGACCAAAAGTGGAGTCATGAAATAAAATAATCAAGACACGACATGATATAATTTTATTCTTATTTTAACTTCGTCAGCGTGACCAGGTAAATCAACGCACAAGTGGGTCTGTTTAGATTTTTTATCATTTTCCTCCGATGCGCTTAAGTTTAATTTCCAAATTTTTATGGTAGAGTCGGCGCTAGCGGATACGAGCAAGCGATTATCGTTGGAAAAGCTTATTTGGTAAACCCGTTGAACATGTCCACGAAGTGAAAATAGGTACCTGAATAATCGCGTGTACGTATAAAATAAATATATAAAATAAGAGTGAAGTCTGTTAAAGGCGAAAACTGGTATGAAAAATCATCAACAAGCTAGCAAAATTATGCCTGCTTTATTTTTCAGAAGTGTATTTTAATTTTAATTAATGATAAATAATAATATCACCATTATAACGTCCCACTCTATTTGATAATTTGCTCCTTTACTCGTTTTTATAGAATTAACTAATCCATTTTTTTTACAAATATAAATTTTTTTTTAAAGATATAGAGTTCAAATTTAAAATATTATTTTTAAACCATGTTTTTCTACCTCTAGTAAAATCAGGAAATAGCAATTATGTAAATATAAAACATGGAGATTTCTGAGCATGTTTTTAAAAATTATTCAAATTTAAAATATATCATTTAAAAAAATATATAATACTTTATCAAGATCAATCAATATTATAAAAATAAATAAAACTAACCGTTCCCTTAATATGCGGTATATTTCACTGTTGTATTTTAATTGATATTTTAAATGGCTATTAAAGTTGGATATTGGCTAATACGACTCAATCTACAAGCCCATACCAGCGAAAATCCGTTAACATTAAGGTGTTTTTATATTAATTTCTTTCAAATTTGATCTACCATTTTTGCTAGAAAAACCCAGAGGCCAAAGTGAAAGTTAAGCTATAAATTCGGTAAAAAATAAATTACCCATTTAAACTATTAAGGATGGATTCAGAGTAAGATCCTATCCGATCCAATTTAACAGTTGAATGATTTAAAAAATCCTTTAATGAGATCATTTTCTTTATTAAAACATATAATTCTTAGATTATTATCATGAATAGAATTAAAAATAATATTAATATTAATTTTAAAAAATTAACCTCATAAAAATTTTTTAAAATCTACCAGGTGTTAGATTTGATTGCAAATTATTTTAAAATATACATTTAGTTAAAATGTAAGATTTCTAAAATATAGTATGGCATGGCATAATCATCGAGGTTAATGAAAATCCAGGTCAAATTTATATTTTAATATTGATAATTCTTTGAACTTTTTTATAAAAAAATCTGATCATTGGAGTCATTTATACATACATTGATTAAAAAATTCAATTTTTTTAATATTAATCTCGCCATGTAACCGGAAAATCTGGGATGTATAAAAACATAGTCCCAATTTGACTTAGGCCTCGTTTAATAGTAACCGACAGTAGCGCAACATATAAACATATAATGTTTAATTGTATGGCTATGCTATCGTTTAGCCATGAGTATCACATCGTAATAACTATCATCGCGGTTACAAAAATGAGGACTTAGATTAAGGCAATACCAAGGAGTTCTAAAGCCTGAGAAACTGACGTTTGGTGGTGATTATAAAGAAAAAATATGAAAACTATATAAACATAGTTGTAAATTATACAGATATTGTAAATATATTATATAGTAGGCAATAAATTATTAAGTATGCATGAACAAAAGTGGAGTTAGATCCCTATAATAATCAAGGACATACAAGTTTAATTTCATAATTACTTTCCACTCAGTCCGTGCCATATTTTAACGGATTTATCAAATGAAGCACTTGCGATAAGTAAACCGTTAGGGGAAAACTGTACGTGATTGACAGTTTGGCAATGACCGGTCATTTTAGCGATCAACCAACCTGATTTTTCGCTTTTATCGCCATTTGTATTTTCGTTAGCAATTTTGTTTTTCGGGATTACATTTGTTTCTTGATCTCGCCAGAGACAAAGAGTGAAGTCGTCGCTAGCTGATACTATTCTCTCTTGATTCTTAGTTATTTTTTCAATAAATTAAGTTATACATATTATTTTCTCTGATAATTTTGGCGAATTGAGATTTATGTTTTTTGGTCAACAAACAATCTAATTAATCATTCAATTAGTATAAAAATTAGGACTGTGCCGATACATAAATATTTTACCGATTCGATTAGAGGTCTGCAAATGGCAAAATTTTCAAGCCCGGTCCAGTGGGAATTTAGTTTTTGCTTTGCCCGGTTTCAATCTTTCACTAAAGTTGCCACAGCCCAGTTTTCAATTTATTTTTAAATACAGGGCTTAAACCAAAATATATGTTGTTAAACACCAAAATAAAGAACTATTTATAATCTTGGAATTTGGTTAAATTAAAAACCCTATAATTTGTGGATTATCACAATAATAAAATATCTGAATTCATCAAATATATATACAAAAAAAATTAGCCCAGCCCGGAAATTTTTTTGCCCGGCCCATTAAAAAATTTTACAGACATTAATCATTTAATTTAAAATATATTTTTTTTACTTTTTAAACATTACAAACAAATTGAATTTTGGTTCCTTTATTAAATTTGTTTTTATTATTAAATTATGTGCAAAATAAGAATATTGGATCGGATTTGTTCTTTAGATATCGGCCTGATATGATATTTAATATTGGCACAGCCCTAATAAAAAAAATAAACTAACATTTTTATTCATTTTGAAATATCTATCCCTGGCAAGTTTTGATAATTCCTCATTAGATAGAGAATCGTAATTTTGATCTTTGTAATTTTCGAAATCGTAACAGGACGTTCGCAAAATGTAATCCGTACTGAGCGCTAAGGCGTTAACCCAATGAGCATGACATTGTAAATTTCTGAATAGGCTACCCTAAATAATTGATTATTTACAAAATTTAATAAAATGATTAGGCACGGGTGATACTATTAAATTTGTGTTGAAATAAAAAAAAATTGAAATATAATTCAAGCAATCACATCGTTACAAAACGCCTTAGCCTTTGAGAGGTGTAATAGATAAATTAACAACCAAGTTGTAAAGAAGGATTAGCACTTATTAAGTTAACCTTATGTTGATATACTTGTATATAAATAGATAAAAATTGCTATACATGCCATAGCTTACATTTATATATCTAATAATAATCAATTTTATTTAATTAATATATAAATATTCATATCATAAAATTAAAATGTGCGTTTTTGTCATGTTAATATCTTTCCATTATAACTGGATAAAACTTTGCGGACATGTAGTTTAGCAAAAAATGGGAAGCTTCTAGAAAGACCATGTCAAAATACCAATAGGGTTTTTTGTAATAACGATTCTAAAATAAAATCTTATGGGATGCTGATCCAGCAATCTCGAAGACTAATTTTATCTGAATGAGCTTTAATAATTTATATTTAATTTACTTTAAATAGAGCAACTATGATATATGATATAAAGCTATGATCTATTAAATTTATGAATTTAAAATTACATCGGTAGCATCCCAAATTTTGATAGTTCTGTCTTGAGAGGAAGAATAAATCAAATTTTTGGCGCCCCATTTAACGTAAGTCACGGATGCTGAATGCCCGCTCAGGCACATTAAGCATAACCTACTAACACTATCCCATATTTTTATCACACAATCCTAAAAATTAATGAACAATCGTTAATAAACCTTTATATTTATTTATATATTTCGTTAATACTTTGGAACAACTGGCAAAACGTCTACATTTAGGATTTCTAATTTTTTTTTTATAAAAAATAATGTATACTTAAAATAACATTTAGAGACTCTTTTTTGTTAGAGTTGCTAACCAGTTCGATTTAGCCGATTTTAAACTTAAATGATTTAACCCAAAATAATGAGTGTCAAATTTTTTTAAAAAATGTCGAAACCCTTCTGCCAACTTTGAGTAAAATATCATATTTTTTGGTTAAAATATTGGGCAAGCCGTTTTTAAAAAATCGAACCGTTTAACAACACACATTTTTTTTAAATTATGAATTAATAATTACATATGCATGGGTTCCCAGGTGATGTAATTTACCCATTGATTGTGTGCATTTATAGTTTTTCCCAATAATTTTCCGGTTGAGGGATTCCATAAACATATCTATATTTAAAATTTTATGATTTAAATTAATATTTTTTTTTAACAATGTTGTTTAATAATGAAAAAATAATACCTTTCCATTTTTATCAGCAGATGCCAGTTTTTTGCCATCCGGAGACCAAGAAATGCATAAAACCCAATGGTTATGTTCTAGATGTTTTTACATTTTATATTAAAATTTACTCATTTCATAAAATAAGTAAAATAAAATATATATCAAATAATTAGAGGTTTGCCGAATGTAGATTTTCGACGCCTATGCGGTATCACAAAAAATATAAAGTTAATAGGAATGTACTGATTAGAGACCTTCATGGGCCGGCCCACGGCCCAAGCCCTAACGGGCCTGGACCGGGCTTGGGTTCGTTGGAAATTATTGCAATAGGGCTTGGGCCTAAATTTTTAAATTCAAATTTAGCCTATTTTAAGGATATTTAATAGGACAAATATAACAAATCATTCTGATTTTGTTAGTGTTATTTATCAAATTTCCTATACACCTTGGGAGAGTATATATTTTTTAAATCGGAAATTGGTATAATTTTACTTAACTTAACACAACGGCCTGGGCACGAAACAGCGAAAAAAGAAACAGCGAAATCAGGGAATATTCCCAAAAATGTTCCCAAAGATGGCCAACATTTTCGATATGACATATATTTTCCCAAGTTAGCGTCAAATTCAAAGCAAAATCCCAACAGTAGCAGAAAATTTAAAAACAATTGTTAGACGTAGACAAATAGATATTCAATTAAACTTTTTATAATATTTGAAAATAAAATTTTAATTAGAAAACTCAAAAAGGACATAATTTCATAAACTATAAAGGTTATGAATATATACTAGACCTTCATGGGCCTAGATTTTAGGACCAAGCCCGGCCCAGGCCCATCGTAAAAAAAAAATTTAAAAAAATCCCCAAGCCCGGCCCAAGCCCCCTATAATATTTAAAAAATATCCCAAGCCCATAAAATTATTTTATGTATACTTAACTTATGCTGAAGTAATACTAATAGAAATATAATATTTTATTTAGTAATAATATATATATAATATTAATAAATGATATAAACAAAATTTTAATTTATATTTTCATATTATCATTTAAAAATAATATATTATCTACAATTTCGTTATTTAAATTTGTTCTTCTTTCTTCAATAACCCTTCCAATAGTACTGAAATTCCGTTCACTGGAAACATTAGATGCTGGAATTGCATGAATTTTTTTGGCTAATCTTGCCAATTTGGGCAAGATTTTTTCATGCTTCTTCCACCAATCTAGGATGCAGTCATCATAGTTGATATCCTCTTCATTTAGCTGAATATCCATATATAAATTAATCTCATCAGCATCCGTCTCATTATGAAGTATTGTATCATCCTCCCATGAAGACATATCCAATAATGAGAATGAAGCTAAAAATATTATATAGTTAAAAAGATTTATAAAGAATAAATTACTGGTAGCTCTATTAATCCTCGAAGTAGGAATAGGAACATGCACATGCACTTCATCCAGATCTGAAGTATCTAAAAATATTATATAGATAAAGATAATTATAAAATATATGTTACTTGAAGCTCTAGGGATATTTGCTTCATCTAATATATAGGAATTGGATGATGATCTGAATAATCAATCATTAAGGCCCTTGTACTATTTTTTACTTCAAGTGCTTCTTCCAAAGTGAGCATTTTTAACTGGCGGAATTTAGGATTTAAAAATGTAGCGATTTGTGTAAAATATCTATTTGTAATTTTGATATTAAAAATTCCTTTGCTCTGTAAACAATCTAAAATTTCTTCATATTGTTCATAAATACTTTTAAACATTTTTAATTTCGAATTCCACCTTGTTAAGATATCTTGGTAAACAGTCTTTGATATAATCCACTTTGCTTAAAAAAATCTTGTTAGTGACTTACATTGAAGAATAAGGTTATATAATAAGGGTGTAGATATTTGCATATATTTTGGAGAAAAAGTATTTCTTAGAATAGTGTTAATGAGATGAGCAGAACAGTTTAACCATTTATATGGTTCTAAAGCCTTTATCAAATTGCTACCTTGATCAGTGATGAATGTGATTTTATAAAATGCATCAGAAGCATATCCAAGTTTAGCAAAATTAGAAACAAGTTCTTTGTGTATATTTTCACTTGTTTTTTTTATCTTCTAAAAAAAGAGAAGTAAACAAAAAACGTTTTATTAATTTCCATTTAATTATGCAGTGAAGAGTTAATGTTATATAAGTGTACTTTTTGAAGTCATCTGTGTATAAATCAGTTGTTGCACTACAAAAAAATTTATTAAGGCACTGGGAATATTTTTTTGTGCAAATTTTGAGAAATATCATTCATATGCCTTGATATTGTTATAGGACTTGGCAAAATATTTTCAACATCAATCAAACCCTTCTTTGAATCAACTTCAATAAAATATTGTGCTAAATGTTTAAAGCCTTTACCAGCTATACATTGAAATGGGTGAATATCCACAGCACAAAATTTTACACATCTATTGATAACTTCCTTTTTTTCATTTGTATATGATGTTTTATCATTTTGAATTGGATAAAAAGAAGATAATTTAATTATAGGATTTGGTTTACATAAAGGCTTTAGAACCATATAAACGGTTAAACTGTTCTGCTCATCTCATTAACACTATTCTAAGAAAAACTTTTTCTCCAAAATATATGGAAATATCTACACCCTCATTATATAACCTTATTCTTCAATGTAAATCCTAACAAGATTTTTTAAGCAAAGTGGATTAAATAAGAGTTTATCAAAGACTGTTTACCAAGATATCTTAACAAGGTGGAATTCGAAATTAAAAATGTTTAAAAGTATTTATGAACAATATGAAGAAATTTTAGATTGTTTACAGAAAAGAAATATGGAGGATAAGCTTAATTCTATTGATAAAAATGGGTTGAAATCATTAATAGACATGTTGACCCCATATGATCAGGCAACCAAGGAGTTGGAGGGGGATAGAAGTCCTATATTATTTAAAGTTTTATTAATTTATAAAACATTGGAGAAGTTACCAGTGTCTGATATTTTATACGAAGCGTATCAAAATAATAGTGAAATTAGATGTTAAAATTAAGAGCAAAGGAATTTTTAATATCAAAATTCCAAATAGATATTTTACACAAATCGCTACATTTTTAAATCCTAAATTCCGCCAGTTAAAAATGCTCACTTTGGAAGAAGCACTTGAAGTAAAAAATAGTACAAGGGCCTTGATGAGTGATTATTCAGATCATAATCCAATTCCTATATATGATCTAGATGAAGCAAATATCCCTAGAGCTTCAGGTAACATATATTTTATAAATATCTTTATCTATATAATATTTTTAGATACTTCAGATCTGGATGAAGTGCATGTGCATGTTCCTATTCCTACTTCGAGGATTACTAGAGCTACCAGTAATTTATTTTTTATAAATCTTTTTAGCTATATTATTTTTAGTTTCATCCTCATTAATGGATATGTCTACATAGGAGGATGATACAATACTTCATAATGAGACGGATGCTGATGAGATTAATTTATATATGGATATTCAGCTAAATGAAGAGGATATCAACTATGATGACTGCATCCTAGATTGGTGGAAGAAGCATGAAAAAATCTTGCCAAAATTGGCAAGATTAGCCAAAAAAATTCATGCAATTCCAGCATCTAATGTTTCCAGTGAACGGAATTTCAGTACTTTTGGAAGGGTTATTGAAGAAAGAAGAACAATAAATAACGAAATTGTAGATAATATATTATTTTTAAATGATAATTTGAAAATATAAATTAAAATTTATTTTGTTTATATCATTTATTAATATTATATATATATATAAATTATTACTAAATAAAATATTATATTTCTATTAGTATTACTTCAGCATAAGTTAAGTATACATAAAATAATTTTATGGGCTTGGGATATTTTTTAAATATTATAGCGGGCTTGGGAATTTTTTTAAATATTAAAAACGGGCCAGGCCGGGCCTGGGCTTAAAATTTTTTTACGATGGGCCTGGGCCGGACTTGGTCCTAAAATCTAGGCCCATGAAGGTCTCTAGTACTGATATTTAATTTTTTTTTAAATATCAGTCATCGGCAGATATCATAAAATTTCTTTGATCCTATAAAAAAATGGTGTCTTGATTTTTAGTTTATAAAAATAAAAACCATTTATTTATATAAATAAAATCGAAATCCATTTTTTTTATTCTTTAATAATCAGAGACCTGTAGAGGTACTATTTGCACGACCCGAATTTATTTTTCAAAAAATATTTTCCGCCCGGCCAGGGTTTTATATTTTTAGGCCTAGCCCAGCCCGGATTTTTTTAAATATATTTTATTTATTTGTAATTATAGCTATTATGGGCAGTTTTTTTTATTAAGAAATGGGCAGTAATGTTATAATACATGTGGAGATATTTGTTCATTAGTAGCATCCTTGGATAGTTTCAAACTGAAACTTGCCTCTGAATGCTTGCAAATATCTTCCACATTTTCTTTAAGCCAAAAATAATCCTCAAATCTTAGTTGCTTGCTGTTCAAACTATTAGCACCTGAACCTAAAATATAAAATAATATTTATATATATTTATAATTATACCTGATTAGCTGGAAACTGCATAAATTTTATTAAATTTAGCCTTAATTCCAGCAAATTTTTTCTTTATTTCTTTATAAGTACGATCAAAACTCTTACCAATCTCTTCCCATATGATTTTAACTGCTGCTGTTACACCATAGATGTCTATAAAGTCTAATCTTTTCCATCAGTTATTATTCGTTCGCCATTTTATTCCCTCAATTCGCAAAAGTTTAATGATAATGTAATTTGCGCAAAATCGAAATCTTTTAATTTTCCATTAAAAATGGCTTATATTATTTATTTTTTTTGCTACGCGCAAATTGCGCGAGATAATTTTTATGCAATTTTTGATATTTAGGACATAGCCTTATGAAGAAATAAAGGAAAAATTTGCTGGAATTAAGGCTAAATTTAATAAAATTTATGCAGTTTCCAGCAAATCAGGTATAATTATTAATATATATAAATATTATTTTATATTTTAGGTTCAGGTGCTAACAGCAAGCAACTAAGATTTATTGAGAATTATTTTTGGCTTAAAGAAAATGTGGAAGATATTTGCAAGCATTCACAGGCAAGTTTGAAACTATCCAAGGATGCTACTAATGAACAAATATCTCCACATGTATTATAACATGAAATTAGAACTATAAAATAATCTATATTTTAGTATTATGAGCCAAACATCCAAGATGTGGTGAATGTACAACATCATCACAGGTATTAAACATGAAATTAAAACTATATAATAATCTATATTTTAGGATTATGAGCCAAACATCCAAGATGTGGTGAAAGTACAAACATCATCACAGGTATTATAACATGAAATTAGATGAACCAAATACACAATATCTACTAAATGATATTGTTAATCCTTTTAATCATATAGAAATGGGTATGTCTGAGATTGAAATATTAGAAGTTGAATATTTATTATATATTTTATTAATTTAATAATAGTTAGACAATTCTAATAAAGAAAATATTTATCCTTATATCTCTAAGAGGAAAAATTTAGAGAATCTTATATCTAAAAGAATGAACGAAACTAAAAAATACGAATCTGAAAAGATGGATTTATTAGGAGGTAAATATTATTATATTGAATAATTATTTATTTTTGAAATAGATTTTGCAAAATAAATATCCTATGATGATGATATAATCATGTTCAGGGATTTTTTAAGTCCTTCCAAACAACATTCAATTGTATGACAGAGAAAGAAATTTATGATATGAAAATAAATTTTTCAGATATTATATCTTTTTATATGTAATCTTTTATACATATGATATATATTTTTATATCTTAATTTATAATAAAAATTATTATGTTTAATGATTTATTAAAAAATATTTAGTCATTTTAGCAGCCATCCTCATTAAATTAATTACAAATAACTTACTTATACAATATAATCAAAACAACACTTTTTATTGAATATTTATAAATAAATTATATAACTTTGACAAATGAAAACATTCATAAGAAATATAAGGTTATGGGAATTTCGAAATATAAGGTTATGGGAATTAAAAAATAAAAGTATACAAAAATTTTACATATAATTATTTGCAAATATGTTAAATGTTTCTCTGATATTATTAGAGCTTTCAGTCCATTGCTGGAACTGAGATTGGGTAAAATTTGGAATTGGGTATTCTTCATGAATTCTTGGTGTTCAATTATAATATTATGCAATAAGCAGTCAGCTTTAACTATTTGTATAGTATTCGTAATATTAGTTTCTGATGATTTATAAAGGTGTCTAAATTTGGCACTCATGATGCCAAAGCATCTCTCTATTGATACTCTGGCTTTTAATAATTTCTTATTGAAATTTGATTTATTATCATTTAAATTTGTTTTATAAGGTTTCATAATAAAATCCATTAAGGAGCATCGTCACCTACAAATATGTAAGGTGATAATATATCTGTTGAAGGTAAGAAATTTGGATTGGGTATCTTTATGATTTTATTGATCATCCCTTCATAAAATAGGCTTTTTGTAAATTCTGAGATAGATACAGGAAACCCAACTTCAATCAACATGAATCTAGAAAAGAATTAAAATTTAGAAAATATATAATTACCTAGATTTATCATCTGAAACTCCTTGAATCACAATGGAATTGATTTTTTTATAATTATAAAATGTGAATCTACTTTTTTAGGTTTTATTTTTACATGTTCTCCATCAATAGCACCTATTATATGAGGAAAACCTGATTTCCTGAAGTATCCTGCTGATATTTCAAGCATCTGTTGAACTGTTGGTAAACAGAGATGCTTGGGTTGAAGACCTACCCATAATAACCTACATGTTACTGTGAAATTGTGCATACTGATGTTTTACCCATCTTTGCATATAATGCTATTTTTCTAAAGCTCATACCAGTTGTCAAATATCTATAAATATATACAGAATATAAAAAAAAAATATCACCATACATGAGTGTTATATAGAGTCGAAGCTTCATACTAATAGAGTTTTTATGTTTAACTATAGTGGTGTCTATAGACTCCAAATTTATAAGAATGTAATTGAATGTTTTCAGGATAAGATGGAATAATATCAAATATTTTAAAAAGTCCTTGATCTCTAGAATTAATACATATAATATAAATAGTATCATATACACCAGCCTTCTAAAAGTCTATGCCTTTTTCTAAGCTCAGTTGTATCTTCAAATAATATAAGAAATAGTAAATCATTCACATCAAACATTTTAAAATTAGAAATAAATGTATGATTCGGGGCATGTTTTGTATCTCAAAACTCCCGAAATTTTTGTGATTCGCAAAACTTTTGATAAATTTTTTTTTTGATTTAGGACACAGCCTTAACAAAAAGTTATGCAATATCAGCTTCAAAAGTGATTTCAAAAATCCTTGAATATATTGCAAAAAAAATCATTGAACACATCAGATTGTGTTGACATGAATCTTGAGCAGTGAAGATCCTAAAATAGAATTATGGCTGGCAATAATACAGAAATAATCGAATCTCATATCTCTTGGTGCATCAGCTTCTGTAGAAAAAATATTTTCATATTTTAATATTCCAATCAAAATTTAGAAATTAGCTTGAACTAGAAAAAGCTGAAAAAATTAGTTTTTCATTTTAAATATTATTGCTGATATTTACATTTAAAAAAGAAATTTAAGTTTAAGATCAAATAATTGCAAATTTAATATCATAATATTTTTAAGCTTGGGAAAGCAACTAAATAATATAACTTGTTAAGCCGCTAAAATAAGTTTAAAGAGTTTGGTGACTAGTTAAAATAAAAACAATCCCTTGATTTCTATTTCCACACCTTAAAGGAAAAGAAACAAGTCAAAAATGTCTTGAGAAACTTGTTGATAGTGCTTAAATAATAAGATGTGATGCAATTGAGAATATGGTAAATGGGATGCATAAAAACCCAGACAAAAGTACTGATGGGGAAAACCCTATTTTCTAAAAATTATTAATTTCTTCTATATATAGTCTTCAGGTTAAAATAAATCAGGTCAATTTAATATATGTTAAAAGGAATTTAATTAGATGTGATGCTTCCCTCAGAGATATTATGAAAACTAAAAGATATATGGGTAGATCACATGTACATTGATTTTTTAAAATATTTATTTAGTAGGTATATTTTCTGAAACAAGGGGTGCTCCTAGTATTGGCCTAGTAGATATGGGCATAAAATCAATTTTTTAAAATAAAAAATGCCCAATTACTAGTAAATAGAATTGTGAAACAAAAATTTAGATTTTTATTCTTTTTCCTAATTATCAATCTTTTACTTAGTTGGTTATTTATATCATACCAAATCTAATATGCAAATTGATTTAGTTTTTAATTAAAAATTATTATATATAATAAAAAGATAAAACTGAATTTTTACACTTTTAAGCCATAATATCTTGAGTTATAAATAAAAGTTAATGAGTTCAAATATCATTTCTGTTTTTACTATAATACATTCTTATTTGAAACTAGTATGAAAGGTTTAGCCAAAAATGTTTTTTTACCAATTTTCCCTGGAATGAGAATATAAATAAAATATCAGACATGCAGGCTAGATTAATGTTAGATTTTTCCGGGTTAGGTTACAAATGTGTTTAAAATAAAAAAAAATAAACTGATATAGTTAATACACCTCCAGAACCATATCTAACAAAAAGCCAATAGTTATATTAGAGGTTAACCCCAATAGAATTTATTCTATTGAGTTCATTGGTCTCCATAATTATTTTTAACCAACCTAGAAAGTAAAATAAATTCTGTACCATTTATCCAAAATAATTTTCTTATGAAAGAAAACAAAATAAATTTGCCTAATTATTGGCTTTAAAAATATTTTAAAAACTTTGACCTTACTCAGAAATAAAAATATTTAGGAAAATTTGTCTGGCTTGACTTAAAAACTATTTGCTAACTTATTTTTAATCTAAAATAGTTTTCCTTATATTACTCTATCATTTAATTTAAAAAGAGGCTAATAAATTTAGATAATCCAATTTATATTTAAACTGAAATCAAATTTATAATTATTTTTTATATAATTTTATAATTTAATATTGATATTTATTTATAATAATCATTTTTAGTCAATTTTAAAGATATTTACAATAATATATTATATGTGTATCAAGCATTTAAATAATATATAAATTTGTAATAAATAAGTCATGTTTCTATAAATAATTACCTTTACATTCATATAATGGAGTTTGAGTATCTAAATCCCAAAATCGAATGGTTTTATCACCTGCCCCTGAGGCCAATTGTCTAAGGAAAAGCTATAAATAGGTAGTATATTATTTTAAATAAACCTTCCATTCGGACTAAACTGTATAGACAAAATTGCCTCTTCATGTCCTGGGAGAGAACTTGTGCAGCGTGTGACAGGGTAAACTCGATATAATGATTGTGGAAAAAATGTTATATTTATTGTATCTTCAGTACCATGAATTTCAAAATCATAAATTTTATTTAAAGAGTTAGATATGGGAATATCTTTATTGACATAAAAGCTAAATAACTGAGCTTCCTCCTATATTAATATATTATAATATTATAAATCAATAAGTAGAACATTATCTAATAGTTTATTGCATATTAATTGCAATTTAGAAGTAGTTATATCTGTTTCAACATCAAAAGGTGGTCCGAGCGTCTCATCGGATTCATTTCTCAACTGGATTAAAACTCTCGATAAATCCCTCATGTGAACAGATGCAGGCAGCGTAATCGAGAAACTTTAGTTATTATTATAGATGTCATTAATATTGTCTAGTCACAAATAACCATATTGTGCATGATTTATAAATAAATTTGCTAAATCAATATTTTTTTAGAAATAAAGTCAATTATAACAATTACACAGAAAGCTCGTTGGTAGGTACCAACAGGGCACCCTACACACCAAAATAATTTCTAAATTTATAAATGGAATTAAGTTATCTAAATGATAAAACTTTAAACCAAGAGTAAAAATACCTTGCAAAATACAAAATAAACGTATTTTACACAATATAAATGTATTTTACAATAATTATTGTGTTTTTGTTTTAAAACTTCTGTAATTTAATTTTCTAATATCATTTTAATTTCAAATTAAAATCGGTTATCTGAAAATTATTATTATTGAATATTCGTGATTAACACCCATCTGTTACCTTCCAACTCTCTAAACATAATCCTAAACCGCCACTGAGTTTATAAATGTAATTCATTTTCAGTGAACTTAAAATAAAATATATAAATATACCTATTATCTAAGAAATAACAAATCACTAGTGTGGTGGGGGGGGGGGGTTATTTAGGGCTCATACACCTTCTAAATTTTTTAACTCTTTCAAATAAATATCTAAATATAAATATTAAATTTAAAAATAAATTTATTGATTTTAGATTTTGAACATGTATTGTTGAAATCATATTGAAATTCGGCTCAATTTTCAGATGACTGCCTGAGAAAACTCGTTTATTAATACATTTTTATTACTTTCCTCCAAATTTGAGCTATCTTTTAAATAAAAACATTGAGGTTAAAGTGATACTTTTCAGCTAAAACCCTGTTTAGTCGATTTGGCCAGCTAAAAATTGGCTTAATAGAATAATATAGAATTACCAACCATACTAGTGACATTATGACATCTATTTATAAACTTTACAAATCAAATCTTGTATAAAACTATAGAGGGTCGAATCTATTTGATAAGGGTTGACAATAATTTTGCCACATGTGACAAAAATTCATTCAATCTTAAATTCTTACATATTTTTTAGAAGAATGCATTTGAAACAAGGCTAGAAATGCCTCTATGCCGGGAGTAAATCTAAGACTCATATACTCTTGCATTATATATCAGTTAAGTGGTATCTGTACTTTACTAAATTAAAGGATTCATGATAATAAAAATGGTATGATTAAAAATGAAGATAAGATTGTCAGAATGTGAATATGAATGTGTATTCAGAAAATATTTCTATAAAATTTTGAGTTTGGGAAAATGAGGTTTGGGTCCAATTCCTTTATTTAAAACTAATAGCATACACGCTTTAAGGGAGTCAATGTTTTCATGAAGGCAATCGTAGAAGGTTATTTTCTAATATATATTTTACCTCATACCATTCGAAAGGTGTATCATAACCCCCCTCCCTTCCTGTCATTTAGGTAAACATTGTATGTATTAAATCAGATTGTGGTACTTTTGCTATTTTCTTTCATTTGTAATAAAGATTTTACATCAGGTTTGTTTTCGAGATAATTATTTTGACTTGAATGGAAAGAGTGAATTATATATATCACATGTCTCAATTGCTTTTATAAAATATTTTCTAATCCTGTTATTTTGTCATGACGATAATGTATAATATCGAGGATCAATATATAGACATGCACAGAAAACACTTTTTCTAGCTTTATCTCGCTTGATTTTATGGAAGAAATTAGAAATTGGCAAATGTTATATAGAAATTCTTGTTTTCTAAATCGTGCATTTTTAGAGATAAATAGAATCATCTTATATGCGTCTTTTTTAAAAAATGATTGCTATACTTTTTAATTTTATAATGATAAATTATCAGTAATATAATATATAATTGACAACATTTACATAAAATAATGGTCAATAAAAGAAATTACATAATATATTCATAATAGTTTAATAAAATATATTACAAAAAATAAAGCTTAGAAATAAATATGATAAAAACTTAGAGATAAGATGATTAAAAAATATAAAAAATTTCTGTAATTTTTTTTAATTACATTAATTAATATCTATAAAATAAAAACTTATATTAACCTGTTTAATCGAGTTTATATAATTCATAGAGGTTTAGTTAGCTCTTCTAAAAAAAATTCAAAGGGGTTTATTAAAAAAATATCTAATTATATAGGTTCGGTTTCAGAGGTTCGCGACATCTCCTACATATTCCGTCCAAGTCAACAATTTGAAACACATCCTAGTTTGCTAACACTGTTGAAGATGGACTCGTGTCAAATAAAATTGCAAAATTTTGTATTATCCTATTTAAATTTTTAAAAGTTATTGAATGTGCCTAACATTTTTTTGGGAACTTGTATTTGTTTTTAAGCTTCAACACATTTCATAAAAAAAGACCATATCCGCTAACATAAATGGGCCATTAAAAACCCAAAATGGAACTAATATTAAGTTTCTTCTCTATAATGTACTACCTAAAATAATACCACGCTTTCATTAATTATAATCGAAAAAAAATACATATAATTACAAAACATGCTTATGTATTAATTTATTTAAAATTTAGATGGGAGGATGCCTTTTGTATAACGCTTTAAAATGTGTCTGGTCCTGAGAAAAAAAAAGATGGAATGAGTCGATCTTGTCTAGCCTTATAGAGCCATAGTTATATAAACTAGTGATCTGCATCGGGCCTAATTTTTCATTTATTTAAATATAGAAATTAATTTTTATAATTACTCAAAATAAAAGACATATGTTATATATCGTTTAGTTTCAATAAATAAAATCAAATATTTTTATTTTACATAAAAAATTCAATGTAAAATTGATAAATTTAGATATATTTTAAAAAAAATTTCCAAGGTATGACACGACCCGGGCGGAATTTTTTAAAAAATATTAGGCCCGGCCCGAACCCGATTATTTTAAATAAAATTAGGCCCGAGGGCCGGGTAAGGCCGGGCCTAATTTTGCAGATCTCTAATATAAACTATAATTTGAAGATCTCTATAATTTAGGAGTTGGTCTTGTTAGGTTTTAAATCATGATTTTAATCGCCTCTATACTTTTTTTAAAAATTAACGAATAAAATAAATAATTTTAACTTTATTTTGTTTGCTAACTAATATTATAATAAATATTAGTAATCATGGATTAAAAATTTAACTTTAATCTATGTTATTAGATTTCGAATACATAAATAATTTGCAATTTTATCATTCTTTCCTCACTAAATCACCTTATTTTGAATTTAGTTGATGGTTTTTACACATGGCTTATCTTAAATTAAATCAAATTAGGAAGAGCTTTAGGTTAAATATTTCGTTTCCACTTTAAAGATCTATTATAATTATTATTTATTATTAATTAAAAATTAACGTTGCAAATTTGTTTTAAGTCAATATATATTTTATATACTGCCCTATAATTATAAAATAAAAACTTGTATTAAGAAATCAAAATCAAACAAGCAGTATATTGAAATATGGAGTATACCAAGCACTTTCATTTAAAAATAGAAGAAAATTTTTTACTTAATGTTGATAAATATAAAAGATGATTGAATATCTTCTAATCTAATCAAATCACCAGACTAGACACATTTTTTGTTAAAAAAAGTAAATGAATATATTATCTTTCGATTATTCTGAAATTAGTTGTAATTATAATTACAATATTTTTATTCTATTATAAACAAGATTTTTCGGTACCAATTCTATTATAAACAAGGATTTTTTGGCATTTTTTAATAATAAATATGTCCATTTAAAAAAATCAAATAATTATATATAAATATAATGACATATGATGATAAAAACAATTTATATTTTTGCAACATTGTTTGGCTTTTTAGTATTATTACGAATAATTTTTTTCTTTGAACAAATTTTAGGCACCTTATTGGGGACTTTACTAATTTTTTTACCATTACCAACTTCATTCTGTCCATTCTTTTTTTCGACTATAGTAGGCTTATTTGGGCATTTATAACCAGTACAAATTTTTCTTTCCTCGGGCGTAAGGTCTTGGCCTTGCAGTATTTTGTGTTTAATTTCGTTAATTTGTCGACGTTTATCAAAATCACTATTTTCGATATCCATTTGACATTCCCTTTTTACCATGGTTATTTCGGTCAGTATTTTAAGGATAATTTTTTCATTTATATGAGTGTATTCTAAAGTTTTGGTACCTATGTGAGATTCTATATCTTGTAAAACTGGTATATCCTTAGGAGGAGATATGAGTGTAACAGATATACCTTCTCTCCCTAAGAAAAATTGCAGTATTATATTTTATATCAATAAAAATATTTGCGATTATATTTTTTTATTTAAAAAAACTTAGAAATTTAAATACCATAATTAGAAAGAAAATTACATTCAAAAATATAAGAATTTGAAGGATGCATATTTTTTTTATTACAAATTATATTGTTATAACTATTTTATTTTATTAAATAATAGATTTGTGATTAATTTAAAATAAACCTTTTAACCTTACAAAGTCTAATGTATAAAATATAATTAACCTGCACGTGCAGTTCTACCAACCCTATGTACGTAATCCTCTGGTGAGCTAGGGACAGTGTGATTTAATACTAAATCCACTTTAGGAATGTCCAATCCTCTATATAGTATTTTTTTTCAAAAAACAATTATATATATAAAATAAATTAAATATTTCCCATTTGAAAAAAAATAAATATCTATCAACTCCAAAACGGCCTATACAATTTTATTCAAAAAAATTAGTCTCAATCTACAAGCTGAGACTTAAATTAGAGGTTTTAGTTTATTTTTGAGGCTACAAGCTTGGCTAAGCCATATTGACATTGGGCAAATGCATAATACATATATTCATTTATTATTTTACAAATCTATCATTTAAAATGACGTAGTCACGAAAGTTAACAACACCACTGCTAATTACTAAATAAAATATAAATAAATTTTTTAAAATTTTTGAGGCTATAAGCTTGGCTAAGCCATATTGACATTGGGCAAATGCATAATACATATATTCATTTATTATTTTACAAATCTATCATTTAAAATGACGTAGTCACGAAAGTTAACAACACCACTGCAATTAGGAGGACAATAATAAAGTTACAATTAGCAAGCATACCTGCTAGCAAGATCGGTGGCTATCAAAATTCGTATAAGACCGGATTTAAATTTCGTTAACGCGACTAATCTTTGCTTTTGAGTTAGGTTTGAGTGAATAGGTAAATTGGGTATTCCTAATCTTTTCAACAAAGAATGCAGTACTTGACATTTTCTAAGTATTAATTAAATTTAAAATATTTTATTAACAGAGATGTATCGGATCCAGGATCGAGCCCAGATCTTCCCTATTAGGATCAAGCTGGTTCTTTAAGAATATCAGGTTCTTGATCAGCTCATTATTATTGGAAAATTGTTCTTTTTGTTGTAATTTACATTTTTAAAAAATGCTAGACAATGAAGACAAAATAAATTGATATAAAATTTAATATTATAATAATTTTTAAGCATAGGAAAGGACATTAAATAATTTTCACTTATTAAACAGCTATAAGTTTAAATAATATTCGAAAGGTATTTATGGTAATGAAGTGATGACTTTTAAATATTATTATTTAAAATTAAAATAAATTAATTATAAAAATGAATAATCCTATTTTTAAAAAATAACTTGATTTTTATTTAGGCACCCTGCTTAAAAAACCAATAAATTTCCAACAAATTGGTTTGTATGGTGGGAAAAGGTCGAGGTTACATGTGCATTGCTGAAGGAATTATAAATTCCAAATATAATATTTTATCGAGAGAGCTCATTAAATTGAAGAATACACTCTTTCTTCCCAAGGAGATTTTATCTTTCCACAAGGCAATTTACCATATACATTATAATAGACCAAAATTATTTATACCAAACAACGGTTTGGATTTAATGCAATGCCCATCAAACCCAGATCAAAATCCAATAAAAATGTAACTAAGCTTTTATAAAAGGTCATCATAGACAAAGCATAGACATAAAAAAATAAAATAAAAAGGGTCAAATATTTGGAAATTTTAAAAAATGTGAGACCTTTTTATGGAGCTTTACCTAAAGGGTTCGAACCGAACCGCAAAACCGAAATGAACCGTTATGATTTTCTGAACCGTAACCTTAACCGAACCGTTATGAAGAAAATATTAAAAGAGCGAACCGAACCGTTATAAATATTTTGAACCGGTTTAAACCGGTTTCAAAAATAATTAATTTTAAATTATTAACCTAAATTTAAAATTTTAATTTTCCTTGGGGGCATTTTTTAAATTGGTGATTTCTTTTCAAATTAAATATTTCTATATTATCAACATTATATATCAAATACAAACAATTAAATAAAATAACAATATGTTTTTTTATTTTTGCACAACCCTCAAAAAATAAATGACAATCAAATATATAATATATAACAAAACAGATTTAAAAAATACATTAAAAATTGGATATTTTAATTTTCGTTTTTTCTTTATATATATATTCTCCTTTTTCTAAATTCCTTTAAAATATATTTCAATATAAATTTATATTTTTATAAATTTACCTTAATTCATTGGTTGTCCTCGATAACCAATCTCAAAAAATTGATGCATTTTATTATATATAATAATTTGAAAAATCAAAAGGAATAGTAAATTCATTAAGAATTGATGCTAAATTATTAATTATTTCGTTTCGAGTATTTGGTCGGGGATTGATCGACCTATATTTGTTTTTTAACACTCCAAAAAAAATTTCTATCGGGTTTAGTTGCGGCGAATAGGGTGACAAATATTCTATTCGCGCTCTAAAACAATCAATGCATTTAGTATATTTTCTTCTTGGAATAGCCGATGTTGGATCAGTAATAGAATCACCACTTACAGAGGAAGAATTGATCATATGGAAATTATTTGTAATATTAGGTATTGAATTTGAATTAGATAAAAAAGGATCAGGATTTAATGTAAATGAATTTGTATTACTAGATAAAATTTGTCGTATATTAAACATTTGAAAAAAATATTAAACTCTATTTTATAAAAAAAATTAAGTTATATAAAAATTGTAAATGCAAAAAAATTACCGTATGTATTTTATAAAAAAAATTAAATTATATAAAAATTGTAAATGCAAAAAAATTACCGTATGTATTTTTTAAATCTGTTTTGTTATATATTATATATTTGATTGTCATTTATTTTTTGATTTTAATTGTTTGTTTTTTTTTAAATAATTTACCCTATAATGCCAGGTTTGTTGTTTTTTCTTTAAATACTTAATTTATAAGAGATTAGACAATTTATCTGTTAATTAGATAAGATATCTTAAAATCAGGCATAATTATTCTTGGCTAAATTAACAAATTTATATATAAGATATTAATAAGCTTTTAGAATAATACCTGCTAATAATTAAGAAAAAATTATATAATTCTATTATTAATAAATAACATCTAATAGAAATCAAGTACCTTTTACATTTATTTTTATATTATATGGTTTATTTTTTATCTCATTATAAAAACTTGGATCATAGAATTTAAATGACAATAAATAAAATAGTCAGCAATATTTTAATGATATAATAATTTTTTATTTATAATCATTGTTTTTTTAAATTCAGAATTCTAATATTATAAATTATTTATTATTATAATATGTTAGTTAGCATATACCATTATCATATATGCAAAATAAAAAAATATGATTAAAGAATGGCATTTGTAATGAATATTTTTCTAAATCTGTATTTTTAAATAATAAAAATATTACTATAAATCTTCTGTTTAAATAATTTAATTAACATTGCATTAAATTATTTTTATACTTTTATTTATTTATTAATATGTTTTATATTTAAATAAACTTACAGTGAATTAAAAATAGGAATTACATTTTGATGTTAAACTAAATATAAATACTATAGTTTAACTTAAATTACCTATTCTGTCATATTATATTAACATCTAATAGAAATAAAGTACTGACCAATTTTTATATAATATTGTTTTACAATAATTTCTTATTAATTGATATATTCAAAAAAAATTTATCTTAGTTTATATAGAATATATCAGAGTGGGTAATTTGAATTAAACTATACTAGTTATATTTAGTTTAACATCAAAATGTAATTCCTATTTTTAAATGTAAGTCTATTTAATATAAAACACAAAGTATAAAATAATTTAATGCAATGTTAGTTAACTTATTTAAACTGAAGATTTATAGTAAGATTTTTATTATTTAAAAATACAGATTTAGAAAAATATTCATTACAAATACCATTCTTTAATCATATTTTTTTTATTTTGCATATATGATAATGGTAAATGCTAACTAACATATTATTTTAATAATAAATATTAGAATTCTGAATTTAAAAAAAATATGATTTTTATAAATAAAAAATTATTATATCATTAAAATATTTATTGCTGACCATTTTATTTATTGTCATTTAAATTCTATAATCCAAGCTATTTAAAAAATAAAAATGAAGGTAAAATTGTTTCTATTATGCTTTTTTATTTATTCTATTTATATAATAAAAGATCATCTATCATCATATAGCTTTTTAGTTATCTATTAAATCGTTCGGGAAAAGTCAAATCCTGTGCGTTCCTATTTTAAATTAGATATCATAAAAAATCAATCTATTTGTAAAATAGAAGATTGTGGTAAGGTCTTAACTGGGGACCATGCTGCAAATCTTGAACGACATATAGAAAGATTCCACAATAGGGAATTCAAATTATTAAGAAAAAAATTTGACTATTAAAAAATTCAAATAACGAAAACTGCAAACCAGTATAATACAATCCAAGATGCTTTTAAGTCCAACACTACTACAATACAAATCAATATAAATAAAGAAACTTTAATCCGCTCCTGCACCGAGCTAATAACAGTTCACGGTAGGCCAATAAAATCATTTGACGACAAAGCATTTCGAAATATTATAGATCCAATAATTATAGGATTGGGTGGAAATTTAACTATCAATTCGGAAAATATACGCAATAATATTAAAAAAATGGCGTTAGATTTTTCGGAAAATATAAAAAAGGAAGTATATCAAAAACTTATTTCGTTAAAATTAGATATAGCAACTAGATATGATAGGTCCATATTGGGGATCAATATTCAATTTATAAATAACGGAAAAATAAAATTAAGGACTATATGCATGAAAGTGATTAAAGATCGACACACATCAGAATATCTTAAAAAAATTATTCTAGATGTTCTAAAAGAATATGAAATAAAAATTGAGCAGATTTACACAATAACCACCGATAATGCAGCAAATATGATTAAGTTAATTAAGCTATTAATACTACACGGAAGATGATGAAGATGATGACCTTAACGATTATTTAATTAATGATGATTTAAATAATAATGATATAGATAATGATGATTTAAATAATAATGATATAATTCATGATGAAAATAAAGAACCTTTTAATATTGAAAATATTAATCTTGCATCAAATGCCAGATCCATATTAATAGGTATTAGATGTGCTTCACATACATTTCAATTAGCAATTAATGATTGCATTAAAAATTCAAATGAAATTGTCATTATAAATTAAGCAAGAAACATCTGAAAAAATAAGAAATCAGACAACAATGGCTATTCTCTCAAAATTAAATTTGAAAAAAAACCACTAATAGATTGTTGCACAAGATGGAACTCTATCTATTTAATGTTGGAGAGATTACTAGAGTTAAAAAGCTTTTGCCAAGAAATATCGCTCCAAAGCGATCGCGAAAAATGTTTATCAGAGAATGAATGGAAAATAATTAGTGCCATATTAAAAGCTTTATATCCAGCTTATGTTTTGACAAAATATTTACAAAGTGAACAATTGACAATGGACGATTTTTATGCTGCGTGGATCAAATGTCTCATGCAAACGAGTAAAGTAGACACTCCATTTGCCAGACTTTTAGTTTCTACGATGAAAGCACGAGAAATAAATTTCAAAAATGAAGTTTTTTGCTTTGCTATTTATCTCGACCCTAGATATAATGTATTTTTACTTTTGAAGAAAGAGAGATCGCCAGAAAACATCTTTGTAAAACTCGGAACTTGATACAAAATTTAAATAATCAGGATATTTGAAATTCTAAATACTATGCCTACGTGTTCGTATTCGAAGGACAATTTAGATGATGATTTTGAAGATTTATTAAAGTCGCATGAAAGTCTTAATAAGAATAATTCTCAGGGCATCGAAAATTATAATAAATGTATAGAAATAGAATATATAATTCGGTCATTTGATAATATAGAGAGATTAGAAAAAGATACTTATCTTTTGAATTATTGGGAAAATGTAAAGAATAGTATGCCAGAACTTTATAAGTTAGCTATAACTGTGCTAGCAGTTCCAGCTACGCAGGTCTCCGTAGAAAGAGCATTTTCAAGCCTTAAGTTTATACTCTCTGCGCAGAGAACTAAATTAATTTTTAGTTTAAAATTTTATAAAGGTGTTCCATTTCGATTTTTTAAAAAAAAAATCATATCGGTTAGGTTTATAATTTATGGTTCTTTTCGGTTTGTTCCGGTTTTTATAAATTTAATTTTAAAAAAAATTAATCATTAACCATGTATATATTAATTTTAGAGAAAAATCTTTTTAGTTTATAATTTCTTATTTAATTTATCCATGATAATCTAATAGATATTTTTATGTTTTTTTTTATTTCATAAATAAATAAGAAAAAAACAAACATGCGTAAATACAATAATGAATAAAATAATATGTATACTATACTATTTAGGTTTAAAAAGAGAATTCGAACGGATAACTAAAATATTTTCTAATATTTCAGGATTTAATTTAGTTCTCTGCGCAGAGAGTATACACTTAAGGCTTGAAAATGCTCTTTCTACGGAGACCTGTGTAGCTGGAACTGCTAGCACAGTTATAGCTAACTTATAAAGTTCTGGCATACTATTCTTTACATTTTCCCAATAATTCAAAAGATAAGTATCTTTTTCTAATCTCTCTATATTATCAAATGACCGAATTATATATTCTATTTCTATACATTTATTATAATTTTCGATGCCCTGAGAATTATTCTTATTAAGACTTTCATGCGACTTTAATAAATCTTCAAAATCATCATCTAAATTATCCTTCGAATACGAACACGTAGGCATAGTATTTAGAATTTCAATATTCTGATTATTTAGATTTTGTATCAAGTTCCAAGTTTTACAAAGATGTTTTCTGGCGATCTCTCTTTCTTCAAAAGTTAAAAATACATTATATCTAGGGTCGAGATAAATAGCAGAGCAAAAAACTTCATTTTTGAAATTTATTTCTCGTGCTTTCATCGTAGAAACTAAAAGTCTGGCAAATGGAGTGTCTACTTTACTCGTTTGCATGAGACATTTGATCCACGCAGCATAAAAATCGCCCATTGTCAATTGTTCACTTTGTAAATATTTTGTCAAAACATAAGCTGGATATAAAGCTTTTAATATGGCACTAATTATTTTCCATTCATTCTCTGATAAACATTTTTCGCGATCGCTTTGGAGCGATATTTCTTGGCAAAAGCTTTTTAACTCTAGTAATCTCTCCAACATTAAATAGATAGAGTTCCATCTTGTGCAACAATCTATTAGTGGTTTTTTCAAATTTAATTTTGAGAGAATAGCCATTGTTGTCTGATTTCTTATTCTTTTCAGATGTTTCTTGCTTAATTTATAATGACAATTTCATTTGAATTTTTAATGCAATCATTAATTGCTAATTGAAATGTATGTGAAGCACATCTAATACCTATTAATATGGATCTGGCATTTGATGCAAGATTAATATTTTCAATATTAAAAGGTTCTTTATTTTCATCATGAATTATATCATTATTATTTAAATCATCATTATCTATATCATTATTATTTAAATCATCATTAATTAAATAATCGTTAAGGTCATCATCTTCATCATCTTCCGTGTAGTATTAATAGCTTAATTAACTTAATCATATTTGCTGCATTATCGGTGGTTATTGTGTAAATCTGCTCAATTTTTATTTCATATTCTTTTAGAACATCTAGAATAATTTTTTTAAGATATTCTGATGTGTGTCGTTCTTTAATCACTTTCATGCATAGAGTCCTTAATTTTATTTTTCCGTTATTTATAAATTGAATATTGATCCCCAATATGGACCTATCATATCTAGTTGCTATATCTAATTTTAACGAAATAAGTTTTTGATATACTTCCTTTTTTATATTTCCCGAAAAATCTAACGCCATTTTTTAAATATTATTGCGTATATTTTCCGAATTGATAGTTAAATTTCCACCCAATCCTATAATTATTGGATCTATAATATTTCGAAATGCTTTGTCGTCAATTGATTTTATTGGCCTACCGTGAACTGTTATTAGCTCGGTGCAGGAGCGGATTAAAGTTTCTTTATTTATATTGATTTGTATTGTAGTAGTGTTGGACTTAAAAGCATCTTGGATTGTATTATACTGGTTTGCAGTTTTCGTTATTTGAATTTTTTTAATAGTCAAATTTTTTTCTTAATAATTTGAATTCCCTATTGTGGAATCTTTCTATATGTCGTTCAAGATTTGCAGCATGGTCCCCAGTTAAGACCTTACCACAATCTTCTATTTTACAAATAGATTGATTTTTTATGATATCTAATTTAAAATAGGAACGCACAGGATTTGACTTTTCCCGAACGATTTAATAGATAACTAAAAAGCTATATGATGATAGATGAAAATCTTTTATTATATAAATAGAATAAATAAAAAAGCTTAATAGAAACAATTTTACCTTCATTTTTATTTTTTTAAATAACTTGGATTATAGAATTTAAATGACAATAAATAAAATGGTCAGCAATAAATATTTTAATGATATAATAATTTTTTATTTATAAAAATCATATTTTTTTTTAAATTCAGAATTCTAATATTTATTATTAAAATAATATGTTAGTTAGCATTTACCATTATCATATATGCAAAATAAAAAAAAATATGATTAAAGAATGGACATTTGTAATGAATATTTTTCTAAATCTGTATTTTTAAATAATAAAAATCTTACTATAAATCTTCAGTTTAAATAAGTTAACTAACATTGCATTAAATTATTTTATACTTTGTGTTTTATATTAAATAGACTTACATTTAAAAATAGGAATTACATTTTGATGTTAAACTAAATATAACTAGTATAGTTTAATTCAAATTACCCACTCTGATATATTCTATATAAACTAAGATAAACTATTTTTGAATATATCAATTAATAAGAAATTATTGTAAAACAATATTATATAAAAATTGGTCAGTACTTTATTTCTATTAGATGTTAATATAATATGACAGAATAGGTAATTTAAGTTAAACTATAGTATTTATATTTAGTTTAACATCAAAATGTAATTCCTATTTTTAATTCACTGTAAGTTTATTTAAATATAAAACACATTAATAAATAAATAAAAGTATAAGAATAATTTAATGCAATGTAATTAACTTATTTAAACAGAAGATTTATAGTAAGATTTTTATTATTTAAAAATATAGATTTAGAAAAATATTCATTACAAATGCCATTCTTTAATCATATTTTTTTATTTTGCATATATGATAATGGTAAATGCTAACTAACATATTATAATAATAAATAATTTATAATATTAGAATTCTGAATTTAAAAAAACAATGATTATAAATAAAAAATTTTATATCATTAAAATATTGCTGACTATTTTATTTATTGTCATTTAAATTCTATGATCCAAGTTTTTATAATGAGATAAAAAATAAACCATATAATATAAAAATGAATGTAAAAGGTACTTGATTTCTATTAGATGTTATTTATTAATAATAGAATTATATAATTTTTTCCTAATTATTAGCAGGTATTATTCTAAAACCTTATTAATATCTTATATATAAATTTATTAATTTAGCCAAGAATAATTATGTCTGATTTTAAGATATTTTATCTAATTAACAGATAAATTGTCTAATCTCTTATAAATTAAGCATTTAAAGGTAAAACAACAAACCTGGTATTATTTGATATATAATGTTGATAATATAAAAATATTTAATTTGATATATAATGTTGATAATATAGAAATATTTAATTTGAAAAGAAATCACCAATTTAAATAATGCCCCCAAGGAAAATTAAAATTTAAATTTAGGTTAATAATTTAAAATTAATTATTTTTAAAACCGTTTTGAACCTGTTTAAAATTTTATAACGGTTCGGTTCGCTCTTTTAATATTTTCTTCATAACGGTTCGGTTAAGGTTACGGTTCAGAAAATCATAACGGTTCATTCCGGTTTTGCGGTTCGGTTCGAATCCCTGATTGACAGTACTAAATAATATTGGCTAACATATTTTCTTAAAATAACGGAATATTTATGCATCCCCTCTCATCAAAATATAGGTAGATTTCTGATTCATACCTTATAAAAATAAGACAATTTTTGATTCACCTCTCATGAAATATAACGAATCATTATTTGTTGGGCTATTTGCTATTACAATATATAATTATTTAAATATCTATTAAGTTATGCTTAAATATTACTTGCAACTGCTAGTAAATATGATGGCTAAAGAGTGTTCATCCGTCTTAAACATAGATTTAAGGGTTTGTGAGGTAGACATTATTTTCGATTTATTTAACGTGTCATCGAGTTTATTCAAAAAATCTAGCATCACGTAAACCATGTAGCTCTCTTTAATGTGGAATGGGGTCAGAAGGTAAAATTGGTGCAAGGTATCAACCGTGGCAAACCTAAATATAATCCAGAAAAAAAGTTAAGAATCGATTTCATAAAGTATTAAATATAACTGAATAACTATCATCGATCTCGTAGAATAATGTGTCAGAGCTTTCTCACAATTAGCAAGCGCTGTCACTGGGGTTGTCAAGTAATATGTAATTAATAAATTTTTGGAGCTAAAAGTTTTTTAAGCACGGCTAAGGCCACTAACACTCTGATTATTGGAAATGGGACTTTCTTAGCAAGCCTAAATGAAAGAAGTAATTTCAAGTGCATTAAATGCACCAAAAAAAACATAAAAAGTTATGTTGAATTCAAGTTTATTTTTAAAAAAATCATATGTCTTATATTGTTATTTTTAGCAAGATAGATTCCAAGATAAATCGTGCGAACAAATACGATTTTCTAACATTAGTCTTTAAATGAATATGAAACATGATATAATGGTTATTATCAGAGTTGTTACGAAATTTTTTAAAATTACAATGTTTCGTATTCTTGTCACAATACACATTTTCAATACTTATTTTATATATTAAATTTTAATTTATTCTCTATTTTTTTTCCCACAAACAATTTAAATAAAATGTTTTTTTGAAAAATATTTATCATTCTTATCCAGTTAAAAACTAAAAAATTAATATTTCAAAATAACAAAGAGCTCTTTAGTTTTATTTTTCCCCTACATTATCTTCTAATCATTTCTTTAAATAATCAGCGTAGCTGCTTAAATTTCCTCAAAAAATATTGCAAATAATGTATAAAAGGCTTATAGAATGGCATTATATAATGAACGTATCAATGCAATAAAAGGCGTTTTCTTGCTGTTTAAAAAATCAATTTAAGAATATAATTCTTTTATCAATTATTTTTTTAAAATACCCTTATTATTTTCAGTCATGGTTACGCTGAAAGTTAGGTTGTGCCGATATTAAATATCGGATAGGATATGTACCGATCCGATCTTTTTCTTGTTTTTTGTCATTTTATATTGTATATATTCATATATTGTTTATTTTACATTATCCCGGGCCAGGCCTTAAAAATTTTTTATAAAAAATATCCGAACCGGGCTGGATATTTTAAAACCAAATAATTTAATTCGCCATTATTATCTATAAAAATTAAAAATAGATATAATATATTTTAAAAATATCCAGGCCTTGAAAATGATACCTCTGCAGGTCTCTAATAAAAATGGAAGGATTCTAAATCTTTTTTTATAAATAATAACTAGCCCATTTTTAATATTTAACCTAGACGTAATACAAAATAATCCGTTTGACTAAACTGCAAATGCCTTGGTAAAAATTCTTTATATATCTTCTATTTATTAAGTTGATATTCATTTTCTTATGATATAAAAGTCGTGAATTGAAAGGAAAGAAAAGTTATTGTAAAATTGTAAAAAAATTAAATTGCAGATCAGTATTATAAAGGTTAATTGAAATGTTTAAATTGTAATCATATTAAATGATAATTATATGAAAGTGTAATATTGATAGATGTATATTTTAGTGTTTAAAGTTAGTATAAATATAGAAATCGAATATGTAAAATAAGACGAATTTTTACTTTTATTTATTTTTTAATGATTATTGAGTTACCATATAATTTAAAAAAATTAATTTACTATCCTCAATTCTTATCGTAATTTAGAATGGTAATGAATTTCTCTCTCATTCAAAACTTCGAAGTTATGAAAATTAAAATACTAGATGTGTACAATAATAAGGTCATGTAAATTAATAATTATATTTCACACAATCTATTAAAAGATGTGTGCCAGATTTGCGAATCAGGTCAATAAAGGCGTTTATTTCGAGTAAAGTGAACAATAAAGTGCTTTCGAAATTTGGGAAAAATAATTGGAAACCCGATTTTATTGTGTTTTAATAACGACTTGGATGAATTAAGATCTTGGATCTATGGTAATTTAGACATTGGGAAAAAGGTTATTGATAAAAGAACCTGGCTAATCTGGACATTTGTAAAAAGTTACTGATAAAAGAACCTTGCTAATTAGATGTAATTATAAAAATTACGATGGAATTATCAGCCAGTCAACATAGAGCTTGAATATGAGGATGAGTGGGGCTATGAATTCGCAACCATAGTCACCATCCTCTATTCGAAAGATAATTAGAATCTGTTATATTGTGGAAATAATTTAAATAAAATCACTCGAGGTGATAATGAAATATTTTATGTAAAAGTTAAAATCGATTTAAATGTAGAAGTAAAAATTAACGATAAAATGTAAATAGATTATTTTGAAAGACATAACTGTAGGTTATTGATATATTATAATTTTTTTGTATATATTGTTATGTTTTTTTGTTATATTATAGTTTTTGAAATTTATATGTTATAATAAAAAAAAGATAAATTAAATATTTGTGGTCAACTTTAAATTATAAAATCTCATCCTTATCACATATCCGAGAAATCGTAAAATTCTTATATGGTGGCAACGTATTCCGACGTTTACAATTCTTATAATAGTCTCAGTTTATAGTTACAATATGACAGAGCGCTTTCGATACATCATGATTATAAGATGTCCATCACGCTTTCAAATCACGCAACATCGCTATGCTTCGACGCATAAATCCATTACGTTTATACACGAGACATTCTTTATTAATGCTCAATGCTATCAACGAGACTGAATCATTTGACCAACGCTACCAGATAAATTTATTAGCTTGTATTATTCAATTTTATATACGTATATATAAATATATTTTTTTTCCCGTGTGATATATGATATAAATAAGATGTGAAATAAACGATCATTATAAATAATATACATTATGAAACCGTTAGTAAATACAAAAAATAATATAGTTGACGTACCGGCGTTTACAGGGAACGTTGAGTTTTTTTTAAAAAGATTCGATTCCGTATTAAAAGATAGCCAATGGACGGAAGCGGAAAAAGCGAGTATTTTCACAAACAGATTACCAGAAGACGAGTACTTAAATCTAGAGGCAATCTGTACATCGTCCGAGTTCTCTAATCTTACAAATTTAATCGAGAAGTTTAAACTTCTACACCCTGAAAAATCTATGGACAGTTACAAGGTTGATTTTGCGGCGGCGGTGCAAAATCCAGGTGAAAAATTTCAGGCCTGAGTAACTCGAGTATGTGGTTTAAATACTAAATGTAAGTATAAAGACTTTGAGAGAGCGATAGAAAAAATAAGGCTTTCATCGATAAGTAAGAAAATCAGGCAGAGAATTTCTAAAATGGAAAATGTAAATATAGATATGATACTAAAGGCAGCAGCAGATATAGAAGAGAAAGAAGCGTGTGACAATATTTTAAATAAAATTGATAATATAAAAATTGAAGCAGGAACCACGGTGAAAGCGATAGATGAGGTCGAAGTCAAGAGGATAAGTTCGGATAATCAACTGGTGAAATACGATGGTAACAATGGATTGGCGTACTTCAAATGATAATGGGTTTAGACGGCAGTGGACACCTAGATGCGATAATTGGCAGAGGTTTCAAGGAAACAATTATGATTCACGTTATCGTAACAATTTCAATCCGCGGTATCAAAATAACTTTAATCATAGATATCAATATAATGGCAGAGCGCCAAGATCGAGATTCAATAATGATAATTATAACGATAGGTGTAATTATGACAGATACAATGATAGAAATAATAATGATTCAAGATACAGACCAAGATATAATCAGAATTACGATCAAAGTTATAATCGTAACTACAATCAGAATTGCAACCAAAACTACAATCAATCGTATAATAATAACAGATACCGAAATAATGACAATAATCAACGGCGATACTCAAATAAAGTAAATACGGTCAATATAGAAGAAATAAAGGAAATAAAGGATGTAAATTGTGATAAAATTGAAAAAGAAGAATATAGTCTTTTTAATGTGGATATAAATAATCTTGATGATGATAATAACAAAGCGTATGACGCATATAAAATCATGATGCACCTTAATGATGTGCCAATTGAATTACAGATAGACACGGGGTCAAGATTCACAATACTACCAATAAGTGTTGCAAGAAAAATTGGTATTAAAACATTAAAGAAATCGGAAACAAAACTTACGGGCTACGATGGGAGAATTATAAAGGTGTTGGGCACCGTTGACATCAAGGCAAAATATGGAAACAAGACAGAGACCTTGAACATACACGTAGTGCAGAGCAATAAAATACCGCTGTTAGGTAGGACATGGTTAAAAGCGTTTGGCAACATATTAGATCAATTTGTAAACCATGTCGAAGAAAATTATGATGATGCAATACAAAAGATGATAAACGAATGTAAAACCAAAGTTGACAAAAAGCCTATAAATCGCAGTTATGTTAAATTTTATCTTAAACAGGACGCTATACCAAAAATAATACCGCCAAGACGAGTGCCATATAAACGACATGATTTGTTAACAAAGGAGTTGCAGAAGTGGATCGATGACAAGATAATCGAGCCAGTGGACGACGTACGCTGGGCGACTCCGCTCACACCTGTTTATAAGAGCGATGGTACATTGAGGCTTTGCGTAGACTTGAAGAGCACAATCAATCCTGCACTGGTAGACTTCAAATACCCAATTCCAAGAATCAATGACCTTATATCAAAGCTGTCAAAAGGCAAGAAGTTTACAAAAATAGATTTTAAGAATGCTTTTCTTCAAATACCAATTCACAAAGAATCAAGAAATCTTCTCACCATATCCACGCATAGAGGTTACTTCAGATTCACCAGACTTCCTTTCGGTTTAAAGACATCATCAGCTATTTTTCAAACAAGATTTTTGGTGATTTAAAAGACGTTATTTTCTACATTGATGACTTATTAATTAATTACTGGTGATGATGACGAAAAACACATGAAAAACATATGAAAAACATAAAATTGGTTTTTGACAGAATCTCAAAATATGGACTAATACCTAATTTTACGAAGAGTATATAACTATTCCCATAGGAGTCAGTGAACTCCTGTCCTTGTATGGCCGAAAACGCAGTTTGCATGTCATCTGCATTATCGTAATAGAAGAAATGGACCAATCTTGTTTCGTGTATAAACGGAATGGATTTGTGCGTCGAAGTATTGCGATGTTGCCTGATTTCAAAGCGTGATGGACATCTTATAATCATGATGTATCGAAATCGCTCTGTCATATTGTAACTATAAACTGAGACTATTATAAGAATTGTAAACGTCGGAATACGTTGCCACCATATAAGAATTCTACGATTTCTCGGATATGTGATAAGGATGAGATTTTATAATTTAAAGTTGACCACAAATATTTAATTTATCTTTTTTTATTATAACATATAAATTTCAAAAAGGGTATACAAAATATAGAAAATAATGAGATTACTAGTGATTTATGGGACATACCAATTAACTTTCAAAGAATAGTGAAAGAAACAAACGATGATGATGAATTAATGGAAGTAATAAATAACATCAAACATGGTGAAGATATAAAAAACAAAACATACAAGAATATGGAAATGGAGTTGAGTTTGATAAAGAATTGCCTTTTTAAAGAAAACCGAATCATAATACCGAGGAAAATGAGAAATGAGATGTTAAAAGATTTACACAAAGGGCATTTAGGCGCAGGCAAGATAAAATTATTGGCGAAAGATTATTTATGGTGGCCTGGTATAAATGCAGATGTAGATCAAGAGGTAAAAGAGTGTGAAGAATGTAACAAATGGGCAGACAATCCACACAATATACAAAATCCATGGAGAATCGCGAATAAAATTTTTGAACGAGTACATATTGACTTTGCACAGTTCGGAGATAATGATTACATGGTATTTGTGGACGCGTATAGCAAATTTCCAATAATAAAGAGAATGAAAAGTATTACAACAGAATCTACTGTGAAAGAACTTGAGAATAATAAGTCTGTTTGGAATACCATATAACATCGTGACGGATAATGGCACCAATTTCACTAGTCACCTATTTAAAAAATTTTGTGAGGATCATGGAATAAAACATATTTTGACTGCTCCACATAACAATCCAATGGTCAATGCGAACGTATGATTAAATCAATGAAAATGAGCTTGAAGAGAAATGTGGAGAATAACACAAAAGTTAACGCCGACATAGCTTTATAAAAATTTTTGTTTAATTATCGAAATACTCCAAATGCGACGACAAATATGATACCAAGCAAATTAATGTTTTCTAGAAGTATAAGGACAATATGGGATTTGGTTAAACCTATGGAGGAAAAAGATAACGTATTAAATCGCAAAATAACAGTAACGAGAAATATCAACGTAGGAGATAAAATTTGGTATAAAACGTTCAAGGAAAACATGTGGGATAAAGGAGTAGTGATACATAAAGATGGAAATTTATCATACAAAATAGATACTGGACATAATATAATAAGAAGACATTTGGATCAAATAAAAATAAGATCAACAAGTAATGATTATACGACGAGTGAACGAGTTTTTAGAGGGGGAAGAGGTCAGGAGCAAAATCAAGATCAAAATAAAGAACAAGATCAAGTTCAAGTTCAAAGCCAGATACGAGATCGAAATCAAATAAGTATTCAAGAGCCAAGTCGACAATACAATTTGAGACCGAAGAAATTCATTGATTATAAATAAACTATATAAAATAAAATATAATTTTTTAGTTAAATTTGATGTTAGAACGAAAAGGTCCATGGACTTGGAATAAATAAAGAACTTAGGGATTACCTCAATATACGATACGAATGATGGGTACGAGGAAGGGGGAAACTAAAAGAGAAGGAAATGTTATATTGTGGAAATAATTTAAATAAAATCACTCGAGGTGATAATGAAATATTTTATGTAAAAGTTAAAATCGATTTAAATGTAAAAGTAAAAATTAATTTAAAGGTAAAAAGTTAAAAAATGATTTGAAATGGATGTATAACGATAAAATGTAAAGACATAACTGTAGGTTATTGATATATTATAATTTTTTTGTATATATTGTTATGTTTTTTTGTTATATTATAGTTTTTGAAATTTATATGTTATAATAAAAAAAAGATAAATTAAATATTTGTGGTCAACTTTAAATTATAAAATCTCATCCTTATCACATATCCGAGAAATCGTAGAATTCTTATAGAATCGATCATCAAATAGTTTCCCAAAAGATTCAAGTCAAATTGGATAGTCCATCGATGAGGCCCAACGACAGGGACAAGTTATGATGACTACACAGTTAATGATAAGAGTAGTGGTATCAAAAGGAAATTGATTAGGGTTATAACTGTGAACTCATGGCGGTTCAAGCGATAACGGATTGTTCAAGGACTGTTCAACGTTTAACGCGTTGTGGACTGACCACGTGGGTACAATTGGTGATAATAACGGGTGCAGAATTGGCTATGGTGACCGCGATGCCATCAAATCCAAGCAATAATGGGATCCTCGAGGACCTTCAAAGTTTAACGCCATTTGGACGATCCAAGGTTTGCAACTGTATGAGGATGTTTTGGATTGGATAAAAGAGGTTGGGGGAGAGATGTAGCGATTAGCTATCAAACACAGCCACAAGAATAAATCCACATAATATGGTTTTGAAGATGGAGGAAAATTCGAGAATGATTGCTAGGGATTATGGAATGGGATGTTTATGATTGTTATAATATTGTTGTCGGATATAGATGATAGAGGTCTGCATTGGGTGGGGTTTCGGCACGCCAGCCCCTCTAAGTGGGTGTGCAGAAATTTTTTTAAGAATGGGCGGCTGGCGGGTCTATGGGCGGGTGGGTGGGTTAAGAAATTTAAGCAATGGGCGGGCGGGTTAAAAAATTTAAAATCATTTAAGTAAATATTAATAAAAAAATTATTTATATGAACTTTTTTGGATATTAAAAATTAAAATGTTCCTTTTTTGGTATCATAAAAATATTTTTCTTAAAATAAATAAACTTTTTTAAAAAATTTAAAACTAGTTTGGTGGAAACGACAAGTAAGATATTTGCCACTATCAAAATTAGCAAGAAAAACATGCGCAATTCCTGCAACTAGTGCTTATTCTGAACGAGGATTTAACATTGCTGGAAGGTTTTTAGAACAAAGAAGAACGTGTTTAAATCCAGAAAATGTTGATTTATTATTATTTTTACATTATTAATTACATATAATATCAATTTTATATTTATATTATTTTCATAAATTATTTGATCAAATAAATTTTAAATTGAATATTTTTTTATGCTTAACATAATAATTTCTTAAAAACTTTTTGTAGAGGTGTAATGCTGATTTTTTTTAATAGATGCTTAAAAAATTGAAGGAATGGCCATAATTAAATTTAATAATAGCGGGCTTGGGTTAAAAAATTTTAGACTAATGGACGGGCGGGTATATTTTTTAGAAAACTATCGGTGGGAGGGTTAAATTTTTTAAAACATTGGATGGGCGGGCTTATGGAAAAAAAACGGCCCAATGCAGGCCTCTAATAGATTATATATAATGTGTACAAATGGTTTACTTGATAGCAATAAAGTATTACATAAAGTCCAAGTTATATATTATATATGCTATAAATACTATCATTTTCTTAATATCCAGGAAGAGCTAAACATGATTCTATATTTATATTTTTAACCTTTTTAATAAGGGTTGCATAGGAACGCGTAGTTTAGTCAAAAAAAGTGTTTTTTCAAAAGCCTACTAAGTTATAAAAAAATTTTAATTTAATAATAACATTTCTGAATCCTTTTGAGGAACTAAATATGATTCTACGTTCATTTTTTAAAAATAGGGCATATTTATCAGAGACCTGAAGAGGTATAATTTGCATGGCCCAACATGGCCAGGATTTTATTTTAAGGCCTGCAGGTCTCTGATATTTATCAAGAGCATGTAGGGGCATGTATCTTAGTCATGTGAAAAAAGTATTTTTCTAAAATTTGATTATGTTACCATTTATTTTAAATTTAAAAATATACATTTTCTAAATCATTTTGACAAGCTAAACATGATTCTATATTAATATTATTAAATTAAAGCCTTTTTAATAGTAGTAGCACATAGTTTCCAAGTGCACATATTTTAGTCATGCCTTATTTTTGACTATATTTAGGCCTAAAACTAAAATGACTAACAGGTTTGGGCTAAAAAAGAGGAATTTGTAGCCCTCTAACTGAAGTATGGATAGTGACAAATAAGAAATTCCTATGATGGGACAAAGAGTCTGTGAGATCATAGAGATCACCTGTTGTGCAAAATATGGGAAAATGAGCCATCACAAAGGCCAAGTATAGAAACTCCATTGATCCTTTATTATATTGGAGACTACATATATTTTCTTTACAATAAACACATAGATTAAAATTTAAATATATTAATAACAATGGGTTACAAGATAAATATTAATTATACACAATTTAGCACTATGCTAAAAAATATTTTAAAATAATATAAAATTTACTCAGAATCTTGTCTCCATATAAATGGTTTTGTTTCTGCCAATGATATATCACAAAGAGTTTGAAGTGCTTGATTAAAAGTAGCACTGAAGATCAAATTTTGTCGCTTTTTTGGTAATAATTTCATAATAGTTGATAATTGTTCATTAAAATACCCTGCTAATAACCTATCAGCTTCATCCATAACCTTTATATAAAATAATTTTAAAAAATCATTTTTATATATTACAAAAAATTTTAGTCTATCAAATTTTAGTTCTCCATAGGTTTCTATATGATCAACAAGTCTTCCAGGAGTGGATATGATAATATGAGGTATAAATGACATATCTCTTCCCTGCATCATCATATCTAATGTTTATTAATAATCTATCATATTAACTAAATATACCATTCCCTCCAACAATTACTGTTATTTTTATATTTAATGGCTTGCCTAAAACCATAAAATGATCAGCAATTTGATAGGCTAACTCTCTAAACATATAATATTGTAATTGATTAACAAATTTATAACCTAGTAGGGGTAAGTACTAATGCAAATATTCCATATGGATCTTCACTAAATTTTTGTAAGATAGGAAGAGCAAAAGCTGCTGTTTTACCACTTCCAGTTTTAGCATTTCCAATACAATTTGCCCCTATAATACATTTAAATTTTATTCTGATGCTTAATACAACCTTTAAGAATTTTAGGTATGCATCCTTTTTGAACTGGAGTAGGGTTTGATATATTCATAATAAGGCATTGCTCTATTAACCATTTATCCAAGCCAAGATCTTTAAAATTTTTTCTTTTTTCCATATTTTTTTTATTACTGAATGATAAATATAGCCATGGTAAATTTTTATTAACTATTTTGTGCTAAACTATGGCCTTTTAAATATAGCTTAATTTGTACTAAACGAACATTGTAAAAAAAAAAGTAAACAATTTTAATTTATTTATAAATATAAATTTATATCAAAAATTATAACATTTGGAGCGCTTATACTAATGTATAATCGCTATCTTTTGGAAGTGGTTTGTTTAAGCGACCCATTTTGGGAATAAAAACGGTCTCCGAGTAAATAAAATGCATATGTTGAAAAAATAGTGAGGATTTCTATTTTAAAGGTTAGAAATTTTTTTTACTTTTAATTTATTTGTAAATTCTATCTAAGAATTATGATTCACTTTTCTTCTCACCTACAAGTAATTAATTGATATATGATTTTCTCCTGTATTTAAAGCAATTGCACATTACGATTTCATACTAAACTAATCCTTCATTTACATTTTATTCAAGATTAATGTCATTTTATTCAAATGGCTGCATACAATTAAGATCAAGAAAGAAAAAATAATGATTCTATTTCATTCTCAAGAAATAATTTCAAAATTTTAATAAATGCTTAAATGAAGGAATATGAATTTATAAAACAGTGATAACAAGTGACAAACTACTTCATATTCTTAAGCGCCATTTTAGAGGAGATGTACATTCGGCATCTTCATATAATATGTATAATTTTTTGGCTCATCATTTATTTTATTCTCTTTGTTGAATATGTTAGAATTATTTGGAAAATATGTTTGAAGTGCTTCATATTCATTGATTTTAATCAAATGATAAAATATTTTGCCACTTTATAGTTGCATTATGTAAATTGTAAAAATATTTTAACAATTTAATTTATAGAAATTTCATTGTTAGGATTGAAATTTTATAAAAAGTAGCGTAAAATAAAAAATTATCACAATTGAGAGTTTTTGCTTATTGAGAAAAGTTGGAACCTAAATATAAAAAGAAAATATATACTAAAATTATAGTTGAATCCTTTATTAAGTAATAATAATTATAATTAAATACAAAGTGAAAAACATAATCAAAATAAAAGAAAATTAAAATTAATATAAGAAAAATAAAAGTAAAAAATTAAAAAGTAAATTTTAGTTAAAAAAAATAATCCTTTTTCGCATCATAATTTCTCCATTATATATCCTTTTTCTTTAATCAACATTTACATTCCTAGCGAAGAATAAAAAGTTCTACATCCCACTTGTTAAAACTGTTAAAGTATGAAAAAATCTACAAATATCACGCGTTTTTTTCTCATTTACATAGACGGGGATATTTTAATAAAACGTTATTTTTGTTTACGATTTGCATAATGCATATTTTTGTAACGCAAAAATGCAACATAGTACACACCTATAAATATGTTTAATATTTGCTGATAATTCCATATAATTATTTTTAAGACTTTTCACAGTTTTAGGGATTTTCAGCGCGATTTTTGATTTTATCTTCGCAAGACATTTATGCGCGTAGTGGTATAAAAATTAATATGAAGATAAGTCACAACTTAAATCGGGACTTATCCGAATTGTATAATAAAAAATATCATATATTGTTAAATATTTATCCAATCTATGGCATTTGTTTTATCAAATAAAATAAAATATACTATAATTAAGAATGTAAAACAATGAAAAAAACATCTTTTTCTTTCACACAAAAAAACGAGAAATAAAACTAAAAAGTGGAGAAACACGTGCTTAAAATCATTTTTCAATTTAAACAATCAAAATTCAATTTGCAAATATTTTCTTATAAAAAAAAATAAAATGTTTAATTTTTAATAAGCACAAATGTAATTAGATAATGATTGTGATAATAAAAAATTTCCAACAAAATAATGATAGATTATATTTAGGATGATTGTGTTTGGTATTGTTAAATGGCTAACCCAATATTTTAGCCAAAAAAATACGCACAAAATTTTGTTTATAGATATCCATGCCCAGCGCCGTGCAGAAACATTTGGTGGCCCAGAACAAATAATAATTTGGCGGCCCCCTAAAAAACAGAATTTACCTAAGTTTATTTGATAATTTTTTGCAATGTTCTGAAAATTTGTTTGTCAAATTTTATAAAAATTTACAACAATAATAATATATTGCATCTTTCTTTATCGAGTACACTAGATATTGATGACAGACTAATTGATTATTTGAAAGTAGCATTTGGAAAGAAGTAGAAAAAGTCTAAAATTAAAATTCCGAATCGTTGAGGACCTTTTTTTCTGCTAAAAACATTCATAGATTATCAGTTATCCATAATAGCCATTCACCTATATCGTCCCAGTTTGTTTATATATGAGGAATTATTCTTAACTATGTTCTATTCTGCGATGGATTCACCTATATTATGAGAAATAAGTATTTGAACCAGAGACCTCTGAAGCGCTCGTCATGAGAGAGAGAAATATGTGAACCAACGACTTCTGCTGGATCGTCATGATGAGAAAAAGAAATGAATCAGCGACTTCTGTGGGATTGTCACGATTGATCTTTAAAATATTAATATGCTCAGAATTGAATATCTAATATTTCTGGCATTTCACTTGTGGCGCATAATGTCACATACATTTTTAAAGTGTAAAATAGCCTCTTTTTGAGAATTAGTAAATGTAGCTTCGTGCTTCTTTCTTTTTCAGCACCTATCAGATTTGCTGGTTATGAAATAAAAGATACATCTCCTAACAATTAAACTCATTCCCTTTACTGGTTAACGGTGCATATATGCACCACCTCCTATATACCTTATTTTAACATAGTAGTTTTTATTTTAAAAAATAATAAAAAAGATTTTTATATAGTTCAGACATTGTACTTCAAAACTGGAAAAGAAAAATATGAAAAAAATATTTTTTTATGTCCCTAAGAAACCCTCAAACTTTGCGAATTTATGAGGTCTAAAATGCAAAATTTTCTAAGTGATCTCACAAGCATATTATAAAATTATTTCGATGAAAACTAGTGTGTATATATTCTTTATAGATATATCAATATTTATCAATCATTTTTGAATTTTTAAATAATTAAAATTTTTATAGATAACCACATAAAGTTGACTGGTGCATATATGCACCGTTAACCATCTAGCAGTATAAATTATTTAAAAAAATTCAAACAAATGAAATTTAACATAATGAATTATAATTTTTTATATTATACTTAAAACCACTACCATCACTAAGGTGGTGGGAGGAGGGGTGGGTGGCTCGAGCCCCCTAAGAATTTTTTTTTAAAAATTTTATACCCAAAAAAAGACCTTTTGAAAATAATTAAAAAAAAATTTTTAGCCCCCTGAGATTAAATCGAATAATATATTGTTCCTATTATAATTTTTTATCCCGATCAAATTATATGAAATTATTAGGTTCATAAATATTCAAAAGTTTAAAATTATTTTTAGCCTCTTCCTTTCTGAAGATTTTATTTTATTTATATAAAATATTATGCACCTGTTTTGTCAATTCAATCAAAATTATCAAAATAATAGATGACTAATAAAAAAATCAAGATTCTACGAAAATAATTTGTCTAGATATTTAATTTTTAATAAATTTTTTTAATGAAACGTTTTCTAACAATTGAACAAGCGCTTGCTCAACTTTTTGAAGAGGAACCAATTGAAGAAAGAGATATGGTTATAATTCCGCCAAACCCCTCTGCAGTTAGTGATGAAGAAGATTTCGATGAAAATGACTTAACAAATGTCGGAGTTTTGCCTTCAGATACAGCTGGAGAATTGGAGATTCATAATTCAGTTGATAACGACCTTCCAGAACCATATTCTACAAGAAGCTATTCTCGAATTTCTCACAATTTAAAATGGAGAAAAACGGATGCAATATATTCTTCAAGCCCTTTCGATGGAGAAAAGGAAGATGTAATAAAACTTGAAAATGATTTACATGGTAAAAGTCCATCAGATATATTTTCTTTAATTTCGACAAAGATTTATATTCCCTAATTGTAGAACAAAGTAATATTTATGTAAACAAATGAATAGACCTAACATATGCATAACCATCCAAGATATTCAGAGATTTATTGGAATTCTATTATTTACTGGATATCATTCTCTCCCACAAGAAAGAATGTACTGGTCTAATGATAGCGATATTTCTATTCCAATAATCCGGGATAAAATGACCCAATTACAATTTCGAAATTTGAAATATAATATCCATTTGGCAGACAATACTAAAATAGATATACATGATAGATTTTATAAAGTTAGGCCTTATATTAATATATTGAATAATAAATTTCAGCAATTTGGAATTTTCAAACATCATTTATCAATAGATGAACAGATGATACCATATCGAGGAAGACATTCTTGCAAAATGTTCATAAAAGGAAAACCAATTAGATTTGGATACAAGTCTTGGATATTGGCTTCTTCCGACGGTTACGTATTCTCATTTGATATATATCAAGGAAAAAGCGAAAATAAATATGAATATGGATTAGGTGGAAATGTAATCATAAAATTATTAAAGGCATTGCAAAAACCAAATTATCATAAAATATATTTTGATAATTTCTTTACATCATTTAAACTCTTGTCATACTTAAAACAAATGGGATATTTTGCAACTGGAACTGTGAGGGACAATAGAATAGAGCATTGCCCAGTTGAATCTATAAAGGTTGTAGCAAAAAAGATAGAGGATATTATGATTATAGGTTTGAAAAATTAAACGAAATATTTGTAGTTCGTTGGAATGATAATTCGATGGTGACCGTTGCATCGACATGCCACACTATCTCTTTGCTTTCTAATGTTTCAAGGTATTCTAAGAAAATATCTTCTAAAATAAAAATTCCTCAACCAAATATGGTAACTGCTTATAACAAACACATGGGTGGAGTTGATCTATGTGATAATCTAATATCTACATATAGAATAAAAATAAGAGGAAAAAAATGGTGGTGGCCAATATTCACCAATTTTATTGATGTAGCTTTGGTAAATTCATGGAAAATCTGGAAATTCGTGAATCGAGATGACAAGAAGAGTTTGCTTGCATTTAGACGAGAAGTTACTAACTACCTCCTTCGAACGCCAGTAAAAATTGAAAAAATTACAAGTACAGGTCACGCCAGCCAGTTTGCATTACAGTGTGAAAACCCTATTGATTCATCTGGACATTATTTATCCAAAATTATAGATGGAAAAAGACGAAGATGCAGATATTGCCATACGCACTCAAGATATATGTGTCAAACATGTCAAATCGCACTCCATATTAAGTGTTTCAAGGATTTTCATAATATATAAACATTTTCTCGTTTTTATTATAAATTACAAAAAAAGAATAAAGATATTTGTTGTTTTTTGATCTTATAGTATTTTATATAATTTTTATCTTTTTTAACCTCTTAATGGTTAACGGTGCATATATGCACCAGGCAAGATTTTCTATTTAGGATTATTTTTTTTGGCTGATTTTTTTAGAATATCATATTTGAGCATTAATCAATATAATTTGAAAAAATTGAGCATTTTTATCCACTAGAAAAATCTTGACCATTAATGGGTAATCTAATTTGTCATTTTTTAAGGGTTTAAAGTATTCGAATCTAAATCTTAATTAAAATAATAACTCAATCTAGATTAGAGCAATTTAAAGTAAACCCACTTGAAAGATTCATATATCAAATGAAGACTATGGTGCTTTTTTATTATAAAATAGACTAATCAAACTACCCAAAAAGTGCCTCATAAGTCAACTATTACAAGCACAAAAATAGGACTTTTGCGAGAAGATATACCAATTATTAATCAAAGTAATCATTTAATAGAAATCTGAAAATAAATTATTATATTTTTACTTACAGAAAAAAAGAAAATTTCAATAAAAAAAATAAAATTTCTTAAATAAATATAGATGAAGTTTTTTGCGAAAATATAAATCAAATATTTTGTTATAATACATATGGCCAAACCTTTTTTCAAAATTAATACATGGATTTTTTTATAAAATAAGAATAATGTCTTGTATGTAGCTACAAAAAAATTCTTATTTTAGAGGCTAAAAATAATTGAGTAAAATTACAAAATTTGGTGGCCCTAAAAGTGTCCAATTTTGGTGACCCGGGACGGCTGCCCCACTCGCCTCTCTGGCCCTGTCCAATTTTTGTCATCTAAGAGCAAAATCTTTAGACTTGCGTAATATTTTTTGCTAAAATATCGGGTTAGCCGTTTATAAAAATCAAACCGTTTAACAAAGCTAATTGTATTATTGCTAAATTTGCGGCGAGATTGATGAGTTATATTTTCATAAAGATTGTAGTAGTAATAAAAAAAAATTTCCCAGCTTGTTTTCCCGAAAATATTTGTTTTCATCCCTAGATACAATTTATAGGACTAACAATTATCAGATCAAAAAATGGAACTTCAAAAATCTATTTATTATAGTGTGTTGGAAAAATCTCGATGCTTAGATAATATTTTCTTTAGTTAAAACCTTGATTTAACTGTTTTTTAAAATAACGTTGCCTGGAAATTAAATTATTCTATCTTCAATTTTTGCAATTTTACATGAGTGCAATTTTTTAAATTAAGTTTCTATTGTTTTATATAATTGTTAGCCTTATATTGGCTATAATTTAACTTTTTTTATAAATATTTCGGATTTTTTTTTATGTAAATGGAATAATATAATTATAAAAAATACTTATGTAAAAAAGTCATTTTTGACAAAAAGTCGATATGGAAACCTAATTCTCAGGTGATGATAGACAAAATTGAGGTTTTTAGCAATACTATTTTATTATGATTCTAACAGCTTTGTTTTGTTAAAAATCTAAATTTTAAATTAACTTTTTTATGCTAAAAGTATAAACACATTTACCTCTTTAAAAATTAGGTGAATAATAAATAATTTAGAAATCTATAATTCCCCTAGGTGGCACAATTAGCTATATTAAGTCTAAATAACCACGTTTATGTGATAAAAGCTTGTTAATAACAAGAGTGGGCTAAAGTTCCTATCCTCAACATGCTTCATTTTCAAGGACATATACGATCTTAGCGTAACTATGAAAATCCCCGATGAAAGTTAAAATATTATATAAAATCAAATATTTAGTTTCATTGATTTGTTAAACAATAATTGGGTTATTGAGAGCTAAGCCATAGTTAACTCAATCTAACTTAATTGTAAGTGATATTTAAATTATTAAGATATCAAATTTTTATTTAAGTTTAGTCAGTTAGAAAAAAATATTGCATTTAGTATAAATGCAAAAAAATGTGAAGATGACATGACATCTATTCTAGAATATATATTGGTGTTGATGTGAAGAATTATATTGTGAAAAAATGTGTAAAGTATAGAGTCAAGATTTGGAAATAGAAATACGAAGACAAATGGGAAAGAACGAAGATGATAATAATTAGATAAATGTGTAAGATGTCTTTAATAGAGCGAAAAACAAATAAAAAAAATTGTGGGAAAGGATTGGGGTAGCAGCGATGGAAAGATTTTAAGAGTGAAAAGTATGATGAAGTGAATCGATGTAATGTGATAATAAAATCAGGAGGACAAAGAAAATTTGGATGAGAGTGGTTAGAGAATGGCTTTGTTTAGAATGTAAGAAAGAAAAGAAATTAGAGGGGAACTGACCCGAGAAAATTTGGTAATGGGAAAATAGCATTTATTTTTACAAGAAAAAACATATTAAAAAAATTAGATTGAATCGTTTTAGATATTTTATTATAGGAAATAGATAAATATTGTTCGTTTTACTCGGTTAAAAATAATTATCGTTGCGAAATAGAAAATCATTTTATTTTTCTAACATTTTTATTACAAAATCTATTTATACATTACATAAGAAGAGCGTGTTTTGTGGTTGGCACATTTATATTTATAAAAATAATAATAAATGCTTAAAACTTAATTTAAATAATTTTAGATAAATTATAATAAAAAATTTAATATATAAATATATTAGTTTTATATAAATTTTTTTCAAAATCATTGGCAATATAATAAATACACAGGGAGAAAGGAAATTTAATTTATGAATAAATAGAATAACACTATGGTTATTTTAAAAAAGACTCTAGCGATAATCCATAATAATTAATATTATTTTTATAATATTCCATTAGATAGATATTGAAAACCGTCATAAAGCCGGGTAGTAATAGAATGTACACTGGTTTCGACCAAATTTTCAACCAAGCATCTCAACTGCTCCTCTGTCATATTTAAATGGAATCGATCTCTCATTCCTTTGATCGTGCTAACGCTGTTTTTAAAGCAAGGTAGTTGGGAATCTAAACAAAAAAAAAGAGAAGCACATTTTAAAAAATTATTATCAAGGATTACTAAAAAAATCAATTGATGTTGGTAAAAATCCACATTTAGTTTAAATAAAAGAACTACACATGGGTCAAGGTTTTATGCGGAAGAGTTTTGGAATAGATAGGGGCAAACACTTGATGCTAGCTGAGGGTTTGCATCGATAACATAATACAAAATTTCCTCATTTATGTAAAGTGAAACAGAAAAAGATGTAAAGGTTCTGACCGGCTGAGATATTTTTGGATAGCTGTTATTTTGGGCATTTACAAACTCGAATGACCCTCAGATAACAAAAGTCTTGTTGCTACCAACCATCCTTCATACCAAGTAGTAGCTAACGGCGTGTTCATCGTAACCGAATTAACCTGAATCATGCTCATTTCAAATTCAGATTTAATGTAGGAAGTATTCATAGTTAATTTATTAACTTACTTTAAATGATTTTAAAAAATATGGAGGTTGTCGCAAGAAGGATGTTGCAGTCTGGCTCAATGAATGTGTCGGTTACCAAAAATAATTCCACATTTCAAGATGCTAATTCTCGGATGTCGGAAGGAATTTCTGGGGACCTAGAGGATTCATTATTAAATGAAGTGGAACATTAGGGACCTATCAAGGGCAATAACAATGGCAATTTTTGTAATATATTTATATATTTTTTGTAAAATGTCAAAATTAGTAATAAACCTCCTTGAAAATAAGGGAGGTGTTATAGATTGTAATTTTTTTTAGAATATATTAATTATTATTAAAAATTTTTTATAAATTATTAATTCATGTGTTATGGATTTTAAGAAGAGAAAAATAATTATCCTGTATAATTTTGATTCGTTTAAGTAGAAAGTATATAAAAGAGTAAAAAAAATTAAAATATCCGTTCAAATAAATAAAGGTCATTGAATTTTAAATTAAATATATAAAAAAAATTAACTGTAATTTATTTTATTAAAATAAATTTTAGGGGATTAATTTCAATAATATTCTGTCGGAATTTTATAACTTCAAATAAAATTAAGGAACAAATTCTCAACAAGAAGATTCTTGTGGAAAGAATGGAGGTATATGTAAGTTGCCTAAGTAATTTTTTAAATAAAGGCTTAGACTATATACCAGCGCTGTTTGTATGTGGTCAGGGTCTTATACCACGGTGGAGAGGGGAAGGCAAGATGGTCATTGAAATTGAGTTATGAAAACTTGAATATAATTGAAAGGGGGTATTATTGAATTGGATTTCCTATTTTTGCTAATTTTAATTCAACTTATTGCTAATTTTGAATCGGTAAGGGGTAGGAGGGGGCAAATCACTATTGGCTTGGGGAGGCGGTTGTAGAGGTCTTTGCATGTAGCATGATTCAAAAATATATAGTGTATAAATTTATTTGATTTAAAATATAGAAAATTAACTCAATTGCATGATTTCCACCAAAGTCAAAATTTTATCCATGTGCTTTCGAGCAGCTATGAACCCTTTAAGCATAAGTATTTTGAAATATTCAAACATATCACTACCAAAACCACCCATTACCTAAAGATAACAATAATTATTCTTTTATTGTAATTATTAATTATATTTAGTCATTACATCTACAAATTCTTGGGTTAGTTTAAATGGCGAGTTTTCAAACCCTAAATTTTTCGGTGAATTCGAAAGCATATAGGCAAAATCGATGTGTATTAGATGACCTTCGGAGTCTAGCAAAATATTACCATTGTGACTAATTGATAGTTTTATATTTTCAAAAAAATATAAATATAACCATGCAATCGAATAATGATAGTCGTAAAATGATCCCTTTTAATACTTTCATCAATGACAAATAGTTTTAAGTTCAAAATATCTTCAACTAAAAGCTAAATTTTACTTTTAAATGCAATATTTTACTCCAAACTCTACTCATTGTAAAAAAATTATTTAAATCAGACCGTTTAGATGATGATTACCTTGATATTTATTTATAAAATTTTTCAAAAATAATTCCGTTTTATCAATTTAGATCTATTATCACTTATCTAAAATTCCCATAACATTATTATTTTTTTTTAAATTAAAATGATCTTCATTACAGTTCTTTGGAATATCTTCCCTTTTAAAAAATAATAATCAAAATTACATAATAATTACATTACCGATCTTTTAAGAGCAGTAAATAGCAAACTATACAATAAGCCGCACAACTTTGAACGAAGCTTCTTTGAGCACTGAGAAACTCCTCGCTGTTAGCATTGCCGAATTCGCTCAAGAAGTAACCGAGTAATGTGAAGTTAGAACAAATATTATTATTGATTTTTGTGTTAGATGGAGGAGTGGGCTCGGATTTAGGATTTTCCTGTCTGCTGTTTTTTATAATAAAAATGAGGGAATAAAAATATTAAGCTTATGTGAAATGAGTCATGTTTCTATGTTTTTTTTAAACAACCGAGCTGGTTATGACGGTTATATAGAATGTTTGATTGTGTACAATATCGTACGAGGTCGAAAACTCGAAATGCCAAAAAACTGATATCGTTTTTAAATATTTAAGAAATCTCCATTTTTAACGATTTTTTTTTCTTTCCCATTTCGCATTTTTGAACGAGAACTTAAAAGTGTCAATCAATTGAAAACTGCAAATAAAAATATTTTTCCGATCGATTTATGTTATATGGAGTTTAATCTTCGGCAAAATTAAATTTGACATTTTATTTTCAACGAAATTTAGAAAATTAAAATAGCGGTAATTTTTTTTTAGGAAGAGCACTTCCCTTTTGCAAAATTATTGACGGCAATATTGGTTTATATATAAAAAAAGATCGTTAAAATTTTCATGTCGCAATAAATATGTAAGTTGAAATTAATATAATAATATACATTGCAGATGACAGTATTTCCTCAAAACTCTCAAGATTTTGAGCATTTTGTATGGAAGGCGAAAGATTTCTTTTGATTTGGTGTAAGGAAATCGCGTTCACAATGGGCCTTATCATGCCGCTGTCCTTTGAAAACACGAATATATCGTAGGGGTAAAGCCAAAGGGATATTCTCTCCTCTGACCAAATTTTCTTTTTTTTTAAAAAAAATAATATATACAAATAAAAAGAATGAATGAATATTGAAAAGATTAAATCATATTAATTATTTTTGTTTTTTTTATAATATTTTTGAACGTTCTTTCATTTTTTGACTATTATCCATTTAATTTCTTATAAAATTTATTTTTCGCTATGTTTAAGTTTATATAAATAATCTTATAGGAAGATATATCTAATAATTCGGCTTCATATTGATCTTTGCCATCGCTTAATTACAATAAGTTTAAATTAGAATTCTTTGAAGCAAATATAAATAAATTTTATAAAAAAAATATAATAGCTCATAGAGCCAATAGTCATCGAATTTCCCATTTTTTAAGTAAAGATAACCTGTATTTTGGGTAGCGCGTATTATAATAATAATATTACATAAATTTTAAAAAAATATATATATGGTTAACTTAATGTCTACACTAGTTAAATGAGTTAAAAGATATTTATAAAAATTAACCTATTAAATCAATAAATATATTTTAATCTTTTTAGATTTAAGCATATATTTATATATAAAATACGTTCTTCTTTGAATGTTTTTAACTAGTTTTTTGTTCTAATGCAATGTTCAAATTATACAAGTAAGAAGAAACTTTATTCTAAAAAAATGTAATTATAAATAAAACTAAATCACATTTTTATTCATATATTTGTTTAACTTATACAAATCAGAAATTCAGTTAACCAAAATTGGTTACTAATATTGGTAGTAGGGTATTTTGGACATGCACATTGGATAACATTATTAACAAATTCTGAAAATTCGTAGCTGATTTCTTCAAGCTAGGACGGTATATTATAGAGGATAAAGCGTTCAAACTTTTAGTAAAATATTTAAGCAAGAAAAAAATAATAAAACTTGTAAAAGCATTAAAATTTGTTGAGCCATAAGTTCTTGTCTTAGATCGTCTCCGCATTTAATAATTATGGGAAACAGGTTCCATTTTCCCAAATGCCCGTATGGCGATTGAGCTTTAAGTCTTTGAAATTTATCCATCCAAGGTTCCTTCAAAATTGATGCCGATGGGTCATCTGGATCTCTCTAAAAAATGATATATATTTTTTAAAAAAACAATAAATATTCAACATCTGAATATTGATAATGCGTCAAGGTTTGTTTTAATAGGTAAAAGTGAGTTTAGTTATGCGTTATTCTTTTTTTTTTAAAGTAACGTCTATACAACCACTAATATAATTTTGATATTAAATTATAGGACAAATAGATTTTGTATGACAAATATTAGTAATTAATTTATTTATTTTATAAATTACAACTTTACTTAAAATCATATTAAATATTGTATATAAAAATAAAAATAAAAGGAAATAATATATTATTTCTTTTTGTCAAATTACGTAGAGGGGGGGTAGGTATTTTTAAAAAAAATTTTAATTGCATAAAAAACATAAAAGCTATCTGAAGGAAATTTTGATAACACTAAAAAATTATTTATAAAAATTAATTTTCTTTTAATAAACTTAATTTAACAAAATCAGGAATTATAAAAAGACATTAAACTTTTTAGATGGTTAAACAATTTTGTATCGACAAAATAAGTAGCAGTTAAATATATGGTAATAATAAAAATTTAAAACAAAAAAAAAGTTTGTTTTTTTTCGTTTATTTATTTTTCATGACGGTTTTTTAAATCCCTCAATATACCCCATAGTTACGTCCTAAATAACTATATTTTTTATAAAAGATGCTTACTTTAAAAGAAGATTTAGGTGTTAATAGAGTTTCGGCCAATCGTTTCCTGATGTCTCCTGCCATCACCAATAAGGACCCCGAATTGGTTGCGTCTTTTTTGTCATTACAATTGACCGTTCCATTCGATTCTTGACAATTTTGTAGCTGCAAATGGCCATTATTCGTGTAACCACTATCATTACTGGCGTAACTGTCCATAGAAAACTGGGATAATTGATCGGGCGCTGGAAAAATTAGAGGTTTGTTGTTAGATAATGAGTACGATTCTAAGTGACACGAAGGCTGGGTCGAACTAGAGATGGAAAGACGATTAGTGTCTATCTATTTATTTTTGTACAATGATTAGAATAAATTATTTGATTTATTTTGCAATGTGTGATGTGTAAATATAAAATATTAATGTTCGAGAACAAGATAAAATGCATCTCTTATGCGGACGCAAAAATTACTCATATCTAGTTATTTAAATACTACAAATGGAAAGAGTATTGGTTGGATAAAATATAATTATTATAATTTGTGCTTTTGCAATTTATCAGAATAAAAATTTATCATAGCTTGAAATTTAAAATATTTAAGATAACCTAAAATAACTTTTGAGAGCCTTTCTTTGATATATTTAAGGCCGCATCATTGTGCTATTTGACTTTTGTTTTTATTTCTATTCAAAAAGTCTGAACACCATTTTTTTTAAATTATAGATTTTTACATAAGGGTAATCTTATCTTAAAAATACGCATTTATGGTTGTACTTATTCTAATTTTTATAAATCATTATTCGGAATAGCCATTTAGAATTTAAAAAAGAAAATGGATGAGTCGGAACATAGACTTAAGCTTTATTTAATATTTAAATAATTAAACATTTAGGTTGAAACTAAAAACAATTGTTTTATGTAGCATGCAATATTTTAAATAGTATTTTTTTTTTCTTTCTAAACAAATGCTAATTAAAACTAAAACTTACCTCGAAATCCAATCCGCCATTGCCATTGTAGTTATTAACACAATTATTAATATTGTTATTGGCGTTGTTAACAACGAACGATGAAATGGAAGTGGTATCGTCGTAAGATAGTGTATCAGTATTATCTTCCGTATCTTGGGCTCTGTGCCCATTCGGTACATTAAGTTCGAAGTTATAAAAATTATAGGCTGACAAGTTATTGTGAGGCAAATTCAAATGCTGTAAATTTTCCGCACTTCTGGTAAAACGCAGGAACGAAGATTGACTGTTGTTGTGAGACAAGTGAGGGACGAAACGCGGATTAGAGCGGAAAGAAGAAATGTGTATGGAATCATTCATATATTGTTCAGTTTCTAACATTTTTTTAGGGACCGGACATGTGGATATGTCGGAACATTCTAGAACTTCTACGTATAAGATAAAAGGCGCCTATTTTTTGTATATATAATGGTAATAATATAATAGTTTTATCCCTTTGAAAGAACGATGCATTTTAGAATCATATTTCTGCTACTAACGCGAGTTACTTCATCTGAAACCATCAAAATATTAAAATTAAATATTAATTTTAAACATTCCAATTTATTACAGAAGTTATATAATATTTATATTTGAAACAGGAGTTAATCATATAAGACATTTATTATTTTTAAATTTATCAATGTTAAATTTTTTTTTAAAAAATAGGATTTTATATAAAATGATTAATTTTATGATTAAAACATATTTAATAAGATAAAGGTGCAATCAATGCAACGTTCCCCTTTACTTAATCATTTTTTAAATTGTTACGCCTCCCGATATGGCTAGGGGAGGTGGTATCCATATGATGCCGCTTTTAAAAAAAAAATATTTTTTTAATTTAAATTGCATATTATTTATATCGATAAAAATAAATCTTTTCATTATAACGAAAACAAAAAATTATCAGCATTTTTTCCGCCCCTGAATGGGTTAATTAAAATAGATTAAATTAGTTACTTCGATTTATAATTTTTATTTTTAAAAAATCATTCTTATAGTTTAAGTTAATTATCAATTTACTATACTCAAGAAAAAGGGTGTTTAGAGGAGGCAAGCTCAACCGGATAATCGTACAAAAAGGTGTTTAAACATAAGAAGTTTTAAAAGCTAAATGGTGTAATTGATATTCATATTTTATCTAGTTGATGTAATGATTTAGCAAATTAATTGATTTATATCAACCAATGTTCAATTAATTCCCCCAGGTACTCATTTTTAACAAAAAACAAATAATTTTTCGATATTTTTGTCTAAAATCTTGCGAAAAAAATTGAGAAATTGGTAGTGGTGGGGAGTATTAAGGTTGATCATAAAATACAAATTTTTTTTTTTTGAAAATTTAACTTTATCTTTCGAATTCAAAACAACGGCGCTGGATGGATGAATTCGAAGTATGTGATGAGGTGTTTGGCGAGAATATATGGGCAACCATACTCGACTAGGAAGGTTCATATTAAGTAACGTTATTTCGGATATCAATTTGGTCGCTGTCATTATAATTGATAAAGGTATATATTATATGAAAAGAAAACAAAAATTTTATATTTTAATAAGATGAATCAAACACGTAAATACTTCTTAAATCTTTACTAGCGAACATTTGTAATTTATTGCCTATCTTATGGAGAGCTTTCAAAAATTCGTATTGCGGAATCAATTTAGGCGCGTCGCAGTTGCATTTATGAAACAAGGTACACATTTTCTCAGCAATAACTGGGTTCATGCCTTTTTTTTAAAAAAAATATCGAAGAAATTTTTAATTTTATAGTAGTTATTAATTAAAAAAAAGATTTCCATGTCGACCCAAGACTCAGATTTGCCCCTACAATAATCTCAGTATAAGATATTGATTTGACGCGTTTAACAATAAAATAAATCAAAAAATATTTTCTTTTTTTTTAGATCAATTCCAAAATCTTTTTAAAAAAATTCGAATTCTTTTAAAATATTAAGAAGTTTTAAAAAATATAATGATATATATTAAATTTTTAAAATTTTCGAATATATTTTTGACATATTTTTATTTTCTATATTAGAAAAAAAGCTTATATTTTTTTTTCTCTATAAAGTTTTTCAAAAGTTTGCGAATCGTATTTTTTGATTAAAAAATTTATTTAATATTAATAATTTAAAAAAACCATAGAAAATAAAAAGGTTTATAACCTAATTTTTCGCAATCATTTTTGTAGATTGTTCAAAATATTATGCTCCTTGCCCCCCCCCACCTCCCAAATCAAATGTTTATTGTATCTATAATCATATCTTCATAGTCGCCCACATTTATTTTTAATTTATTTTTAAATTTAGATAATATGGTTTAGTTATGCAACTCTATAGGTGTTTAGTTGAAAGCCAACAATAATTCTCACTATATAAGCAAATTGTAATACCTCCAAAGAATATATCTATTGAGAAGTAAAACATTTTCAGTGAGATTTAACAAGTGGGTTGGGGGAAAATAAATGTTTTTTAAAACATTTTCACCTTATATTCCATAAACTTTTAGTTGAGTAATGCTCTTCTATTAATATGGTAAATAGGAGAATAAACATTAATACTGCAATAAAAATCCTAATATGGATGAGAGTGCTATATAATGACATGAAAACGTTAGATTTAAACCGGGGCGATCTCCAGGACCGCGTAAAATGGAGAAAGGCGATTAAAAGGTAAAATGGTTGACTCTGGTAATCCAGGAAAATAACCCTGCGTTCCCAGTTAGCGCGAATTCGTGGCGAAGTATACAATGCAAATTCGCACTAACTGTGAATGTAGGGCAAACGAAGAAGAATAATTATTTTTAAAAAATTAACATTTTAAAAATTAGGCCGTGTCTAAAATATTAAAAAATTCGATTTGCAAACTTATGACATTTTATCTTAAAAAAATTTTTAAATATAAAAATAAAAACATATCCAAAATATAATTCTATAAAATTTTAAAAACATAACATACGATTTCATTAAAATTTTAAACTTCTGAAAGTTTTAAAACTTTTCGAATTTTATAAAAAAATGATTTTGGACATAGCATTAACAAAAAATTCTTTTTAGGAGACCGATAGTAAAATAATGCACCTCACCCGGATCTGTGATTGAGACAGTGTTCGGGTCGATAGATCTGGTCGACCAGATCGGTCCATTTGGTTAAGTTGGGTCTGATTCATTTTATCGACCTAATACCCGCTAATTAGACTCAACCAAGCAATTTAATGCCCCTTTTCACAATCATCTAAGAAACATATCCCAAAAAAATTATTCTTAAAGATCCCGTTAAAAAAATATAATACTTTTAAAAAAAGAATTCAGATAAGTTAAAATAAAATATCAAAGAATCTAAATTTGCGTGACAAAAAAAATATGCGAAATTATTAAAACAGAAGAGTAGAGGCAGATCTATAAAAAAAAGGAAACTTATTTTATTTGAAGACAGTGGGTCTTCAATTTCTATGAGGTGCTAAACAGTTTAAAAATAAAATTTTGGCGCAATTTTTCAAGATAACGTGAACGTCCCATTTCATCACAACGATAGCAAATGTAAAGGATAGTGAGATATTAATAAAATAAAAAACTAAGAACGCGTTTTGCAATGTTCTAAAGGTGGAACGGAAATGGGAACTTTTTTTTGGCCGGAAAAGGGAAACAGAAATGCCTTTTGTTTTAGGTTCCTGACTATAATATTATGATCCCCAAGAAAAATATAATAATTTATTGAATCTAATGAATAGGTAAGATTACGGCTAGCGGGCAGAGGGGGCTTATCAGTTCAAGGTTTAAAAGGTTCACATAGTTATATACTAGCATTCTATACTATGTATATTTGGCACAAAAAATGAGTCAAGCTTTTCAAATTTTTCAATGATTAAGCGTGTTTTTGAAGTTAAAATGGAAATACTTACACGCAATATTAGGTTGCATATTATAATATTAACAGTTTAAAATATAATAAAATGGATATTTTATGAAAGTTTAAATCCCCTTTTAGTAATTGGGAAAGCTTCATAATTTTAGTGAGCTAAAGGCTAGTAGAATCAGGGATAGTCGGGTCAATTAAATTATTGTATATACTAATAAAATAGGATAGATTTGGTATTTATTTATATGAGATTTAAATCAATTCCATATGATAATAAAATTAACACATTAATGGTCAAAGAATGGTATTTATTTATATATAATTTAAAACAATTCCATATGATAATGGAATTAGCACATTAACGGTCAACGTTGCATATATGGTAGAGTTATTTATATTTTATATATTTTTGAGTTGAAATAAATTATATATATAGAAAAGGGGACGGACATTTAATTTTTTTATGCCAAAATATTAGCTTCATATATTCTTACTATATCATGTTGCAAAAATGGAAAATATTTATTTTCCGTTTGCTAGAAGATGATACTAAATTTCGTAAATTTTAGACGCTTATAAAAAGCAATATGTTCTAGACTTCCCCAATGACAGAGAATTTATTTATTTTTAATAGAATAAATATAAATTTATTTCTTACAGGTGCCGCCTTATTGGTCCTTAATTTTATCTCGGATTTACAATTTTAAGTGTACCAAAACTTTCAAGCTTTTACATCCATCCTGTGAAAAGTAAAGTAAAGGTCAAAGCAAAGAAGACAAGATTAGCAAGTTTGAATATTGGGACGCTTAAAAGTAAGACGAGAGAATTGGTATCAATGTTGAACAAGAGAAAAGTTGATATAGCGGCATACAAGCGACGAAATGGAAAGGACAGAAGACTTTAATGATTGGAGATGGGTATAAATTGTACTATAATGGAATTGTTAGCAATAGGAACGGTGTAGGCATCATCCTCAGTCAAGATCTAACCTCCTCAGTATTAGAAGTCAACAGGATCTCTGATAGACTAATGAAGATAAAACTCTGCATTGGTCAATCAATACTACACATCCTTTCAGTATATGCTTCTCAGACGGGTTGCAAGGAAGAAGAGAAAGATGACTTTAGAGCTATACTTGATGAAGCTGTAATGGAAATCCCTAAGGATGACCTAGTCATAATTGGTGGTGACTTAAATGTGCATGTGGGGAAAGCAAGAGATATCTACAAAAGGCATCATGGTGGTTTTGGATATGGAGAAAGTGATGAAGGAGAGCACGTACTGAAATTTGCGCAAGCCTTCGACCTTGTCTTAACCAACACCTACTATAAGAAAAAAGACAGTCATTTAATAACATACGAAAGTGGTACAAGTAAAACACAGATAGATTACATGCTAATCTCTCGCAGAAGATTAAAAGATGTAATAGACTGCAAAGTCATCCCAGGAGAAGATATCGCCGCACAACACAAGCTACTAGTCATGGATTTACACATCTCAAATAAATCCACTCAAAACAAGATAAAACTGGAACCATGCATCAAATGGGGCAAATTAAAAACAATGACAAATGCCTTTGCAATCAATGCAAACCTTGAAACAATAGATTCCTCACAAGTCAGTGAAAAATGTGGACAGACCTTTCAGCCAGATTAATAGACACTGCCAAATCGACACTAGGCTTGACAAGGAGAGGCAACAAATCATACAAAGAACTATGGTGGTGGAATGAAGAGATACAAACACTATAAAGGAGAAAAAAGCCCTATGTAAAATATGGTTCAAATCCAAAAACTCAGATAACAAGACAAATTACAAAAAATCCAAGAGAATAGCTACAAAGGCGGTGGCTAGGGCCAAATCTATGGCATACGATGACATGCATGATGAACTACATACTAAAGAAGGGCTAAATAAAATATACAGATTAGCCAAACAGCGAGAAAAGAACTCTAGGGATATAAACGGAGCTCCGAAAGTAATCAAAAATAAAGATGGGAAATTGATAATAAAGGAAAAAGAAATAATGAATAGATGGAAAGAATATTTTCAGGAGCTTCTCAACTTTAATCCCAACATACTAAATCTAGACGAACACTCCCCATGTCAAAACCTTGTACAACCTATAACAGAACAAGAAATAATCACATGCCTCAAGCATATAAAAAACAACAAAGCTAGGGGTCCAGACGATATTCCAAGAAAGCCTTAAAGCACTAGGAGATGATGGAATACATCTCCTCACAAATCTATACAATAAAATACTTGAAAATGAAGAAGTTTCCCAAAATTGGAGGCAGAGCTATCTAGTTCCTATCTTCAAAAATAAAGGGTATCCACACAATTGTCAAAATTATAGGGGCATAAAACTAATGTCACACTGTCTAAAACTATGCGAAAAAATAATAGAAAAAGATTAAGAGACATAATCGAAATAGGAGAGACTCAGTTTGGCCTTATGCCGATGGTATCCACGCAATTAGGCAAATGAGTGAAAAATACAAAGAAAAGAACAAAAAACTACACATGGTCTTTCTCGATCGATCTAGAAAAGGCCTTCGATAGAATTCCAAGAAAACTTATCTGGTGGGCGCTACGCCACAAAAAGGTTCCCGAAAAATATATAAGAATAATACAAGATATGTATATGGGCCATACAACAATGGTCCGTAGCACAACAGGTATTTCAGCAGGCTTCACAATAGCCGAAGGAGTTCATCAAGAGTCGGCTCTCAGCCCACTTCTCTTCATTACAGTAATAGATGTATTAGCACAGTCTATACCTCAAACAGTCCCGTGGAATATAATATTTGCAGATGATATTGTGATACTTGCCGAATCCAAGGATGAAATGAAAGAAAGATTAGTGAGTTGGATAAATATCCTAGAAAAGCACGGACTAAAAGTAAATAGAGAAAAGACGGAGTATATGGTGATAGGAGGAGATGAAACAGAAGTATTGATATAAATGAATGGCAGATATCGGTATTTGAAGCTGCAAATATTTGAGCTCCACTATACAAACAAACGGCACAATAGAAAAAGAGATAAAGAGTAAAATTAATCAAGGGTGGTTAAAGTGAAGATTTTTATCTGGAGTGCTATTTGACGAAAGAATCCCACACAAATTAAAGGGAAAAATTGACAGTTCCATAGTACAACCAACTATTCTATATAGTTCGGAAACATGGCCAAACAAAGAATCAGACGAGAGAAGTCTACAAACTATGGAGATGAGAATACTGAGGATGATTGCTGGGGTAACAAGAAAGGATAAAGTGCGCAGTACAAGAATACTAAGTAGTTTAAAGGTAGTGCCCATTAAGACTAAGTTAATGGTAAACAGACTTAGGTAGTATGGGCACACAATGAGAAGGCCTATGAACTACATAGGAAATAAGGTTGAGAGTTTGGAAGTGATGGGCAAACGTAATAGAGGAAGGCCAAAACTTCAATGGGGCCATAAAGTTAGAGCCAATATAAAAAAGTATAAATTAGATAAAAGAGATTGTATGAATAACATAAAGTGGAGAGAGATGTTGAAGGAGCTTACCACCAGAAAAGGTGAAAGCTAAAGAGAAAAAAATATATATGTATGGCATGTTGATCAAATAGCAGTATATTTAGTAAAATTAAATTACGCTAAAATATATAAATTTTTTTTTAAATTGACACTGTATAAAATTTTAGGTAAGAGTTTGGGGTATCTTATGGTCAGTGGCGTAGCTAAGAATTTTTCTTAGAGTGGGTCCATAAGGCCCCCTTTAACGGGCCTTTGGCCCTTTTGCCCGGCCTTCGGTCGGGTTTATCTTACAAATCATAACCATATCTTGGATAATATATAATAAATATATTTTTTAAATGCATCAATAATATGTTATTATAATTTAGTAGATTATTCTCAATGACTTTATAATAATACTATCCAGAATAATTTCAATAGTAATATAATATCCTTCCACAAACATCAAAACCAGAAAAATATAAATATTAATGGTATTTATTTTATATAAAGTCACTTTTAAGTCTTTTGAACGTATAATCTAAAAAGAAATTTTTGCTGTGGGAGGGGTCCAAACCCGAAAACCACCCCCGTAGCTACGCCACTGCTTATGGTATTTCGAAATCCTCGGACACGACAATTATTTCGGAACCTATGATGATTTTTTACTAAGATTCCTACCTAATAACCGGGGTCTCCCATGATAAATTTATACAATAATAAGTTTAAATTTTTTTTATAAAGGTCAAATAGTTGCGTACTGTCATTCGAATTATGGATATTTATTCTAGAATTAGGGTGGATTGAAATACAAGTGCAACCATTATCGAAAGCCCGTCCGGAATTAATATCACCTATCCCCCTGGGTAAAAATGAGACCCTCTGGCTTACGGTGGAATGAACAAAATTGAGACTGCTATTGCTTTTGTTATAATTATAGTTGTAAGCAGCCATTAAGTTGTTAAAATTGCTATCGGGTAAATTGGGTGGCGATTGGATAGACGATTTTCCGTATCCTACAACTTTGGAGAAAGATAGAAATGTATATTGTGTGATTTTTTTTCATTTTACAATATAATATTTAAAAAATATTTAGATTGGTTGCGTCAATAAGATCGTGAGAGATGGGGTAGGTAGGGACACCTAAATTTAATTTTGAGTGAGCCTAAAATATTTTATTTCTTAAAAAAATTAAAATATGGATCGGCGATTCTCCGAAACTCTAGTGGAAAGTGGAGTAATAGAGATTGGAAAGGGGCTAACTGGAATAACGAGGTAAACCTGAACCAAAAAAAGGGTTTAATAAATGAAAGGATCTACCAATCTATTTATTTATATTTTTGAAAAATGACATAATTAAATATATATATATATACATATATTACTTGTAGCATCAGATTTTGATCGGTAATGATGAAGGCCCTTTTTCCTGAATTGTTGACAATTAATGGAATAATCGGAATTTGAGGAAATGGCTGTTTTAATCTTGGAGTTTTCGGTGATTTCATCGCCTTTAATAATACTGGGTTTATCATGTGTTGTCAGATTATTGTTTAGAGAATTTTCTGAAGGTGGGCTAGGAATTTTGATTAATTTATCAGCCTCGACATTTCGAATTCTTTGAAACGTAAATATTGGTCATATTTAATAAATTATATAATTTTATTGATACTATTTGGATAAATTTGGTGGATAATTTTTTTTTGAATATTCAAATCTTTTTTGTTTTTGTCCGAGCTCTATTTCACTTTAAAACTTGGACGATATGAAAATTTGGACAGTAACTGCTGCCCACAAAAGTAACTTAGCTATAGCAACTCATTCATTTTTTAGTTAGACTTAGTCAAGCTACAATTTTCTTAAAGTAGCTTAAAGCTTACTGCGTTTTTTTAGCAAATATCATTAAGTAAGCTACTTTTTAACAAATGAAATGTGTTAATATTTTGATATATTAAACCGACATTAATAAATTAAATGTATTTTTCATATTTGAAAGAAGTTTTTTTAACTACTACAATACATTGTCATTTTTCAGTACCTTGGAAAGTTTATTTATAGTTTTGCTTGGATAAATAAATCCATAATAACTTTTAACCGAAAAAATATTAAGTGAATGTTTATATAATTTTGAATTATTTTTTTTTATGAATATAAAAATTTATTCGTTTATATATAGTTGTTAATTGACTTAGCTTATTTAAAATTTGTTGAAGAGAAGAAAAAAATAGGCATTTTTTTTATTTATTTTGTGAAATATTTCCCAAAATTATTTTTTAAAAAAAAATAACTAGGTATATTTTATCATTATTGTTGTACTAACGCAAATGTTAGAGAAAGTAGCATATATTTTTCAAAGGTAGCTTGTGTAACCGGTTTTCATTCTATTGTAGCTCATAAGTCCGGACAAATTGTGAAAAATTTTTTAAGGGGCGAGCCAACGTTTTTAAAATATTTTTAAAACTGATAATTGCATAATATGAACCTTTCCTTCTTCATAAAAAGATCATTACGAGAAGGGCAGGACAGCTTTTTTTAAAGGATTAGTTTGCGGGCTGAGCCAAACTTTTCAAAAAATATAAAGGCCGATTCGGGTCGGGCCGATCTCAATTGTAGATATGCCAATCTTTGATATAAAACCTCATTTTTTGACCATTGTGAGGTGGTTACGCGATTCCCTACGGTTATTCCCGCCAAATATTAGCATGGCTCATTAGCAGCGGAATGGAAAAAATTAATAACAAAATCTCAAAAATTTAGTGGATAAAAATTTTTTTTGTAATAAATTAAAATTTTCTTTTAAGTATCATCCGCCATCTATTTTGTCAATGAGAAGAGGGCTTTCGTATTTTATAATAACATTATAAAAATCACATATACTTTAAATCTTCGGTAAATATTATTTCCTTTAGTTTTAGGCCCCTGTGTTTTCTGCGGGATACGTTTAAGTCGGGTTGAAAGGCGTCTAATAAACAAGTGCACCTCAACGCAAAATCTATATTCATTCGACTCCTTGCATTAGTATTTTAAAAAATAATTAATATATGTTAACGTCACAATGTGTTATTTTTTTTAACTTGTTTTTAACTTGTTTTTTATTTAATTTAAAAAATCGGATTTTATTAAAAATCCTACCTTATGATATTTTGTCCTTATCTTTTTAATAATTTCAAGTTTGCGTAAAAAATCTATGAAAAAAATTTAGGGCTGCACCGCATTTTTGTCGATATTAAAATGGCCTGGCCTATTTATAAAATTATGTATATTTCGAAATTGGCAAAAGATTGACATGTATTTTTTTAAAACATAACCATCTTGGAGTGTTAATAATAGGGCTGTGCCGATACTAAATATTGGATAGGATCGGGCTAATATCTTTAATAAAACCGATCCGATATTTTTTATTGCTTTTTATATAATATATTTCAATCTATTAATAAAAGAAACCAAAATTTAATTTATTTGAAATATTTTTTTAAAAAATCGAATTATTTTAATAGATAAATGAATAAATGGAACCAAAATTTAATTTATTTGTAATATTTTTGAAAAAAATCAAATTATTTTAAAATATAAATGGCATCATTTTTTGTTATGTATTATCTGCAACAAGAAAAGGTTTGAATATATTTAAATTCAGGAGTGTTGTTAAACGATTCGATTTAACCGATTTTTGAAAAATGGCTAACTCAAGATTTTAAAAATAAAATCACTCAGGTTTAGAAATCTTGCTCACCGATGACAAAAATGTTTGGATATCTTATTGGATAAATTTTGAGGCTTATGTAATATTATTTTGGCTCATAATTTAGCCGTTTTTAAAAATCGGCTAAATGGATCTGTTTAGCAACACTAGATTCGATATAACAAAAAACACTTAATTCGTGAAAAATTATTTGTTCATTTATGATATTGGTTAAATTTCAGAGATAGATAGTAAATAAAAATCACTGTAAATACCGGATCGGTATCGATTATCGGATCGGTTCTATAGTAATATCGGGAAATATTGGATCGAATTGAAACTTGAAAAATTTGAAGATCGGCCCAGACCTAGAATACTTGAAAATATGTTATCAAACTATTCTATGGAGGTGTTAGTAGCGGCAAATAACATTATCCTATGCTTTCGATCGGTTTTGGATAGACAAATCCGATCCAATTTTGAACAAATTTTAAATCGTCCGATTCTAAACTCTTCCTTAAAATAATTTTGTTTTATAACAAGTGGTGATGTTATATAGATACTCCAAAACGTTTATGTACACAAATAAAATATCTAATTTTGAGACAAACGCATTTATTAATGGTGTTGTTAAATAGCTCAGTTTAAGCCGATTTTTAAAAACGGCTAACTCAATATCTTAAGAAAAATATTATGTAAGCTTAAAGATTTTGCTCATAAATGGCACAACATAGGATTGAATATCTATTGGTGAAGCTTAGGCAATATTTTCCTGGCTATAATGTTGAGTTAGCAGTTTAACACTACATTTATTATTAAGTCATTTCAATAGTGGCTAAAATATAGATACCTAGAAAAATTAGCTATAAATTATAATTAAGTTCTAGAGTTCATGGAAAATTTTTATAAAAATCATAGAGTAAGTTTTTCTACACTTGCAAATATATTTCCAGCAATATTATAAAAAGGCGTTCAAAAAATGATTAGACTAGTAGTATGTCGCATTAGGTTCAATATATTCAAATAATAATAATTTTTCAAAATGTTTTTGTATTGAACAAAGGACTAAGGATTGGCTTGAAAATATTTTAAAATTCAAAAAACATTTTTTTTTACCAATTCTCTTTAAAATATTTGTGGTGTTTGGACTTGTTATAAATGAAAAAGAATAATATGTAAAAAAAATAGCAATATTCTACACTAAAAAAAACTAAAAAATTTCCATTTCATAGTTGTTCTATCTACTATATATTATTTAAAATGATGATAGATAAGTGATAGTTAGGAGAGTATATATATATATATATATAATACAAAAGTGGCGTAAATTTAGAAATATTATTAGTTAAAAACTTAAAATCAGTTCAAAAATTAGCTCTATAGGAATTTTGTCATATAAAATCTTAAAAATTGAAAATTAATTTTATTTATTTATAAAAAAAATATACCTAAAATTTATATTGTTATAAAAATGTTGCGCGATAGGGTTTATTTATTGGCCCATTTTTGCCCTTGATTGCTTAAAGGGACTCCTAGAGAACTGCGTCAAATTTAGAAACAGAAAATTATTCGAAAATCTCTTTATTGCTCAGGTTTTTTTAAACTCTAATTATGCATAGCATAGAATAATTTTTAGCATTTATTTTTATATAAAATTATAGCTGTTAACGGCTAGGTTTGATCCGATTTTTAATAACGGGTAACTCGATATTTTATTCCAGAAAAATATTATGCAAGCCTGTAGATTCTGGTAAAAGATGGCAGAAAGGTGTGGATTCGGAAAATTTTTCTGCGCCTAAAATATTGAGTTAGCCATTTTTAAAAATCGGTTCAAATCGAGCCGTTTAACCACACTATAAATTCATTTGGTAAAAAACAAATTTATATTTATTACACATATTATTTTATATAAACTTTTCCGCACAACACTGCGCGCAACTTTCTCACCCTTCCTTTAATATTACATTTTTAAATCTTAAATAAAAAGAGTTACTATAACCTCAGTTATTTATATATTTTAAATACTTATCAGTATTTAATTTTTTTTTTGTTGTAATGCGTACGAAGACACAATTATTTTAATTCATCCAAAGGGGGGAATTTTTTTTACATAATTAATTTTTCGCGTAATTTTTTTTTTAGTTTATATTTATTTTGCATAATTTCTAAGAAAAAAAAATATAAAAATAGTGAAATCTCTAATGAACCATCATTTATTATAAATGTGCATACACTTAAAATAGCTGTAGTCAATGTCATTTGCTGTAATAGAAGACATTTAGTGTTTTCTTTATTTGAGTCAAAGAACGAAAAAATAAATAATTTTTTTTAAAGCTATAACCAGAGTTGTTAAACCCTACTATTAAAAGTAGCGCGCTACCACTAACATTACCCATAAAAAAAAGTAGCGCGCTATTAGTTATTATTTTTTAAAGTAGCTTTGGCTACTTTTTGTAAAAAAAATTTAGATATAAATTTGTTTTATTTTTTGGTTATAATGTAATTGTAGTTTTGATTATAAAAAAAATTTATGTAAAAAGACTATAATTTATGTAATAAAAATAACTATTTATGGTAATATTCATTTTTTTATTTATTTCGTTGCATTTTAATAATAAAATAATTTCTATAATATATTCCCAAGTCCAGAGCGATGATCAGAAAGTATAGTTTCGCTTAACTAAATGATCTCTCAAGCCTAGCACTTGAGGACAAGGCAGTATTTAATTTTATATACATATTTTTAATATAATAAATTTAAAAAACGCGTCTATAGGATTTTTCTATTATATTAGTGTCCTTTATTCCAAAAAAATCATCAGTTGTAACTAGGGCATCTTTGTTTGGTATGAGACTATTCAGCTTTACCATGAACCTATCACGTTGACCTTTAGCATCATCGGAATTTATATATGGCCAGTAGTTTAAAATTGGGATGAATCATAAATTTTATTTGCAGGTATATTCTATGCCTGACATCCTATTATCCTTTTGAGGGCTAATGCTGCAGATATTTTTAAAGTCTGAGGGTCTAGCCAATGGCCTGTGATTTCCAAATAAGCTCTAAAAATATTAATATCAGACAATTTATAAATATAAATAAGTATTTACCATCTGTTATGTGTCCAAATATCTGCCGTGGTACATATATATAGGATATCTCTTACAACTCTGCTATATTAGAGCATCTTTCAAGACTTCAAATTATCAGCTATCTTAATCATTAGTTTCTGGTGACATAAATTGTATGAGGGTATAGATTTTTAATCATCATGATAAATGAAAGATTATCAACCAAGCACATTGGCTGAGCTGTATCAATTATAAAATCAACAATGACATTATCAGCCGAGAAATATTGGCATGTGCAATATTATTAATCAATTTAGCTTGAATTGAATTGGTCTTTTTGAATGTAGTCTCCCCTATACTAAATTTATTACGATGTTTTTCTATCTCTTTAAAACTGTTGGCATGAACATTCTTATAAAATAAATATTCGAATTTAAAAATAACAATTACCTTAAAGAGTTTTTGGAAGTTATAGCTACTTGATTTATTTGAGGATATATTTTTTTACATCTTAAACAAATAAATTTGTAGCCACTATCATAAAAATTATAATTAATTATGATATTATATTTAAATTTTCATGTTTATAATTATATTCATTATATTTTTAAAATGCAGCTAAGTAGCGCGTTACTGAGCTACTTTCAAAAAAAGGAGCGCGCTAAAAAAAATCAATAATTGGAGCGTGCTCACTACTTTAACAACTCTGGCTATAACAGAATGACTTAAAATAATTATTATACTTTGTAAAAAAAAAATATCCATTGTTTTTTGTTTAATTTTTTTAAATCCAATAAAACTTAGAAGCTCTTAAATTTTTTAGTTTTACACCCAATATAATTATATAATATTATATAGATTCCACTAGGAATATAGATATTTTTACCAAATAAAAGTGAATATTGTTTAACCAGCAAATCCATAAACCGTGTTCCCCTTCGTATTATTTCTAAATAGTTGTCTGTTTATTTATTTATAAAGCTGAGTCTTGTTAAACGGCTTGTTTTGAGCCGATTAAAATTTTGCTAATTGATGGCACAAAGGTGTGAAAATTATTAAAGAATTCTCAATGCTTATGCAATTCGCTGAAATATTGATGTTATCGAGCCTTATATAACATCCTTAATATTGTTTTTCTAAATAACATAAGTATATTTAGACTTACGTAGTTGGTAACGATCATTTGATTACCAGAAATGAGTTTCAAAAATAAGAAACCAGAACATGGCCTAGGAGCTATTATTGTAACGAGTTTTATTCAAGACTATTTTAAAGTAAGGATATTATTTTATTTTTTTTTTCGATATTCTATTATTTGTCGAGTAACGATAATATCCTTGAATAAATATAATTTTTTTCAGTGAAAATTCAAATATTCTGTTTCCAGTAACTAAAAATTCGAATGTACTAATTGTGCCACTGTTTAAAACTATAATGTCAAATGAGTTCCAAAAGTCACTGAATACAAGGGTTATAAAAAAAAATTAATTGACTTATTGAAATAGGATAAGTATGATAAATTTAAAATATTGATTAGCAGTTGCTAATAATAAATTAGATAAGATAAGGCAGCTCTTGCTCAAAACGAGAATTATGAAATTTAAAAGAAAATTGTATTTATTAAATTACCTTATATGCATTAATAACAAAATATTAATAATAACAAGTAATAGTAAATAATTTTTTTTCAGTCTATTCTATGACAGATAAAATTATATTAACATAACCAGAAATTGTATACTTATAAAACTTAATACTTTTGAGAACATTTCTTTGTCTCTTCTGTTAGTCATATTAAACCAATCTATTCAGCTAAACTAAACTAAATAAATTAAACTTTGTCATGATTTATAATAATGATTCAATTAAAACATTTACCTGTGAATGATGTAGGAATGAAGGACCTCAGCAACTTCTTTCATACTATTGTACATATTTATTATCTGGATCAGATAAAAGTCTACTTCATGTTCTGGAAAAGAAAACATCTTGTTTACTAAAAAAAATAGAATATATACATAAATTATAATAACCAAATATATTTTTTTAATTTTTTTTTACATCCAAAGAGAAATTAAATTTATTTATCACACATATTTCCTTATTTTATTAATGTATACTAAGTAAAATATCCATTAATTTAATTCATTCATTTGTATTGCTTGTTGGTAGTGTTGTTAAACGGCTCGTTTTGAGCCGATTTTTTAAAACGGCTAACTCAATATTTTAACCAGAAAAATATTGTTTGAGCGTCGAGATTTCGATAATATATATCTAGACCTTTGTCCCTTCTATGGGCAAAATCTTCAGGCTTGCATAATATTTTTCTGGGTGAAATATTGAATTAGCCGTTTTTAAAAATCGGCTCAAAACGAGCCGTTTAACAACACTACTTGTTGGTCTACAACCCATCCTGACATAAGTGAATTATATGGCTCCTCTCACATAAGGGCTGGTATTTTAATGGCAAGGAAGCCATCGTCATATTAAATTAGATACTGTTTTTTTTTAACAGATACAGTTTTTTAAATTGGCCCATCAGATCCAACATAGCAAAATGGTGAATAAAAGTATTTTATCATAGAACATTAATATGGGATCATAGATATTTCCTAAAAATATAAGCCCCATACTTGTTTAACAAAAATGATTCAATATTTTGATAAGAAAATTAACTCAGATGCTGTTTATAAATATTTCAGTTTAAATAAAAATAATAATTTAATTAAATTAATCAATTATTAACATTGAAATTCTATTTTGTAATTAAAATTATAAATTATTTTATGAAAATTTGTAATATTGGCAACTTAATTAGTTTATGTTTATATAATAAATTTAACAGGGAAAAATATGTTTAGTGTAATAAAATGAATGTATGTTTGATAAATAAATTTGTTTCAGGAATTATTAATCTCTAAGGTAATTTTAATTTTTTTCAAAAATATGTACATTTTATTTAAATTAGAAATAATTATTAAATAAAAAAAAAAGGCTATTTTTAGAAAAATTTTTTACCTGATCAGAATTTTTATATTTGATCATTTTATAACCTGGCCCAGAATTTTTAAAATTCTATTATTTTGAATAATTTTGGCTTTATATTTTTCAAATTGTTTCTAAGGTTGAAAATGAGCAGTAACTGAATATTAAATAATTATAAGATTTTCCATTTTAAGTTTTTTTTAAAATTAAAAATTGGATTGATTTGATTTTTTTTGGAGCCAGTTTAAAGCTCAATTTTTGGCCAATTCCAGGCCATGTTTAAAAACTAGACCAGGTTAACAGACCAGGCCAAGTTCTTAGTCTGATAAATATTAAATTAAAATATGTGATATATCATATGGCTGATAATTGATCCGTGTAATTAAAATATGTAATATAAATTATATGAATGATAATATAGTCATTTTTTGTCTTGTCAAATGATAAAACTTAATATAAAAAGGGATAAACATTCATATATCTTAAATATAATATGTATTAATATTAAATCTAAACTTGCATAATAAATTCTATCATTTAACCTATATAAGAATGAACCCCAGATTCTTTGGAATTATAAAGATAAGATATAGCTATTGACATGTCAAAATGAGGGGATTCAAAAAGCCTTAATAACCATGATGGTTTATATATATCACTAGCATGAGGTTGACAATCTATATTTTGTACATCACTAACTATACTCTCATTTTTCTCAAAATATTTATTATCTTGAACTATAGAATTTTCCTGTATTGTATAAGGTGGGACAATTTGCGATACTTTTTTATGTTTAGAAAATGAGTAATAAGGTAAATATTTAGTAACATTATAAAATGGTATTGATGATGTTAAAACTGCTGATGTTATTTTATCAGAATCATTTGTAATATCTTTATTATGTGGCATTTGAAAATTAGGAGGAATGGACTTTGTTTCATTGCATAAATTTCCATTAATAATATTTATGTTAATACTATTATCTTTATTATTTGAGCATGAATTTAAAGATGAAGCACTATTACACATAGAATATAGAGATGACCCTGATATAGATGAGTTTAAAGACATAATTGAGTTTTTATAAAAATTTGATTCATCCTTGTTAAGATTGCCATGAACTCCAGCTAAATTATTTGGTGATCTGATAAAATTTGATCGTGGGAAAACATGAGATTGAATAAGCATATTGTTATTTTTTTCCAAGGCATCTAATGATAATGTAGATTTGGTCGATGATGTTGAAAAATCGTTTTGAATATAAGAACTAATATTAGTTAAATACGATGGCAATGTTTTAGACTTTGTATTTTCTAGGGTGTTATTAACATTCGATTTATTGATTGTTTCTTTATTTGATTTCAATTGAATATTATTAACAATATCTATCAAGCCATCCATTCTACTAAACCATGATACAGCAGATTATTTCAGAAAATTAATCGGGATGTGATAAATTATAAAGATTTAATAATAAATGCAGTTATTTACTCATTAATACCTAGCCTTTCCAAAAATTATATATTCGAAGGCCCATTCATAGTTATGAAATAGAAATGCTTCTTATCGAATATTTATCTTCGAACTATTTCAAAATTATGGACAATTTAATTTCACAAACAAACTAGTAATAGTATAAATATATTTCCCAATTGTTTTTTGAATATTACTATTTTGTTATTATAATATATAGTCTATGGAATTCATATTCTACGCAATTTATTTAGATTAAACATCCAGTCCTCAAAGAAAAATTACTAAATGTGTTTAATTCCTTGGTATTAGCTTTAGAAACCATGATCTAGAAATTTATTTGGGTATATTTTTGGGGTGGGGGAAGAGATATTTCCATAAGTCAATGGAGGTCAGGTTTATGGGCTACCTTACTCTCCCCCCACAGGCAACTCGTAACTTCTCACAGTTTGTTTATGATCTTCTCCTTTTTTTTGAAAGCTTAGGAAAGTAAATATGAATCAGATAATAGCGTTTTTTGATATTGGAGTATACAATAGAGATCAGCATAGACAACTCTCAACTGAACCATGAATATTAATGAAAAAAATTTTCTTAATATTTTTAGCCCCTATTTTTATTTAATTTTATACAGGTTGACTCACTCGTTTCTCAGTATTTTTCTGTAAAAAATGATAAATTCGTATTATTCAATGCTTTAAAACATTAATAAAATCCCAAGCCTTTCGGCCTGAATAATATTTTTAAATATCAGTCATGCCCGAAATTTTTTTGAGCCGGTTCGTGCATAGCTTGAATGTGTATGCCGTATCGAGATAAATAAACCCAGAGGGATTCCGAATCTTTTAATTAAAAATAATTTACTGACTGCAATTTTTAAATTTAAAACAATCTGATTTTACCAGAAAAGTATATTAAGAAACCTACCCTATAAATTTCATACGATTTATTAACATTTGTTAATATTATTTTAAATTATATGAAAAATTTACTTAAAAATTATGTATCAATAGTTTAAAAATTCATAGAAAATTTGTCTGAAATGGCTCAATGTGAATACTCTATACATGTTGGGAATATATTTACTATCAAATAATATTTTCAAATCAGAAAATCACCCTAAATAGATGAATTGTAATTTAGAGATTCAATACCCATGTTTTCATATCCAAAAGCGATATCAAAAATATGTTGTGTGTCATAGAACGGCAAATTTTGACTGTTTTGATTATTTCTAGCGCATTACCTTCAAGTTTTGGTGTGAACCTTATTTTCTCCAATGTATCATAAATATTTCTATCAGCTCTCTCCTATTAATTTATACTCTCTATTTTTTACAAATTCTTAATTATACAAATTCCTTATTTTATTATAATAAACTCCAATACTTTTCCCAATATATAGTGCAAAGGCAACTGATGGAACTAGAGGCTTAAACGGATTAAAGGGGAGAGGGGGCGATGCAATTATAACATAATATTTTCAGGATATAATTCTGGGGGAGCATTCTTATTTATAGCGCATAAATTTTTTGTAACTAAATTAGTTTATATTTTAGTCATCAAGTAGATCACAGCGCCATTGCCAGAATTAAGAGGGCCATGGATGGCCATATGTAAAACATAAGGACATTCATGCAATCGTACAAAATTATCAAGATACAATAATATTGTGTTAAAATAAAAAAATTTTCGATTAGTCTTAGTAGTAATAAATCAAATAATTAAACCCTTAAAGAGGATTTGGTTTATTAGGAAAGTAATATTTAACATGGCAAATAAAACTAGTACACAATTATATCCTTTTCTCTTTAAAATACATTTAAATTTAAGAGTCATATCTGATAAAGGGGAACGTAAATTTCAATTTATTTCAAAATTAATTATCTCTATAAATTCAAAACATTTTAAAGATAATTATAATATACATTTACCTACAAAATTCTCTTGTAATACTGATAATTCATTATTAGAATTTTATGCTAAACCTTAATTACAAATTTTGACTAACTTTTTTCCACTAAATTTTTTAAAAATATAATTACATAAATAGTATTTATAAACTTAAGCTCTATCAAATTTGTAAATATTATTACACTAAATTAAATATTAATATTTTTTATTTCTTTTCGTAATTGAGTACTTATACTTTTTCAATAATATTTTTTTCTCTATAGAAAAAATTCCTTATTTCATAAAATTTTTAATTTTTTAGTATTTTTCATTTTATTATTTTTTTAAATTTTATTTTATATGTGACTCTATGTACTATTATTATGTTCAATCTATTTTATCGATTGACTGATATTTAAAAATTAAATCATTAAATTTTATTGTAGGCAATGGGTAAAATGACTTGAATAAATGTTAATAAAAAATTTTTTCATGCAATATATTCTTATATTTAAAAAGAAAATTCACTTAAGAACCTAGATGCGTGATTTGACTAGAAACGAATAATAAGTATCTGGCAAAGATTCAAATTGAATAAATATAAAACGATTGCTGGTGTTTGACATCGATGAAGATATTCCTGATGAAAAATTACTGTGTTAATATCCTGTAGTAGTGGTGAATAGAGCTTGTATCTTATGAATTTGATATGTTGGTAGATAATGGAGCGGGTTTAAGAGTAAATAATATGTGAAATGTTTATAAATATTAATTGAAGTTCGATATCGTTATGGATTCCAGATCCTTGTATCAATATATGGATAAAGGAATCATCGTGGGAGAAGGATATTTTCAAAGAAAAATACAGCCCAGAGGAAACAAGGAAATTGAAGTATAATGGGATTTTTTTTTAGTTTTTATATAATTTTGATTGGCTGTTAATCGATACTTTTAAAATGATATCCCGATTACGATCTTTTCCAAAAATAAGGATCAAAATTCAAAATAGACCCTTTTTTAAAAAAAGGATCGCCATCACAATCACGACCATTTTCTTATTTTATAAATTTTTATGCTCGATACAAAATTAGCTAATATAAAAAAATTAAATACATTTTGAGAATTTTTCTCAAAGAAAGTATCAGTTTTATCTATACAATCATTTTAATAAGCATCTGCATGTAGTTGATCCTGCAGGTTTTCCTAATGAGAATTAACCTTTTTTTACCAACAAATTTTGTAGCAGAATGATATAAGACCAATTATGCTTAAATTTTGGGGTAATTATTGCTGCTAATATGCTACAATTCTCACACAGTGCAGGAAATCTAATAATTAACACTACTATACGGATCTGAGGAAAAGGTAAAAGGTTCTCATTTACATCATTTAAATCTGTCACTTCAATAACTGTAATTAACCTCTAGATCCATAATAGTCATTAGTAAATACATATAATAATTTATTATATTTTTAATTCAATAAAATAAAACTTGTAGGTTGTAAATCAAATTCGTAAATGTTGTTTTGATAAAATTTATGAGAAAAGTATATGGCGGAAAATGCTAAAATATGATTGAGATAGATTTTTTTTTAAATAATATTTTGTTTAAAATTGTTTATTTGATTCATATACTTTTTAAGTAAAATGAAAAATTTTATAAAGATCGAAGGAGAATATTTAACAAAATGATCTCGATCATGATCCTCAATTTAAGAGAAAATCATCCGGAAAAATTTCCAAAGTCTATCCTTTAACAACTCTGATACTACCACTGATCAATATATTCATTCCTCGATGATTATCATTTAGTCATATCGTGTAATCCGTTTCCGTTTGAATGCAAATTAAGTTTTGATTGGTTTTAATATTATTTTCAGTGTTGTGAGAGAACTCCATAGGGTTCAGGAATTTAAGTCTCTATTTAGAATTTTGTGAAATATGTCTGAACCCTCCCCAGATGTTGCCCATAAATTGGTCTCTGTTTGCTCTGTAGTTTCAAAATATCCAAAAACTGTTTTAAATTTCTTAATCCTATTTGGGTTCACAACCCTGGATTTTTAAAATCTTTAGCATTGCATAATCTTGTCGCTCATTGGATTAGAATAAAACCTAGGCATTATAATTATAAGAAATTATTAATCTCATCTTGATATAGATCTTTTATTATTAATAATAATTATATTATTTAATGATTTTTATATGCTTAGTTTTTGATTCAGAATTTACGAAAATTAAGATTAAAATACAACATAACACAATTATTTTTAACTATTCCAATAAAAAATATATTATGACAGTTTATATTTTATTAATGTAGTTGAATGGCTTGATTTGAGCTGATTTGTCTATGCCTCGAGATATTGATTATGTCAAAAACTTTGTACTATCTATGAGCAAGATTTTCAGGCTTGCATAATATTTTTCTAGATGAGATATTGAATTAGCCGTTTTTAAAAATCGGCTCAAATCTAGCCATTAACACCACATTTTATTGTATCGATTATAAATGCATATATAATATGAAGAAAGTAGTTCTATATTAATGAACGAATTTTTTTCATATTTAAAAAATAAATATAAACGAAATATAAGAATATATTGTTTTTAAAAAAAAACCTTCTTTATTATAAAAAATATCAATGTCTTATTGTGATATGGAATCCACCTTCTTTATTATAAAAAATATCAATGTGATAATATATATATATATATATGTCGTATTGGAATATGGAATCCATGAGGATTGGAATTTACTCGATTTTAAATAATTTAAGAATGATTTTGAAAAACTTATTTTAAATCAAATTTTGCCAAAAATGTAATCAAGTATGTGTAGAATACCCTGTGAATAATTTCAGATAATGTTCGCCAAAAATCTTCTGCATTATTTTAATTTACATGAAAAATCAAAAAAAAATCACTAATTAAAAGTAATTCCAAAGTTCACTGCACAATTGTTTGAAATTCGCTGTGCGGATCGATACATGCTGAAATACATTTCCAACAAATCAGTTTTTCAAAATTGTAAAATCATCTCGTATGGGTTTTGGATTTCTATGCGTTACTCAAAATCTCTCAAGTAGTATTGTTAAAAAGTAAGATTTGGGTTGATTTTAAAAAACAGTTCGATTAAAATTTTAGCCAAATTGGCCTCGAGATTTGGCAAAGAGTGCCCAAACCTGTCTACTATCTTCGAGCAATTTCCAGGCTTACATTTTGGCTATAATCTTAATCTGGTCATTTTTAAAAGTCGACCCGAATTGGGTTTTAATAACACTACACTTTAAATCATTTATTGATAGCCATTTTTAAATTTGAAAAAACCCCGAAATGTATTCCAACATGTAATCAATTATACTATAAAATTTTAGACAATTTATAACTTTTCATAAAATAAAAATATCGGGATACTTGAGTAAAATATATCTAACTTATTTGGTATTTCTTTTTTTAATAAATTCTAGGTATTTCTTTATTGTATAAATCTAAGTATTTAATTATAAATTTTGTATCTCTCAAATTTTAATATCTTTTCATAAAATATAATCATAAATTTCATAATCCAATTTCATAATAATAATTTTTTGTTTCACAGTATATTTCAAAAAATCAATTCAATATTCTTCATTTTATAAAATCCCCGACTGAATCAAATTAACATCAAATTAAAATAATTTTCACATTTCCATAAAACATGAACATTAAAATTTATCTCGTATAATATATTTATCAAAAGTCAAAAGTCAAAAGTAAAAAAGTAAACAAAAAAATACCAAGTGTTTGAATATCAATTCTCGATAAAATAACTAATAAATAAAATATATTCTTTTTGATTGACATTTTATAATATATAAGTACAAATATATATCATAATAATACAAAACTACAACACGCCCACCCTTCAAAAAACCAGATACCATATAATTATCGTTCTTTAAGGACATTGATTATTTCCTCGTCATTTATCGAATCTTATCTTTGAACATCATTGACTTTTAACTCTTAATTGTCTTCTTTCGACATGCAGATTATAATAATTAATATATTTTGTTTGTTTTATAATACATATAAATTTAGATTCAACAATCCTTTATAATTATTTTCTTTTTCTTAATGTTCAATTATAAAACAAATAATTGACTACAAACAAAATAAAAGAATACAAATAGGGATAAAAAATAATTTATAATTATCACTATTAAAATTACATATATATTTTCGTTATATCATTAAGAAAATAATATGAACCACAAAAAAAACATACTAAGACATTTCATATAACAAAAATACAAAATTACAATATATATAATATGCCACTACAATCATATTTTTTATGTTACAAAAAAAAATATGAAGATATGCCGATAGATAAAAAAAAATATTTTAATTTATAATTATAACTATAGATAAAAAAAAATATTTTAATTTATAATTATAACTATTAAAACTATAAACGATATCATCACATCACATTCCATCCTTTTTTAGAACTTTTTTATTTTACATAATTCTTCACTAGGTCAAAGTTTAAAGTCATTTATTGTCCACCGACTTTTATTTAAGAGTTTTTTCTTTATCACATAATATTAAAAAAAATTTTAATTATACATTGTTTCACAACAATGTCTCTTTAAATTAAAAAAAAAATACACATTTTTTTTTAAAAATTAATCTACACAAAAGTTTGTATTTCATTGAACTTTCCAATACCATACCACATGGTATTATTCACATGAATTTATTAAAGTCAATGTTTTTTTATTTTATTGATAACAATTTAATTCTTAAATTAAAATATTCTTCTCTATTGATTAAGATAAATAATACTTTTCTTCCCAGATGTTATTTTTATTAAAACTTTTATTAACTTTTAATTATGCTTTACACAATTTTATATTGACACTAAAAAAACGAACACTGATTACTTTCATTTTCAATCATTACAATTTTATTCATTATATTTGAATCACCATTAATATCATTAGGACAATATTTATAAAAATTTTCATAAGACATGATTGAAATACTTGCCCCGGTATCAAATAACATTTCAACCATTTGTCCACCAAATTTTAAATTAATATGAGGACATGAACTCTGTTCCTTTGCTCTCTCAGTTATTAAAATTTTAGGCAATTTAATCGGTTGAATAATATTTATTTTAATCTCTTTTTCAATACAATTAATATTCATACCTAAATTCATCTCAGAATTTAAAGGTCTCTGAATCTCATTTATGTTTTATTTAAAATTTCCCTTGGATATATATCACTCATTTGATTACAATAATCCTTTTTATTCAGATTATTGATTAATTTAAATTTTTTTATTTCATCGAAATGACCATAAAAATTCCCAACATTACAACTCTTTTTATTCAAGTTAAATTTCAATGTATAATCTTCATTCCCATGATGATTATCTATTTTAATATATATATCCACAAAATTTTTAATAAAATTATATATATCACAAAATTTAATATTTTCAAAAATTAATTTATCTATTTTTATATGATTCTCTTTCAAATCATTTAGTCACTGTGACCCACTCACACTTTGAATACAATGTATAGCAATATGTCCCATTTCTTCACATTTGAAACACATTCTATCATGATCTGTATTATAATTTTCAATTTTATCCACATTTTTAATAATAGGATTTTGTATATTTCTAACCACCGGTTGTAACACTACCGAGGTTCTTTGCGGAAATCCACTTTTAAAATTGGCTTCTTTCACCATGCAATTTCTTTTTATATGTCCTACAAAACCACATCTATGACACACTATGTCATTTTTTTCACTTGGTTTTGCAGTCACATTTTCATTAGTTTTTCGGTCTCTTGAATAACAATTTTTACTTATATGTCCTTTTTTCCACAAAGTTCACAACTTTCAATCACATTATTACTTTTGATTTTTAAGTTGGAAACTTCTCTGAACAAATTTTTCATATTTTCTTTCATTTCTCTAATTTCACGTAAAATTATAGATTCGTCGATACTTTGTCTCAAAGTATTATCTGTTTTATTATTTTTCAAAATTTCTTCTGGCTTTTTACTCAAAATTTCAGAAATTTTCTCTTTAAATTCAATCACAATTGAATCTATTTTTTTATTGATATCCTCCGGTATTTCAATGTTTTGAAGAAATTTAAATAAGTCACTCGTATCTAAATTTTTATCATTTTTTTCTTCAACATTTTTTTTAACATTTAAATTTTTTAATTCTAACAAAATTAAATGTAAACTATTTTTTATATCTTCATTAATATCTGAAGATTTCACCAAAACTTTAGGAATTATATTTTCAGTATTTGTATTTTTTATATCACTTTCTCTATTTTTAAGAGATCTTCTTTTTATTTTCCTTATTAATTGTTTCATTATAATTAAGATTACATAAAACACAAAAAAAATTAATGCAGTAATGACATTATTGGTCATATCCACTTTATTAAAATTTGAATTAAAAATTTTATTAAAATTACTCTTAAAATTTGACATTTTATTAATATCATTAAAATAAAAAGCCATTTTTTCATTAATTATCCAAAATTTAAAATTTTATCTTATATATTTCTAATTTTAATCCAAAAATCCTACTATTGCGTTGTGTAATTTATAATATAAAAATAAATTTCTTACCTTTAAATATCCGGAATCCACTAATGTTTTTAGGAACCCGGTCCTAGAAAATATTTTTCTTATTTTTATTTGTTTCTAAAACCTACCTAGATATTTATTTTTTTTATAAATTCCACTATTTTACGGTACCCTCTGCCACGGGTTCCTGGTCTCTGAAAAAGACACAAGTTCATGGCGAAAATGGATAAATAAATTATTGAAAATAAAATTCATTTATATAATATGTTTTTTTTTAATTCACATAAAATAATATAAATACGTTTTCACAAATTCAATTAAGGAGAGGATATAATTTTATTTCGAGTGCCGGTCCTATAAATTCCGCCCTATTTTAGATCGAAAATAACTACTTGTATTGATATAATTTTATTAATTACAATAATTAATATAGATATTATTTAATGTTAAGCTGTAAACCGCTCCTTTTGTTAATATAAAATTAGTTGAACTTGAAAACAATTCTATACAATCAATTTTGTATATTTAGAAAAGGCAAATTAGAACAAAATTCTAATATTTATATAATATAAATCATAAAACATATTTAATATTTAATTATGGGAGACGGCAATAAATCAGCGGAACAAAAGGTTTTACAATTTAAAGAAGCCTTCGCTTTATACGATAGAGACGCCGATGGAAAAATATTGGTCACGGAATTAGGAACAGTCATGCGATGCATGGGTCAGGCGCCGACCGAAGCTGATTTGAAAACTTACATAGAAGAGTATGATACGAAAAAAACAGGATTAATTGAATTCGGAGATTTCCTTAAAATAGTACAAACTCATTCAACCAATAGATCTTTTAATGAAGCAGAAATTCGGGAAGCTTTCCGAATATTCGATAAAGATGGCAACGGTTTTATAGGAGCTGCAGAGTTGAGACACATAATGAGCAACCTGGGAGAAAAATTAACTGAAGAGGAGGTTGATGATTTGTTAAAAATGGCAGATTCTAATCAAGATGGTCAAGTTAAATATGAAGATTTCGTGACCTTGATTATGTCTAAATAGTTTATAATGTTTTATTTAATAACTATTTAAATAATAAAATATATATATATAAAGTATTAAAGTTTAATCTATATACTATATTATACATACCGGACCAAAAATTAAAAAACTCCTTATTTGGACTTCTGTAATTTTTGAACCTATTTTAAAATTCTAAGTTGATTTTAAATTACTTACTGATTTCGAATTAGACTATTTCATGCAGCCAGGCTTCATTTATAGAAAGCAAGATGGTAGCTGTTGGATACTCTAATCATGGCAAAACATAGCATAGTTATCTAATTTAAAAGTATGTATTTTATAAAATTTTGTGGTTACTCTAAATGAGGCCTTAATCTTCAATTATCTAACTGTTATATAATATTAATCAAAGATAAGAAAAAAGAAAAATACTTTCATAATTAAATTTTATTAAAATAGATGCATATAAAACATTCAAAATAAAAATATATCGAAATAAATATTAAATTACACTTCAGTGCGAGTTTTCCTTTATAATATATCCTTTGCATCTTTATTTAATTTCAATTCTCCAATAGTTTCTATTTTCTCCTTAATATCTTCCTTGACGGGTTTGTAAGGGGCTTCAAAGGTCTTGTTATTGATGGATTCCCAATCTAATTTGTAAAACCAGGGATGGTGGGTTATATCAGTTACTCCATTTTTTAAGCAGCCATAACGTCGCCTAACATCGTTTTGTAGCAGATTTTCTATAAGATCAGCACAATCATCGGAAAACCTACTAGATCTGGTATAACTATGACCAACTATATTGCGAAAAATCTCCTTCTCCTCCTTGCCTCTAAATGGTGTATATCCGGCGCACATTTCGAATATTAAAACTCCCAAGGACCACCAATCAACAGAGCCATCATAGCCTCGGTTCTGCACTATTATTTCAGGGGCCATATATTCAGGAGTTCCGCAAACGGTCCAAGTTCTACCACTTGAATTTGTTTGGTTATTGTGAAGCAACATATACTTAGCAAACCCAAAATCCGTCATTTTTAAATAGCCCCACTGATCAAGTAGAATGTTTTCAGGTTTGAGATCTCGGTACACAAGTCCGTTGCTGTGCAAATATTCGATGGCCAGTATGACTTGGGCAGAATAAAATTTGGACTGACTTTCACTAAATCGACGCAACTTTTTGATGTGCTTGAAAAGATCACCGCCCTCCACAAATTCAGTCACTAGGTAGAGATTAAGCGAATCTTTGTAGTAGTAATATAAGGTTACTAGAAAAGGAAAATTAATGCATTGTAAAATCCTCTTTTCCGTCAATACATGGTCTTTGCATTTTGATCTGATAATGAATTCCTTGTTTAGCACTTTGGTGGCGAAGAATAAAACCTTATTATCATGAGATTTATTATGTCGCACTAAATATACTTTGCCAAAAGCTCCTTCTCCGAGAACTTTAAGTTTATCAAATTCTTCGTCACTAACTCTTGGGCATGTAGGCGGATCCTTCCATTTACTCTGAAATTGTTCTTTTAATAATGCCAAATTATCTTTAAAAAATAATTCATTTCTTACGGTTACAACTCGGATTTCCTTTTCGTCGTTCTTATTTGGATTTGTTAAATTTGTTTCTTTATTTTTATTTGTTAAAGTTTTCTTATCAAAAGCTTGATTGGACTTATTTTTTTCCCCAGACGATGTATGAGATTTTTTCGGCGATATCTGAATTGGTTTTGAATTTAAATTTTTAGGTTTTTCAGAGGATTTTAACTGTGGATATACCTTTTGCATACAGAATTTATCATTTTCATATATGGGTTAAGAATTCTAAATTATAAAATGCTCAATTTTTTAAAAACATTATAATAGAATATCTCAAAGATTGTCTAACAATCAATTATATATATATTATTTATTTAAATAGTCGATTACCAATAGCAATAATCGATTTATTTAAGAATTTGCACTTAATATACCATATTAATATTATTTTGATTCTTTTATATTTTTAATTAGATGTAAATCTGTATCTTATCTTCAGTAATTTTCTTTTTCCAAATTTGACTACCTTTGGTTTATTTTTTGCGCGCTTATATTTCTCAATCACCATTCTTTCAACATATCTATTCTTTTAAATATATTTATTTCGGATTTGTTTTTAACAGTGAATGGTCAGCAATGTGGGCATAGAATTTTAAAAAATCTTTTGAAAAATGAAAAGATAAGTTGAATGGTTATATAGGAATTGGTGTAAATGATTGAGGTTTTGTAAAAAGGAACGAAGAGAACTCAACAAATTTGTAAAAAAATCAGGAAAATTGTGTCGAGGCTCAACATACTACTAATTAGGAATACCAACTCATGACCACATAGAAGTTGGGATTTCCATAGGTATTAAGGAATTTAAAAATATTGATATAAAGATAAAAGAGGGAAAAACGTTGAATGTAAAGGTTAAGAAACGTAATTTAATTAATAAAATATAGGTCGTACGCTCTATTACCAGATGGCGTTGATCTATAAAATAGGGTAGCTTTATTGCAAAGGTAATCCATATATTGGGGGGGGAATAAAAAAAATATGTAAACATTTGAATAATTGATAGATTAGGAATAGGTGGTCATACTGCTTTGATGAGGAAGGAATTGAAGTTGGGAAGGTAGAATTGAATAATAATTTAGCTGAAGAGGTTCATTTGTGATGAAATCAAGGAGTTAATAAAATAGCAAACAGCAAAATATAGCATATCGTTAGGACAGCTGTTTGGCAGGGGTTTGCCGATTTAAATAGGGAAAATTTCCGGAGGTTTGGCGAAAAGTTTTATTAAATTTCAAAGCAATAATATTGGCTATAAGTATATTTTGTCAAAATAATAGTAAAACTCAATTACAATATAAAATTTAAGGGAAATATATAAACTTCAAATTTAAAATTAGATCTCTTGCCATACTTTAGAAAGGGAAAGGCGATGAAGATAAAAATTTATTGTGTTGTTTTAACTAGTATTTAATAAATATATTTGAAAAATTAAATCGTCAATTATAACAAAATATGTTCTAATTGGGTTGTTGGAGGAAAGCTTGTCAAACATTTAGGGTACATTCAGGGTTGGGCATTAACGTGAATACTTGCATTTAAAACACTAAAAACAAATACTTTTTAAATATTTTATTTACTATTTATTTAACTATATTCAAAAGTATTTAATTCAGTATTTGTATTTCAAATACTAAAAAATAAAAAGTATTTTATATTTATTACGAACTCGGACAAAGACAAATAATTTTTTTGTATTTTTTATTATAAATTGAATTCTAAATGTGGATTCACATTTTTATTTAAATATTTAATTTGTGATCCAAGTTGGCAAAAAACAATAATGTTATCCATTTGATCCCATTTTTTTTTAAATTAGCATTTATGAAAGTGAAACAGAAGATATACCCTTTTTTGAAGAATATAATGATATAGAGCTGAAATAAGATATAGATTACAGTTCCACTGAGATTGTTTTATTAAGTTATTTTTCAAATATTTTTAGCAGAATTTGTAACTTAACTTTTGCAGATTCAATTTATATTAAAAAAAAACCTGCAAGTCTGGAACGAACCCTAGCCCGTGCAAAAAAGTTAAAATAAACCCGGGCTCCGGCTGACAAAAGCCTTATATAATATTGGAGTTCACAAATTACTAAAAATTCTTAAGGAGTACTATATAAATAAACAAATGACTAAAAACAACGTATTAACTATCTGTAATATTAGTAATTTTAATTAAGCTTTAAGTTCTGAACATCTAATAGAATTTTTACCCTTCCGAAAAAAAAATCAAGATCTACCTTGTAACATTAAAACAGCTTTGTATCCCGATCCCGACTCTTGGGACATGACCCGATCTTCTTAAATTGGTCACGTAACCAATCCTGACTCGGAAATTTAATTACTCAGTGGTGAGGTTCAATACTCACATTTTAATCGTCATCGACTTCGAAAACAATTTTACATTTTATCAAATAAAAGATAAATTATTTTATTATTATCCAAGTACCCATTAATATAATGTAAAATATTTTAATTTAAACATAACATATACGATATTAAAATCAAAAATATTATATACACTATTATTTTTAATAAAAATGGCATCTAAAAAAAATTGAATTAAGATTTTGATGCGCCTAATTTAGCTAAACGATCGGCAGCTTCATTTCCTATATTACCCATATGGCCTCTGACATAAACCTTAAATATTATATTTTTTGTAAAAGTTTATAAATATATATATATATTCAATCATTTATATTTCATAAGAGTAAAATTAAAAACGAAATGTATATAATATTTAAAGTTTCCTAAGATTTGATAGTATATTCAGAGACCTGAAGGCCCGGTCATAAGCCTAACTCGTATTTTAATTTTTTAAATACCCGGCCGGGCCGGACCGAATATTTTAAAATTAAAAATAAATATAAAATATTTTATGGGCAGAGCCTAAAAATATAAAACCGGGCAATGGCAAAAAATTTTTAAAAAAAATAATCCGGGCGGTGCCGTGAAAATGGTACCTCCAGATCTCGGTTATAAATAAAACTAGTAAAAAAAATTTATCTAATTTCAAAAAAAAATCTGAGTCCTTTTTCAAAATTTACATAAAATAATCACACGGGCATAGGGGTAGCCAAATATTTTTTCCCCAAGGAGGATATGTAAGCTTCGTTTTCCCCAATCTTACCTGATAGGGTTACATTTCGCCTGCTGAAAAAGCGTTCTATATCCATTTTTTAGCAAAATATTTTTTTTTTCGATCATTTATTTCTTTAAGTGTTAACTTGATCTATATCAACAATAAAAAGGTTAAGGAACTTATATTAAATTATCTCCATCATTATACTGTTCTATACCCAATTTTAAAAATATAATATTATAATAAAGTTCCATAAACATAAAAATAATAAGAATTTTTAAAATAAAAAAGTCAGGTGATTTATCTCAAAATATCTTAACTAATAAATCTAAGCAAAATCTACTTATCAAAAAATAGGAGTTACCGATTCAAAAGCAATATTTAAAAAAAAAATCTATCAATATTTCATTTCCCCACCATTTTTAGAGGAAATGTTAAACTTCTGATTTATCCATCATCAAACGAAGGAGAAATATCTGATTCAATCTTCATTCTTAACGGATTAGCAGCTAATATTGTAATATATGGAAAAATAATATTTTTAAAATAATAAATAGACATACAAACAAAATGCATTTCTATTCTAAAAAAATCGACTCATTAAGCCGTTTTTTCGACTCCGGCTCGAGGTGGGGTAATTCAACTTGTAAAAATTTTATATAGAAAATTAATAGTTAGTTTGAAAAATAGAAATAAATCATAATTATTATGGGAAAAAATGTAAATATTATAAATCCTTTTGCACAATCTGATAATATGCCAATCATATTTTATTTACAATTCAATAAACCATTTTTTTATTGTTATTTAAATTGCGATACTTTTAAACATCGTTTGTTTTATAAGTGAAGTTTTTAAGGCGTGTTTGCGTTAATGGTAAATAATACATATAGTGTACTGAGTCCGTTTAATAATTCTTAAATATTATATTTTTGTCTTGTCGATATACGTAATTGGGAAATATTTTCATATCATATACATTGACAAGTAGTGTTGTTAAACGGCTCGTTTTGAGCCGATTTTTTAAAATGGCTAACTCAATATTTTATCCAGAAAAATATTACGCAAGCCTGAAGATTTTGTTCATATTGAGTTAGCCGTTTTTAAAAATAGGCTCAAAACGAGCCGTTTAACAACTCTATTGACAAGGTCTCACTTTTTATATCAATGATTTATTTATCATTAACTTTATGATGGCGTTAGATTTATAATGACATATTTACAAGTGTATTCCATTGAGGTAAAGGATATAGTACTTATCTCAATGTTAAGGTCTTTGTTATCTAGAATGCATATAAATTTTATTTATCATTACACTTGTAGGATTTTTATCATCTCTTTTTCAGCATTTTTTGTTTAGTTTTCATATAAATTATTTTTTTTAATGATTATATATAATTCGACATTCCTCTCCCAAAATCCTACCTTCCGCCTCATCGTGGCGGGGGAGTGGCAACGTCTTTTGGCGGCTAATGGAGGTCTAAAAGGTTCCCTGTGATCTGGGTCTAGAATAGGATCAACGTCTCCTTGACGGGGTGTAAAAACCACTTAAAAAGGTTAATGTCAGGAAGGGCATCCGATTGTAAAAACCTTGCTACAAAATTTCCCTATGGTTACAACAAAGCATGGGCGGGGTACAGCCCAAAGTACCCCGTGGGCCTCCTCATCCGCCTACGACAAAAAGAAGGATGGGAAACCTGGAGGAACCACTATTCATGAAAATGAAACTTATGACGGCCATAAACGACCATAAAAAGTGAAGAAACCAGTTTACGGGTGATCGAGTTAGGGTCGTGACATGGAATGTTGGGAGTTGACGGAAAGAGTGGGAGAAGTCGTCGATGTATTGCACAGAAGGCATATAAGATGTGTGCTGCATACAGGAGACTAGATGGAAAAGAAATGGGACCAGAATGATTGGCAAGACTAGCGAAAAGTATAAATTCTTTTGGCGAGGAGGTAATGATGGTAAGGCTAGAGTTGGGGTATTGGTTGAGGAGAAATTGGTAGAAAAGGTAGTCGAAGTGAGAAGGATAGACAACTAGATAATGGTTATCAAGATGATTTTTGGTAGAAAGCTATATAATATTATCTCGGCATATGTTCCTCAGGTTGGAAGAAGCGAAGAAGAGAAAGATATATTTTGGGACAGTCTATTGGGGGTGACATCGAGACTGGTAAATGAAGAGGGGATTATCTTGGATGGTGATCTGAATGGACATGTGGGAGCGAGTAATGAGGGTTATGGAGGAGTACATGGAGGGTTCAGTTACGGTATGAGAAATTTGGAAGGAGAGAGGATTTTAGATTTTAGTGATGCTATGGATATGATTGCCTGTAATACCATGTTTAAGAAAGAATCAGAGAAGCTGGTGACTTATAAGTCGGGTAGTACCAAAAGTGCAGTGGATTACTTGTTATTAAGGAGAAATGATCGATGTATAGTAAAAAATGTGAAAGTGATACCGGGAGAGGAATGTATAAATCAATATCGACTAGTTGTAGGAGATCTCACTCTTTAAGGTGCCAGGGTCACTAAAAGAAAGTTTGTCCCAAGGCTGAAGGTTTGGAAATTGAAGGAGGAGAATGCTAGATGTCAATTCAATAAGGCATTGGCGATTAGGGAGGCGGAGGTGGCACAAGCATCTGGGGTGAATGACAAGTGGGAAGCCATGAAGAAAGCCTGGGTAATGACAACTGAGGAGGTATGTGGATGGACAAAAGGGCCGCCTAGACATAAGGAGACTTGGTGGTGGAACCCGGAGGTAGCGAAAGCCGTGGATGAGAAACGGAGGTGTTTCAAAGTATGGTAAAGAAAAAGTGATAATGATATTTACAAGATGGCTAAAAGAAATGCTAAGAAATTAATAGCGACGGCTCAAGAAGAAAAAAGACATGAGTTTGCTAAAGAAATGAAATGCGCTGATGGAATTGGAAATATGGTTCAAATGGCAAAACAATGTCAAAAAAGAGGCAGGATGTGATAGGTGTAAAGTGTTTGAAAAATATGAAAAGAAAAATGGCGATTGATGGTAGTGGTATTAAGAACACCTGGAAGATTTACATGAAAGGACTTTTGTATGAAGAAAATGAATGGGATAATAATATTAGTTGTGCAAAGGTAGAAGGTTCAGGGTGTAAATTTGGCAAGGACGAGATAAAGAGAGCAGTTATAAAGATGAAAAAAGGGAAGGCATCGGGTTTATGGTGGTATCAGAGATGTTTAAAGGTTCTGATGATTTAGGGATTGAATGATTAATGAATTTAGCCAATCAAATGTCACAGAAGATACTATTCCCGAGGACTGGCGAAGAAGTATAATTATCCCAGTATACAAGGGGAAAGGTGATCCTTTAGATTGCGGGTCTTACAGAGCTATTAAACTCTTGGAACATGCAATGAAAGTATTTGAGAGTGTTAGAGAAGCGGTTAAGGGAACAAATTAAAATTGATGAAATGCGGTTAGGTTTTACATCGGGAAAAGCAGGAATTCGAACCGAACCCGAACCCGGAGAAGTGAACCCGGGTTTTTAGAAAAAAACTCTGAACCCGAACCGAACCTAAACCCCATTTATAAAATTTCCAAAACCCCGAACCGAACCCAAGAATTTTATTTGAACCCGGGTTCAATCGGGTTCAGTGTATTATTTAAAATCATATATTAATATATGTAAATACAAATATTATATTTTCAAATTTCCAATTAAATGAAGTCTTAATAAATTTTAAACAATTTAATTCATTTATGCCATTTTTAAATTTATTCTCGATTCCTATTGGAGTGTTAAAAAATTTTAAACAATTGAATTAATTTACGCCATTTATTTTTAAATTTTTATCTTATTATTCTTAAAGATTATTAATTAGAAGAAAATGGTTAACAAATCAAAGTAAAAATTATTATATTGTTAATTTAAAAAATTCTAAACATCTAACTTAAAAATTGTTAAATGTAGGGCAGTTTTTGTGAACTTATTAAAATGATTTTAAAATTTATATATGCTAATCATTTATTTTTGGTTTAGTTTAATTTTTACAAGATATTAATGAAGTGCATATTATAAATGAAATTAAATTTATAAATATCTCTTTTTTAATTCTGAAATCATTGCTATTTAAAAAAATTGTTCTCTTTTTATAGATTTAAGATTAAAGATAAAGTCATATTTGATAAGCATTTTACCCTTAATAAAATAGAAAAAAAAATCAATATGTTCATATTGCAAAGTAAAAATGTCTGGTAATCACTTGTCAAATTTAGAAAGACACCTGGAAAGAAATCACAACAATGAATATTTAAATTATTTAAATGAAAAAACCAAATATCAGGAATTGTTATTGGCAAAAAAACCTAAAATTAATATAGAAACCTTTTTTCCAAAAAAGCATATAAGTATAAATATATCATCTAATGATTTGATGAGTTCTATACTAGAACTTGTTACTGTAAATGGCCGGCCTTTATCAATTATTGAAGATTCGGGATTTCAAAGAATTATAAATCCACTCCTATCTGGGCTCAATTTAGTTATAAACAAAGAAAATTTATCCAGAACTA